ATGCACTTGAGCTGATCGGTATCTCCCCCAATCGCCAGGCGCGAGCCTGTGCCACCAGTTTGCTGCTCCCTCCATGCGCCAAGGCCGGAGAAGTTAGTGATCAGGGGGGGCAGATCGCTGCGTTATGCAACGTTCAGCCCAAGCGCCTCCTTATTGAATTCTGTTGTTCGACGACCTCACGGTTGGGCGAATCAAGAGACTCTTCAAAAGGTTGCCGTGTCATTCGGGTAACTGAAACCGAAGACGGGTGCTCCGATACGTGCAGGCAGTGGTTAGGCCGTGAAATCGCCGAATTCAGGAGCAAGAATCCTAAGGGTGCAATCATGTTCTATGTTTCGTTGCCATGCACTGGAGGTTGCCCGTGGGGTTATGTCAACCAGCAAACTCCCAAAGGTGCCGCCAAGATTGAGGGCCACATCAAGCAATTCCGATCACTGTTGAGAGGGTTCAAACGCATTCTCAATGATGTCTATTCTGATGACGTTAGAGTTGCCTTCGAACTCCCCAAGGCGTGTCGTTATTGGAAATGGCCCGAACTATGGAGTTTCTTGACTAAGTACAAGATGAACAAGTATGAATTCCATGGTTGCAAAATCGGCATTAAAGGGAGAAATGGAAAACCAATGAAAAAGCAATGGGTCGTTGCCAGTAATATGCCCACTATTTCCGTTGTTGAGTACTTCAAGTGTGATGGTTCTCACGAGCATGATGAAAGCCGTGGCACTCACTTGAAGGAAGCCGAGGGATACACGTACGTTTACACTGATGCCGTTCACAATGCGTTTTCCGAACATGCCACCATGCAGCCGTTGCTTTCGAGTGATTGTGCTGCATCTTTTTCGCAATGAGCGGCGCAACGGCTATGGCGCATCCCGCGAGGGATTGCGATCCGGCATGGAGGAGGTGGATGGAGAATGTCGCTACCACATCGGTATGCACGAACGGCAAATACGACGCTAACCTCGCCGCCACGGTCAAGGGCCTCCTGGAGACGACCTCTGCACAGTCGCTTATCCATACATGGGTGCAGGACCAGCCGCACTTCCTGCAGTTGCTTACACCCCTGTTAACTATAAGCGAACCTTACTTGAAGGTTGTGCAGGCCCCACGTGTACCAGATCGCGACCTCCTTATCTATGTGACTGTCGCTGATTCAGGACTGTCCATGGTTTCGGGCAAGAAGAAAAAGCTTCGCAAGTATGACTTTGCGGAGCGTTTGGATGCTTCTCGCCCGGCGCGTGTCGGTGCATGGAGGTCAGAAATGCTTTGGGGCAAGGGCTTACAACAGCTGTGCAAGCGGTTGGCCGCCCTCATCGACGAGGTGCGTACCGACTACCCAGCAGCCACCATCATTCCGATGATTTACTGGAATGGCAACGAGCTCGTTGGGAAGGACGGCCTCGAGCCCACTGGTACATATCCATTTGATGCCCCCACCGGCGAGTTCGGTCAACTTCTTGCTGACTCCAAACGGCACCTGGCTTGGACCAGGGACTTCGCGGCCCGCAAGGGCTGCGCATGCCTTGGAGTCATGACCGGCGCGAAAAGCTATCTCTACGGCTTTTCTATGATTTGGGACCGTTTCATGACGGAAGTCCGGGATTACATCATCGGCGACCCCAATCATATGTTTGTGTACGTAGATGCTACACCCTTTGTTGAGACCATCGATTTGCTGGACAGGTATCATATGTGCTTCAGTGACGACAACATCACGAAGACCGTCCAGTTCATGCGCGGAACCCATCACATGTTGTATATGCTTTCTATCTTGCGCCCCGCAATGGGCAGCGTAGCCGAGCTGACACGTTCGCATGATTGCACCATGCGTCCGATCGATGTGCTCGAGGTGCGCCACCAAGAAGATTGCACAGTCAACGTTGAGGTTCTCGCGTACTGCAAGGAGACGCTAACGAAGTGCGGTGTTTCTTTGTCAGAGATGATCGGGCTCCCTTTCACCCGTGAAGAAGTGGAAGTCCGGCAGCCCCTCGATTTCGCCCCCGTCAACCCAGCCGAGTTTGCAACTACAGGTGAGCCTTCCGGTGCTGATGTTTCCGAAAGTGTTCGCCCGGCGCAAGCCGGTGCAAAGGCGGCTGCGGTGGCAAAAAGGGACGAGGAGGCGAGCAGGCCGGTACCACTCGACTCCTACGGGAGGAGCGTGACTGGGGGCCACTATGACTGCTGGGTGTATAGCATTCATGATGGCGTGAAGTATGTCGACTACGGTGAGGGCCCCAAGAGACTCGACATCATCAAGCAGCCCTCCTTTGATTACGACCCTTCCGTCAGGAGAATCAGTGACGAATACCATCGTTCCCTGACGTGCATCTCCAAGATCCTCCGTGGTCGTGGAACAGAAGGATGCGGGTATGTGATGGATGAGGACGGCTACATGGACCTCGAAGACCTGGGACTCGCGCTTCGCAAGGAGCTGCGACATCCCATTCCATGGAACATGCAGAATATCATGGACATCTTCAAGCTGGACAAGAAGCAGAGGTTCATCGGGCTTGGTTGCCCGGACGCAAGCCGGTGCGGAGACGTTCCATGTTCTCATTGGCTTTTCAAGCTGAAGGCCTCTCAAGGCCATGAGGACTGGCTCCAGATCGACGACTCCGGCATCGCGAAGGAGTGGTACGTGAACCCGGGGACCGACCTCGGGCGCTGGTCTGGCTGGAACGTTTGCAGCAGCCCTCCTACGGTGCTTTATCACCGCACTGATAAGCGTAACTTCGCTAACATCATGCGGAACGGACTGCTTCCAGGAGGAGGGGACCAGCACGAGACAGGCAGACCTCACGTTTTCTTCGCTGACGTCCCAAGCACGAACGAAAATTACATCTCAGGTGTACGTGCGAACAAACCCCTGGAGATACAGATCGACCTCAGGATGGCCATTCGCGCAGGGCTTTGCTTTTTCAAGACGGAGAGCGACGGCGTCCTTACGCGCGACAAGGTGCCCAACTACACGATTATTTCTGTATTGGACGCTACAAATGGCGATGTATGGTACACTCGCTCCGAGCAATCGGATGCAGGTGCACCAGCTGAGGCGACTGAGGATGAACCCCAGGGGATGAAGCGCGACCAAGCCGTGGTTGATGATCGCTCTACAGCGCTGGAACGTATTGCTACAACCCGCACAAATGTGGCTTCTCCTCGCGCCCCGCAAGGGGAAGCGAAGAGACAGAAGACTTTCAACCCAATGGAGAACGTTGAGCTGAATGTCGCCACGTGCCCGGTTTGCAACAACAGTGTCTTCGAGGGGCAGGTGCACTGCTCATCATGTGGGCAGTTGTCTCCCCTCAATCCACGCCTGTTGAAAGAGCAACAGAAGAATTACATTGTGCAGCGTTCCAATTTGCTGAAGAAGATGGGCCTCAGCACCCATGTCACAGCTCAGGTCCTGGCATCCGTGGGAACATTTGACCTCCGCGAGGAGGATCGTAGCAGTATCATTCGTGGCTTGAACTCCCCGGACAGTGCTGTTATTCAGGAGGCACGGAAGAAGCACAAGTCCGCCCTGAAGAACGGCTATCACTCTCTGCTTGATCGCTATGAACTCGACCTTCAATACAGGGTTCGTATGCTTGAGGTGGGCCGTCGGGAGGCGGACATGCTCCGCATGGAGTTGAGCGCAAATCTCGTCTTGGCTGCTCCAAAGCAGTCGCAAGCCCAGCGCACTCTGGGAGTTGGCCTTGGATCAACTTCGGAGTCGCGAATCGCAAGGCTCGCGTATATCAAGACAGAGTTGGAGTTCTTGCCCAACGAACTTCAAGATGCGCTTTCCTCTCGCTGGATCATTATGTTCCAAGGGATGCCTTACAGCCCAAGAGCTTTTATCAACGTGGTCTTTGAGCAAGACAAGCCTCGCAGCATTGGTTGTTGGAATGGCATCATCCATCTGCGAAGCAACACGTTGGACAACCTCCGCAACGAGATGGACTGGATTTTCAGCCAGAATGAGCGGTATGCACGCAACTCGATCGAATTTTCGAGGAACGAGAGCAGCAAACACCTTGCTCGCAATGCCGCTCGCTATGCCGAGACAAGAGCTCCCGCCGCCCGCGAGGGTGAGCGTTGGAGCCAAGGCAGCTGGCAGAATTGGTCCGGTTGGAGCGGATGGGATAACAGTAGCGGAAGCTATTCAACTTGGCAGTGGCGCTGAAAGCGCAACTGTCATGGTTTGCATGTAACAATGGTTCCCCTGACCTTCTCCCTCTGTGGTGTTACTGTTTGGCTGCTTTGTGAAAGGCCCCTTTAACACGCAGAGGGGGGTGAAGAATTTGATCGGTCAATATGGGGTTTTACATCCATTGCATCCGCAGTGTGGCTGTTCAAGCGTGAAAATGTGCGAGCAGCGCACTTGGACGGTTTGTTGTTTCCTTTTGGGCCCCAAACCGGTAACCCTTGAATCTATACCCTTTTGCCCCCCCACCCCTTTTTGGGTTCCATGTGTTTGCCAGGGAGTGGAACATAAGGCACAGCCAGCCGACTAGAGTTGGGGATTGCTGACTCGGTCAAAATCTCAGGTGCCGGGGCCACCTTTCGGCCTCAAAGTTCGGCTGACGGCTCAAAGGGTGCGGGTTTGAAAGCCACCAGATGCGACCCGCCTTCTCCTGTGATTCACAAGGCCTTTATAACCAGGTTTTGAATATGTGTCAACATAGGGAAGCTTGCCTTTTGTTGGGGTTTCCCTTTAACAGGGATCCCTCCGTTTGCCTTTTTGGAGCCTCGAGTGGCAGTTTGGATGGCAACAACCAAAAAGCAGCAAATTGTGAAGGGGACACCTAATAATTGTTGGTTAAAGTTCATTACTGGCCTAAACAAAAATCAACAAAGACACTGTGGATGGACGAAATCCTGCACCACCTAAGAAACCCTGGAATGCTGATTCCCCAGCAAATACCAACAAACAATGGTTTCCCATGGTTTCAAAGCGGTGCGAAATGGATGTTGTCCGGCCAAAGTAGCATGACTTTTGTTTGCCGGGCGCGCAGGTGTGAACGGCCTGGCTCTGATCTTGGGCCCCATTGTGGGATCCACTCTGCTACTCCGAGCAAAGAATGGGACATGGGCTCCGCTGCAACTGGCAAAAGATGTGTTTTTTTCACCATTAAACCACTTCCCCCACGTGAAACTGGAGATATTATGTATATTCATTGGTCAAACAAAGGGGTGTACAGCCCTTTTTCATCTTTTCTCCCTGGGGGTAGTGATTTGGGGTTGTGGATGGTATGGTTCAATTTGGGAGGGACATGTCAGGACTTTTACATGTCCCACAGAAAGCAGAGGACTCAAGTTAAACCCATGTCCATGGAGGGCGTAGCAAGCTTTGACCAAGGCTCACATGGGCTGGCCAAAGAAATCTGATCTTTTGACATGCGACAGTCGAGTCGATCTGGTCCGGTATTGTCTGATGGGCAACCCGAAATGGGTGGTATATCTTTGAGAGTTAGCCCGAAAGCTTGGTTGATAGGATGTAAGATTCACGAGCTGAGCGGACAGGAAGACCAAGAACCAGGAAACTCATTCTCATTGTCCATTTCCTTTCTTTTACCTTTCTCTTGACATAATGGTGGACAATAGAAACTTGGAAGATGAAATCATGGTAAAGAAGGTTCGCTTTCATTGTGTGCGACCATAGGATACAGGCTTGCTTCGCAGGAGCTATACATCTAGGAATCTTCTCACATTATTTTTTCCCCTGTATCTCTTCCTATCTTCATCATATGACATTACATTGTGAAATGACAGAAACATGACATGGAGAAGAAAGAGGGCGAAGATAGAAAGTGACATACTGTTCATGCTAAACCTTTGCAATTCTCAGGACTATTAGATGGAAAGGTGGGAGAAGTAAAGAGACTTTCGGCTTTTCTAGATACAAGATTTGGAGGTTAGTGAAAAGAATGAACGGTCAACTATCCTGAGCATCTAGCTATCGTCCCTCAACCAATGAAAATATGTAAAGGAATGGAACGAAGATATACGACTGGAAATCGTTAAAGATGTAAAAAGAGAAACAGGTTAAAGATAAACAGGTAAGAATAAATAGGCTGTGAAAGGCTTGTGGATTTCCAACACTCAGGATCTAGAACTCAGGAAAGCCTAAAGACAGCAAATTATTTGTAATTTTGGAAGTGCTGGAATTCATTCTCCTTTCCTATTCCTTTCCTTCTATCACCTAGCTCTCTCTCCAAACCAATCTACAATCAACATCAGTTCGGAAAGGCACTAGAACAAAGCGAATTAGATTGCCGTTCTGACTCGTCCAGATCGCAATGAGCTAGACCAGCATGTGTTTCTTTTGTATGGCTCACATCGATTCAAGGTGGCCTTGAAACCAAATGGTTCCTTTTCCTCAGGTGCAGACCTGCTGACTTAGTCCGTTGAGCTGAAAGCCTGCACTGCACGTAATTATTGGCCTGACATGTTGTGCAGCTTTCGCAGGAGTCACCCTCCTGATTGGTGGATACTGGTTGCGGTTACGAGAGTGTCTTCTTTTTGGCCTCAAGGAGGGCCAGTGTTTCAAGTCCCCCCAATCTAAGCCACCAAATAGAGGTAAAGCAACTTCTAAGACGCCAGGAAGTTCTACAGGAACTCCTTGCTTCTGGTTGGTGCTTGGCAATTGTCCTGTTGACATTTTTGCTGGTTGTTCTATGTCGGACCCTGGCCCCGCCTATGGATTTTTGCTGGTTGTTCCATTTGGATTAACCACCAGTAAATCGCAGTCCAAGTTGTGGTGACTCTGGGCTCTCCCCACTATAGCACCTGGAGGTGACCTGGAAAAAGAATTCCTCTTGAAACGCCACGGCCACGTTGGAGCGCTCGCGACTCGCGACCTCGCGGCTCGCGTGCCAAGGTTTAGCTTGGGCGGAGGCGCATCACAGCTGGGCTCCGCAGACGCAAAGAAAGATCCGCATCACGGGTTGGGCTGGTTGCATCTAAGCCAATGAAATCAGCCTTGCCAGCTGATCTAGAGGATCTGAAGTAAACCTGAGGGTTTTTGGACGATCTTTTGAGAAACTCTGAATTTCAGAGTTTCCTGAAGTGGGCCCGTATTTTCCGGGATCCATTATCATCCTTTGAAGGCCCCTTTAAATCCACCAGACCCTATGGCTAAGTGTTATCTGCTTCGGGTTGGTCTAGGCGCGAGGGGGATCTTTCAATTCCCCGAAAGCAGGCCAGAACATCTCGGGGATGCAACGGTGCGATAGTAGTCGCTCGGGCCATGTTCCCAATGGCTTTGGCGGAGACAGGCAGAGTCCATGGGAAGGCGTGCAGCGAAACTGGCCTTGGCAACTGAGGCTATGTCATGCCTTTCGTTGTTCTGGGAGGCGCGGAGGCCGTGTTCGCCTTTCTTAATGCCCCTCGGCCAGAAAGACGCGCTATGTAAAAAAACATGCTGAGGTGCTGGAGCTGAGCAGATTGCGTGAGAAGGGTTCAGGGAAGTGAAGCGCTGCCTGGCAGCGTTGAAAAGTCGATGCCAACAAATCATGTGTTTAAGTAAGTTCCCCACTGCTTTGCCGTTGAGCTTCTCGCATTTGGTTCAGACTGTGTATGTGTGTGTGTGTGTGACACCTTGAGATGCGTCACAACCTCACATGCACCGTAATTGCCAGGCATGCCGCTGCCACCTTTCGCTCCCCAGTTTAGTCTAGGTTCCCTTTGACACATGCAGATGTCCAGCAAGATGTTTTTTGGCTGGACAGACTGGTTTTTCGGTTCCCCCATGTCGATCCAGGTGTTTCTGCTGCCGCAGATGCCAACTCCGCCAGCCAGACAGCCAAGTTTGCCACTCGGAATCAGCGGACGTGTTTGCATCTTTGCACGCAGAGCAAAACACCACCGATCCGGGTACGAGCGAAACCCATGATGTTCGGCACTTTACTTGTAGGATTCCATATTTCATTATAAATATATAATATATATATATATATATATTATATATGTATATTATGTATATATATATATATACATATATGTATATTATTTTGCAGATACATGTTCACGGCTCCTCAACAGACACGCAGGTATCCCCTAGTTGGTGGTTTGGATTGGTGGTTTGGATTTGAAACCCTGGCTCTTGTAGAGGATAGATGGGAACCCCTCCTTAACCACCAAACCACCAATCCACATCACCACTTGGAGGGAAATTGAGATACGGATTGCCGCCTTTTTGTTCATTGCCTTAGACTGAAAGGAAGGTGCCACTACAATGTTAAGGGGGCCCATGGCCCGCAGACCAAGGCGCCCACTGCAACCGGAAACACGAGAAAGTCCATGGCATCTGTCAAAAGAGGGATTCCTGTTGTTTCCTCTTGGTTTTCCTTAGAACCAACACGAGAAGGGTACCCTCAACAAAAACAGCCACACACACACATGCACAGTTTAGTTCAATCTGCCTTGTTACGGAGAAGGTTTTGCACAATGGAGTTGGGAGATGCCCACTTTAGGTAGGGGGCCATGCAAACTATGGTTTGAGCACAAGAAAGATGTTTTGCAGCTTGATGTTTGCGCGGATGTGTTAGTAGAGATGCTGTCTTCTAGAGAGGCATCAACTTGATGGCAGAAATGGCCTGGTCGCAATCAGTGGAATGAGAAACTTGTCATTATTCAGAGAAGATTTTGAATCTTAATGGGAGCACCCGCAAAATGGTTGGTGAAAATAAACCCAGGTGAATGACATCCACAAAAGGGTCCCGCATCGAAATTCGTATCCATCAAGCGATCAAGAAGCCCAGTTGGGATATTTGACAGCGCCAAGGACAAAGTTCTCGGGCAAAGTTCTGCTGGCCTGCTTGAACTGCGTGGTAGCAGGACCGGACAGGGCTCTCCGTGAGTCATAGGGAGGGGAGGGAGGGGAGGGGGAGGGAGCCCAAATAAGCCCTAAATGAGGCCTTAATACAGGCTTAAGAACTGCTTTTTTGGGGATTGGGGGAACCCGGGGAATCCTTGAGACCTTCCAGATCTTGCAAGGGTTCCAGTTGATTTCTCCAAGGACTTAACCCGGAGGTTCCCCTGCAAGGGGAAAAGCTTCTCTGGGTTTAAGGTAGCCTTCGACTCATCAACCCCCCTTCTATTTCGGAGCGCGAGAGGCATTAGTTTGGGCCTGCTGAACCCCACCTTGCAGCCTCACTTGGCAGCCGCGCCGCTGCATTGCTCCGTTCAGATGCGACTCGGCGTCAGAAGCACTCCCTTGGCTGAACTTAAGTGAGTCACCGCGCAGCTGGCTGGGTGGGTGTTTTTATTCCTGTTTTTCTTTTGAACGGGTGGTTTGAACGCAAAGCAAAAGGAAGCTAATCCTTTTGACACATATTGTACGAGCAACTGACAAGAGTATTGGTAGTTGACTCTTGGTTTGGGCAGGACATGGGATGACAACCCAAAGTTCCCACAAAAGGGCAATCCAATTTTCTATAGGGTTCCAACATCATTTTCATAGAAACATTCTGTCCACACGTTTGAAGGTCTTCCAAGCTATCAACACTCACAGCCATACAGACGGGTGCTCGCTTGGGGTGTCGAAGTGAAACCACGTGTGTGAGATTCTCCCATGCCAGTTCTCAGCTGGGAGCTGGGGGCCCAAACCAATAGACTGTCAACTGTCGGTGTCTAAAGAACCACCAAAAGGACAACAGCAATTTTCCTGTTATTTTTTCCCCATTTTGCTGGCTGCGTTGTTGCTTTGCTCAAGTCATTGCTCAGCTGTGATTGTTGGGGTCATCAACTCAGTCCAAGGTCTATTCCGGTCTTCGTTTTTCTCTGGTCACTGGTCGCTCGACTGATCGCTTGCCGAAAACTGGGTTGTCCACAGGGCATGCCCCATCCGTATCCGTGTTCAGCGGGGGGGGCACGCCTGATCTCGTACTTTGTTTGACCTGATTTGGCATGGTTTGGCCTTATTTGACAGCTGGCAATTGTAATGTTCATCCTTGAAGTATATGTTCCACGTCATTCAAATGCTCGCGTACTGCCATTTGCTAAGGCCCCTTTGGTTCTTGATCAGTTGCCTCACGCAAGCCTCGAGTCGCTTCTCGTATGTAAACCAACTTTGTACCTCTTTGAAAAGCCGTAGTTTTTGGAAGCGCAATAATTGTGTCTGTGTTTTCTAGGGACCACCTTTTGGGGACCTTTTGGGGTCCACCAAAAAGCTCGGTGAAAACCCGCGAGGGTGGGCTTCGTCTTCGCTGCCTGCTGCGGGTCCTACGCGGTTTTGTCGGTGTTGGCGGGGGCGGTGGACGACTGCACCAAGGGCCGGATGGCGATTTATCTCATGGCCTTCGGGGCTGCTGAGCTGCGATCGCCAGATATGTCCAAACGGTCGGTCTGTTTTGTGCTGGATTTGGTACCTGATGTTTGGGTTTTTAGAAGGAAACCTGTTCAACAGGAAGACTGAAGTTGAGGGGTCCTGGCTTGGATTGTTGGTGAGATTTGAATCCTTGCTTCTTGCAGAGGGTAAATGGGAAACTGCCCCCAACCTCCGAACCACCGCTCCAAACCACCAAGAGGGAAGCTGAGATGTCCTTTTTGTTTTTTCTCCCACAGTTGGTACCCTTTTTTGCAGGGTCTCTCACAGGAAGCCAACAGAAAATCAACTGTCCTTGGAGACGATGCCTGCATGCCGCTGACCAACGGAAGACGTTTTCCAGACATGAAGCAAGTGCCGCCGAGGGTGTCTCTATGGCGCAGTTAGAGGTTAGAGGTTACAGGTCAGAGCTAGAGGTTAGACAACCAGTTTGCCTAGAAATGTGTCCGCCATCTATGTTTAGTCAACGGACAGCATTTTGATGCTGGGAGTGTCGACCAATTTAGTCTAGCAAGGTGTCCACCATCTAAGTTTAGTCAACGGATTCAATTTTGCTAAACAAAGCCGCTGGTGATGCTGAAAGTGTCGACCAACTTAACCTAAGGGTAGAGAAGTCAGAGCTTAGAAAAAGTAGTTTAGAATTAGGGTTACACTTGGAGGTTAGATAAGTTAGAGGTTAGTCGTGACAACCATCTGCCGGGGGGGGCTGGGCGTTAAATAGCCAAGGATCCCCTCAACGAAAGAAGATCCTGCAACCCGCTTGATCCATGAACCGCCAGCGGAAGTTGATTGGGGGTGTGCCAGTTTAGTAGAGGGGGATCAGCCTCTAATCCATCAATTGGTTCCATACTTTCAGTCATCCCTCGCGTGCAAGTCAAAGCCTAGACGTGGTTTTGATCCATTTTGTCTATGGCCCATGTTCAGTCCCAAGTGATCACCAAAAGGTCTAGGTGAGCCAAAGGTACACTTCAAAAGCCTCGACACATCAAGCACTGCAAACATGTTTTCCTGCATGTTTGTGGTCTATGTCTGTTCTGTTCTGCGTGTATCCGGGAATTCTCAGGCTTTCCTGTCCGGCATCGCATTCCTGATGCTCGGGCCGGCTCCGATAGAGGTGAACGGCCACTGGGCAAGACGTCGTCCCGCGATCAACAGCCAATGGGGAAGTCACAAGGCCGACCAAAAGGAAGCTACGCACTGTGAGGGCAACCGGTTTTTGCACCCATTGCTCGAGTTTCGGATGTACACAACTCGACCAGGACTCAAGAGTTCGCGGTTCGAAGCCTCAATGCTGTGTGCAAATCGAGAGCGTGATGGAAAACCCTGATATCCGGAGGTTGCGGGTTTGCATGGGGTTGCGGGTTGTCCTTTTGTTTTCCTTTTGGTGGTTTTTCGTTTATCCCATCCCAGCAGTTAAGAACCCGAATTTGAGACAAATCCATGTCGGAGGATCCCCAGGTTGTCCATTTGGACACTCTTAATGTTTGGCATATCTAGTATGTGGTTGTACTAATGGTTTCTCAAAGGGTATGGTGAGGCCTATATAAACCATTCAGGGACCTTCAAGGGGCTCACTATGGGGGGCCTGAGGATAAGCCCCTGTGGCCTTATTGCGGGTTAAACAAGGGCCAACCCTCCCCTTACCCCCCACCCCTGCCCGGGAGCCCATGAAACATTATAGCGACCTTGGTACAACAGCGAAGTTTTCAATGGGTCCCGGTCCCGTTGGTGCACATCATTCTGGGGATTCATGGCCACTGAGGTGAGTCCAACTTTTGAACAGTGGCCAAAAGTCATTGACTTTTGTCAAGCTAAGGACATGAGCTTGAGCTCAGCTCCGCCTTACTCTGGGCCTCCACTGCTTTTCTTGGCTCCGGGGTGGCATTTGGCCGCCTGACTCTACTAGAGCTTTCAAGAGCGAGCTTCTGGCTTTATATCAAAGCCCCCATGTGCTTGGTTGCCCTTTCATTTCCTTTCAAATAGCCTCAAAACCGGCACACCGAAATGCTGATTGACCTCAAGGCGCCCAAAGTCGTCATGATGATGCTATAAACGGTTCGCGGCTTGCTTGGGGCGCAAAAGTAGAACCTCGCAACACTGGCGCGCAAAGGCGTGAGTGCCAACATCCGCAAACATGGCTCTTGCCTTTGTGCAGCTGCCTCAACACTTGTACTGGAGGCGTGGCACATATGTTTTATTTTAAGGTTGACTAAATATAGACCATAACCCTGAAGATTTGAGCAGTTGTGTTGACCCAGGTTCTAGGCTGAAGGGGTGACCCTTTTGAATTTTGCGTGTGAAGTGGAAGCAAAAACCGACGACAGTTCTGCATGTGAAGTGTACAGAGAGTTATTTTGTCCCACATGCCTATTGAAAAGTCACGATTTCGAGTGTAAATGTAGAGACACTGCACAGGCGACGCAGGAGAAACGACCAGCAACACTCCAGCCATCAAAAACGAAAAAGGTGTTCCAAGCGGCGCAGCACTAAGGCTGCTCGTGTTTTCCTTTGGCAAACAGGCAAGCGCAGCCCAACTCTGCTGTGAAGGGATCATGGAAAGGCGCACACACGGGAAACCGTGAGATTGAATCTGAATTTTGAACAGTGCTCTTTCGCGATTTGGTGCGGGTGAGAAGTTCATAAACACTGCACATTCGCTTAAAGGAAAGCTGTGAAATTGAAGCTCTTTATCATTGGTCGTCGTCGGTGTCATCATCGTCGTCATCATCATCATCATCATCATCATGATCATCAGCACTTGAATCATCAGCATTTGCATCAGCATCATCACCACATTGTCCTCGTCTCCTCGCCGCCTTTGTGAAATGGATGAGTTGTTGGATACTATTACAGCAGTTCGCCGTGTGAAGTGGGGGCAGACTGCATGGTGACTGTGGCTTGCGGAAAGGGGTCTACGACCCACGTGGCACGCGGACGTTAGCTCTATGTCCGGAGCAACACTTCTGATCAGAAGAATTGCTTCAGCGCATGTAAAAGCGCATACTCCCCTGGCACTATTCTACAACTGATGTTTGTTGGTTCCATGCTATTCTGCAGGGCTGTTGCAGACAGGTGGTATCGCATGGTATCGCTGCACAGCCCAGGACTGATTCCTGTCTTCAAGCAGGTGCTGAGCTGCTTGTCTGCACCATAGCGCACTTTTCCTACTCAGAATGGTTCTATGGCCGCTTGGCCTTTCAGACAAGCTGCGGCGTTCAGCTTTGACTTGGTATCGTGTGGTTGAAGTTCGAGTCTGGAATGGCGCGACATGAGACCATGCGACCGGCAACTTAGCAAGGCGACGCGTTTATTATTTGCACCACACCTCATTTGTAACGTAGCCTTCATGCAGGCTAGACCCGAGATTTGCGAATGTTTGAATTGCAATCTTGCACCATCCTCATTTTCTATCAGACCGGCACGCCTGGTCACATCAAAAAAACTTCTGGCGTGCATGGCCTTGCCTCCGAGGCCATGCCAAGCATGAGAGCGCCGAGGAGCGGGAACTGGCGGCCTCCTCTGTGTTCACCCTGGCTATGGCCACAGGCATCGCTGTTAGCCTCGCTGATGGCTTGCTTGGGTCGATCTTTTGGAGCTTATGCTGTTCCGAAGGGTGTTTGTAGTTGTTTTGTTGTTTTCTTTTGGCAAGCGGTGTTGGTGTGACTCTCAAATGACACGCTATTACATTCGTGGCAGGCAGGCAACGAGGCGTTCCGAGGCAAGACGATGAAGCAACAAACAGGAGGCTCATGGGCAATCTGATCAATGTGAAGGATGCTAGAGCCGCCCTTCGCATTTTTTAGAGCTGCGAATCAAGACCGAGACGCCTGAAATTTGGGTTGAATCAGCTCTTTGCACTTGGACCTTGGCCAATGTGCCAGCTGACGGAGCGCCACGGAGAGCAGGACGATCAATGTTGTGTGAAACCCAACAAGACGGTTAGATCTTTATTAGGTGCACATGCGTACACCCAATGACATGTGGGCATGTTTTGACCAGTTTGCGTTTCTGCAGCGAGCGCGGACAGAAGGGCCTTACCCAGCTTTGACATGTTGACCACGAGCGCGAGGCCCCAAGCATTGAAGATGAAACTCAAGCCAAATGCAATGCATGAAGCCCTTACACACATACGCACACAAATGCCGGAAGCGAGCGTCCCAGACCTCATGCCTGGACTTGATGTGCTTTGCATTTGATTTAACCAACCCAGGAGCATGCATGTTGATTTGGCTTCATTTGAGGACAGTTATTCAAACAAGAACATTTCAGGCTGAGACAGTGTTTGGGAGGAAGTGATAGAGCGAGACGTTTGTTTGTTAAGAGCATTCTTTTCAATAGCTTGCTCAAGCAAATGAATCGCCATCAGCAAAAACAGCGAAAGAAAAGCATAGTCTCAAGCTACACACCTAATTGCAGTTTCAGCCATGGGAATTGTTCACCTGGGTGTGGGTCAAAAGTAGGGTAACCCAAGACTGGAACCCTGGTAAATGGAAACGAAGGACTAAAACCTACATGGAAACATACTGTCCCTTTGTGGTTGTATGCCTTGTTTTGTCAAGGGCTCTGTTTTTCAGGGAAGAAAGAACAGAGAGATATTACTTTACGCGGTTTCAAGTGAGTTTGCCTGTACTGTTTGCCTGCCCAACGTGGAACCTGGGGCCTGTCAAGAAAGAGAGCCCTCTCGACCTTTGGAGCATACTCCAAGATTCTTTCAGTGGCGTCGGGAGAAATATGGGTGTGTCCCAACGTAAAAAATAAGTAAAGTAAAACATGGTAGGCTTTTCGATTGGCTTGCCTTTAAAACCGCCCCTAAAAAGGGTGCCCTCAAAAAAGACAGCCAAATGTGTGAAAGGCGTGGAATGTCCTTGATTTTAACAGTGCCCAGTTGCAGGTGACACGCAACACGTTAGCTCTTCAATCAGCGGTTCCATTGGCTACCCGCTAGCAAATGGAATCACCGGGTAGGGCATGATATCTTGTTTATCGTATTCTTTCAGTTCTGAATGGACCGTGCCGACCAATACTCACTTGCCCAAAGCCGACCTTTTCACCTTTTGCTCTCCCTTGTTGGTCCACTTTTAGTCATGGCCCCAAATGGCTGTGGGTCAAAACCGCTGAACATCAACATAGGTGGCAAATGGATGTTCATCCACCCGAAAATGGGATCGCCATAGGTTATGCCCCACGGCCAAATGGTGAACCTTTGATTTCTGGGTCCCTAAGGACTGAGAAATCCTCGCAAACTCGACTCGACTCGAGACCCGTGGAAGGCGTCGATTCGTCGATCGCAGGCTCGTTCTTGGGCCCCACGCTGGGCGGACTCCTCAGCGATTTGGTGGGAGTGCGTAAAGCCTATGCATACTCCGGCGCCTTGGCAGGAACCAATGTGCGCCCGTGTTTCAGTGGAGAAAAGGGTGTGGCTTGTGAGGATAATTACTATTTTGGTATAGTTTTTGATGTAAGCCAAAAGGGAGCATCATTTATCAAACGAAAACCTTTCCATCTGGTCCGTGGGTGCAAGAAACGGAAGACGTGGGGAATCCCCGTTTTTTTTGCGGGATGGTTCGCAGCGGTGACATTCAAAGATCCAGACTGCCACTTGTAAAGGGAAGATTGAGGCTAAACAGTTGGTGTTCAAGACATGCTTGTTGCAAGAGCCCTGGGTGTGCTGTTCAGGCCTTTTGGAGATCATACTCTCGGTGGTTCTTCTGATCATGGCAATGACCCCGGCCTTCCGCATTCAGTCAGCGGCAGGGCCGGCGCTTCTGGCAGGGTAGCTGGGAATGAGATGATGCCATCCCACTAACCTGGCTTGGCGCTTGGAACTCCTTTCCAAAAGTTCCATGTCGGAGGGTCCCATTGTACAGTCCTTGATGCGAGAGGAAAAGTGCATGCAGCGTGCTTGCGTGTCTCATTGGGCTTAAGGAATCAAGCGGACGGAGAGCGCGAAGCGACAGTTTATCTCGCACCATTTGTGATTCCAGGAAAACCTGACTTAGTGCCCAGGATTGGTTTGCGCTTTGCGTTGTGAGTTGTATGCCTCATTTGCTTTGTTTCGGGAAGGCGGGACTTTCAAGAAGGAAATCCTTGGTGGTGTCGATTGGTTTGGGGACTTGGTTCGGCAATCCCTAGTTGACCTCCAAACCTCCAGCCCAAACCCCCAACGGATCTCTAGACCTGATTTCCCTCCACAAGGGCTTGACATCCCCAAACCACCAATACCAACGACCAATGCAAACCACCAATTCTGGCACCTGACGTTGCGCGGTGGTTCAGGGACACTCAAGTGGGTTGCCTGTGTCCCCCAGTCGTGCCCTTTTACCGTTTCTTTTTTGGGGGAGGGTTCCCCTACTAACATAGACTACAGAACAAGTTGGTACCCTTATTCTAACCTCTCTACTGGAGGACCTAGTTCTAGGGGTCACTTCCCCATTCTTTCCAGGGATCCGAATCTTTCTAGAAAACCACCAAAAACCCAGTAGAAATGGCGATCGGTTTTTGAAAAGAGCGATGGCTGAACAAGGAATCAAGCCCCAGACTAGTTGCTTGTTTGCAACGACCAAGTCGTTCGATCGCAGGGAGCTGCGGCTGTCCCTGCTGGGCCTGCCGCTGCAGCGCTTTGCGCGCACGCAGCTGCAGCAGCTGGTGCTGCTGGCGGCGCTGGCGCGGATGTCGTGGGGAGGGGCCTTCTTCTTTTTGACAAGCCAGAATCCATTTTGGGATTTTTGTTGAGGGTCCCCTAAGAAAGACACGCCACATCTTGTACTGGGCCATTTTTCTGGCGCGTGTCCCTTTCAGTGCCCATGTTTGCACGAATTGCAATGAAGCAAAGGGGGCAAAGGTAGCAAGTTTTGTGAGCTTGAACCACCGACCGTGTCTTGCTTCAACTCTGGGGTACGCGGAAGATCATATTAGTTTTTAGATTCCTCAGTCGCCCAATGCAAATCGACCTGTTCACCTTTTGATTTCCCTGATTTGGCCTAGAGTCAATGTCCAAAAGGTGAGCCGTTGAATTCCAGATCTTTGGGCAAGTCAAGTTCATATTTAATCAAGCAACAAATTCTAGAACTATGAGCTATATTCTGGGGAAGACAGCACATTTTTACTCATCTGATGTTTCCGCAAAGGATAAGTTGAAATTCTTAGATTGGTAGTTTGGGAATTTGAACCTCTGCTTCTTGTAAGGGGGTCAAGGGGAAGCCACTCACCTAACCTCCGAACCACCACACCACACAATTATTCGGGGGAAGCTGATTGATGGTTTGGAGGTCAGGGGGCCCGCCGTACCACTCTCGACCTATCCACTAACATAAGTTGAAAGTACAGAAGAAATGGCTGTTAAACTGTATAGGGTTGGGCGCGCGAGTGAGCTCAAGTTCATTTTGGTTTAAAGGATCTAGTCCATGGTTGTACTGGCTTTTAAGGCCATTTTGTGTGCTAAGGAAATGTCCTTCAAGTCGACAAACTCACAGCCACTTTGGTATCATAGAAAGCATGGTTTCACCCACAAGCCCATGGTTTTGTCAACGATGTTGCGATCTTTACCGGGATGTCTCCGGTCGGAGTGTCGGTTCGGAAGCGTCGGCAGGTCCTTGTGAGCAGCGTGCTGGCTGCAGCTCTTCAAGAGCGCGTGCTCTATGTGCCTGGCTTCCGCTACACAGGCACAGAGACATGGGGTCTCCTCAGACAATGTGTTGTAGGCCAAGTAAATATGAATTTGAACATGTATTTGTGTTCTGTGTGCCCTCAGTGGGCCACGCCTTGGGACCCTTAGGGAGGAGGGCTTCTGCTAGCGAGCGCTGGATTATTTTTCGGGTTGTTTTTTTTCCGCTGGCATTTCTCACGATGGGTGTGCGGACAAGTTGTTTGTGGTGAGGAAATCCAAGAGCTGTTTAAGGAAGCCTCAGGGTCGGCTGAGTGCATGGACAATTTTGGTTGGGGGGTTTGGATTGCTTTGGGAATTTGAACCTCTGGTTCTTGTTGGAGAATGGGAAACCACCCAAGCCACGCACACCTTCAAGGGGAAGCTGATTGGTAGTCTATTGATTTGGGAGGGACACCAGGCCCCCCCGAAGCGCCGCTTGACCGGGAAGCCCGGGAAGCGTAGGTTGGCTCGCGTTGCTTACGTCCCTGACCTACATGGCTCTGGCGCTTCTGGAGCGGCTAGTGGAAGGAGACTTGCAGCTTGGACTGTCTTTTGTGAGGCTCGGGACCCCTTTTGTTTTTATAGGTTTAACAGGAAGCTTGTCAAAGTTCGAAATCCATTTGGGGGGGGTAAATCCCTTTTTGGACACATTCCTAGGGGCCTGACCTTGAAAAGGGGCCGTTTGATACAACGGGCCGCCCGTTACAACATTTTTCCTGGGCACTACGTCAGCCCTTGGATGATTCTTCCGGAATATCGTTTTGGAACATAGTTTTTTGGGTGGTCTTGGGGTCCCCCCCTTGATGGTGGTTTGAACAATTCAAGACAGCCCGATGATCCAAGGAACATTTGCTCATATGTTTTGAAGTTGAAGGTCTACGGTCAGAATAATGTATGCCCACGGTGGTCAGGATACCCAATAAAATTAAACATATTCCAGGGGTGGACCCCGCTTAGGCATGGCCCATTTGATACAGCTCTGACATGCATGTTTGTAGTCTGAATGCGTGACGATGCTTGGAAGCGCACTTTATCGTTGAACAGGAAGAGTGTTGCATTCGAAGAAACTACCTGTTTGTTGGCAGCGATCGTCGTTGCCACAGCCATCAATCGAATTGGCTCCTTTTCTTTGGGCAAGTGTAATTTGCATGATTTCAAGAGTGGGCAGAAGCAGCATTTTGCGCGGATTCATTGGTTGCATACCTGGCGCGCTGCATGCAGCCATATGTGCTTGCTATCGACACCACATCCTGCTCGCCTGGTGCGATCCTTTTACGTTCTTGTGCCTTTGGAAATCAGGCCAAGCAATCAGTTCGGGGTGGGATCTCTTGAGCTTGACATGTCAACTCTATTGTGCACATGCCGTGAAGAGTTTGGTTCCCCACTGAAACTTGTCAACCCCCCTCCAAAAAAAAAGTCATGGTAACTAAAATTTGTCAACCCACAAAAAAAACACCATGTTCTTCAGGGTAACTAAAATTTGCAACTTGGGACATGTCTTGTCAACGTGTCTTCGAGCTAAGTGTCCAATCAGATTTCGGAGCGAAGGCAACGTCGCGGCTCCGGCCTGGAGTACGTGAAGCTCTCGGTGCTCACCATGGGTGGCATGTACCTCACCAATTTCAGCCACAGCCTCAGGCATTCAGAGAGAGCGCCTGGAGGTCTCCGTGGCTCAAACAATATCCCAAGACTCAGAATTGGTCTCCACGTCTTTTTGAGGGGGGATGGTAGCATGGTTGGTGTGATACCAATCGCCTTAGGTGAAAATTCATGGGTTCAGCCCTCACGTCATTTTTCACAAACTCGGATGGAGGCCGGGATGTGTTTGACTTTGCGTCACAAAGTGGCGCCAAGTGAGGGACGTTCTTGACTGGCATGTTGGGTTATGTTCATCCCTAGAGGCTTGCACTACCTGAGCTACTCCTTGCGGGTGGTCTTCAAGTCCAGCAAGCTGATCCCGGTGATGCTGCTCAGCGTGGTGTACTTGACACTCAGCCGGCACTTGTTTTTGTTTTTTTCTTTTATTTTTCACAAGGCTCTCCCCCCCCCCCCGATCTGGTCCACCGTTAGGTAGGGGATCGCTCGAGGGCTTTTCGGAGGAAACCGGGGATCGGGAATTTCCTCTGACAGCCACCAAAAGTTGCGGAAATCGGGCCATGGTTGAACTGAGCACATAGGAGCATAGGTGGTTCTCGGCCAGCTATGACCCAAGTGACTGCGAAAATTGGAAAGCAGCAGATGAATCGGAAGCCGTGGGCGGCCATCACGCACCAAGATGCCCCTAAGAGAATGGCTTTGCGGAGAACACTACGTTTACAATCCAAGATTGAAAAGGTTCTTTGTCTTTCGTTGTTTATGTTGATTTCTTCTTTGTGGTTTGCTTGTTTATCATATGTTAATGATTTTCAATCCTACCTGGAATTCCACTACTAATACAGTAGCATTTGTTCCTTTCATTAGTAATACATATTTCTATGCAAGATATTGATCCTCTATCTATATCTTCTTCAAATTGCCTCCGGGTTCTCTTCTTTCACACATCCAGATATATAATGCATCCCCCACGTTCAATTGGCTGACCGTACCTGGAAGCTTGCGATGCCTGAAGAGTAGGTCATAAGACCATGTTACCTGCGGTTGGCAGGGATGATGTTTGCCTTAAGAGGGATTGTAGACAATCAAAGGATTCCTATGCAGTGAGCCACTACCATGACTGACACAAGTTTGAGCACGTGCACCAAGGAAGAAGCGCTATACTGTCGCTCAGTATGCGGCAGTGAGTTTGCTCACCGCAGGCTCGAGAGATGCATGGTGTCCATGTCAAGCAAGAAAAGCGACTCAATCCTACTCCCATAATTGTAAACATGTAGTTCTAAAGTAGTCGGTTCAGGTAAGTTGCGTGTATTTGCGATAAGATGGCATCATTGACTGAAGCGAATGTGGAAGCGTTGTCATAGCATGTGCGGTTGCAAGTGGAAGTCGAAGTTAGGCTGGAGTCTGGGCAAGTGTTCGAATGACTAGGACCCCGTCCCCGAAGAAGGGTGTTTGGATCCTTCTAAAGAACCCGAACTTTGGGGTGTGTTCTCTTTAAACCACTATGTAGAGTGGAGGATGTCACTTTGGACCCAGCAGATGTGTGGGCTGTGTGCTTCCCCGATGTTGCCAAGGCCGGCTGCGAGTTCCCAGTTATGTCCCGCTCAGGCGTGGTCGTCTTCACCCTGGGCGACGCCAAAGGCTGTTCAATGCGGGACATATTATTTGTACATGATCAGTCGACTATTGGTTTAGGGAGGGCAAGGGGGTGCCATCCAAATCTCCCACCAAAACCGCGTCTTTTCTGCAAGTTCAGCACTTGACCTGTCTGAGGTCCAATCAAGCCATGCCTTGTTCAAAGCTTGTGATGCACAAAACGTGACACGTCACGGAATTGCGGCCAGGCCGTGCCTATTTCAACCCAGTCGGCATCGCTTTCATCATAACTGGCTCTTTGGCAGATGCCATGGCGGCCAGCTACGAAGAGAAGTGCTTCTTTTCTCGGCTGCTTGCCTCAACATTTGTCTCTAAATTGGGGGAATCCCCAAAATTTGCGGGTTTCCTTGCAGCTTAAGAAGCTGCAACCAACGGCACCTCTCAAAAAGACACCCAGGTCCAGATGCTTGTTTGACATGAGAATTAAAGGTTCTCAGTCAGGCAAGCATTGTATGGTTTCAGCCCATGTTTCGAAGTCCACAGTGGTATGCATTCTGCACGTCATGCTTGGAGTTGTCGTTCAAGCCTCTCGGTGAAGCTCAGGATGGGCTGCTCCGCGACAGAGGTGGTGCTTTACAGCAGCGCAATAGGCAGCGTGCCTTGGCTTTGAGAGATGGAGACAGACGGAAAGAAAGGGGAGGGGAGGGGAGGGGAGGGGACGGGAGGGAGAGGGGAGGGGAGGGGAGGGGAGGGAGAGGCGGGGCAAGAATCTGTATAAACAAAGCGGCTTAGCAAATCTAGTAGCAGCTGCCTTGGATTTTCGAACTTCGACAGCCCAATGGCAGGTCCGGCATTGGGCCCCGAGCCAACAGTGTGCCTCGAGCCGCTCTCGTCAGCTTTGCTAGCGCAGGCGCTAAGGCATATCCACAGACCTTTATTTTAAGCCGCGCCTAACCCAACGTGTTTTTTAGGCTAGGTTCATCTATTTTCGCATTCAGGCTTTTGTGAAGCGAAGCGATCGTCTTGGCTCAGTCATTTTGGACTGACAGAAGGAAGCTTGCAGCCTCGTCATTCCAGGGGAGTTCCGGGTTTGAGCTAGATTTCAAGTCAGGCCCCGGGGCCATTTGGGTTTGTCAGTTTTGGAGTTTGTCCCTTTTTGCTGCTTTACAGAGAAGCCAGGGAGCACCAAGTTTCAAGTTTTAATTCCATTTGTGACGAAAACAACCTTTCATTGCGCCGCCCTCAAACCTACTTCGGGTTTTGCTCTCAACCACAATTTGGGAGAGTATTTCGGTCAGAAACTTGCGGTTCAGCACAAGCGAGATAGTCACATTCATCGTTCTATGTCCGGTACCCTACATGAGTCGCTGGCCATTTGTCAATGGTCTACTGTTGGTTTGCGACATGGGACCCCCAAATACCAACACAGCGGACGCAAGTTCCCCTTGTCCTTTTGGGCAGGCATTCGTAGATTTGGTCTGTTGCTCCGAAATTAAACAGGAAATTCCCTCAACACATGGTGGACATCCATCCCCTTGTTCATGTCCACGAAAAGGTTCCCATTTGGAGGTGTGCTTAAGTTTGAGGGTATTCTTTTTTAGGAAGGGCACACGGAAGCCAATTATTGTCGTTGTCGTTCCCCGTATGTTGGCACCGGAATCTTAGGATGGCGGCGTTATCCTTTGTATGTTTCCGGAATGTTCCATCGTTAATAGAAGCCAGGAAATCCTACACAAAGTTTGCCAAGCATTTTCCTTTAGAATGTCCATCGGTTTCTTAGAGTAGTGTTACAAACAAGAGCTGGCGTGATTCTTGTTTTTTGGGGGCGAACAACCATAATTTGTTTTTGAAGGGTTCCAGGGGCTTCTGGGGCTGTTGGGGGAATTCACCTGAGCAACGCAAAGGACGTCAACCAGTTTGTTTTTTGGGGATCCTCAAACTGTGAAAAGAGGTACTTGCAAAGACAAACATAAACTCAACAGACCCCATTTGGCTCCCCTCAAGAAATGACTCAGCAATTTAAGATTTGGTCGAGCGCTCATGGCGCGTATTCAACAGACCCGGTTCGGCTCGACCAAAAGCGAGTGCAACGTGGTGCTCTTTTCCAAGTGGCCGCAGGCTGAGAGGCCCCCCAAAGCGCTGTTGGCCACCACCCTAGTTTGTGGTTTGGATTTGGATTTGAGCCCGTGGTTCTTGAGTACATGGGAAACCACCCAACCTCCAAACCGGGCTCCAAAGGCTCCCTTTTGGAGCCACAAGCAAAACCCGGGTAGTTGAAGGATAAGGGATGGTCCCAACCATAAACGGGCGCAGCCGTCTTGTGAATTTCTGTACATGGTTGTGGGTAGATTTTGGTACCGATCAGTTTTGATGATGCCTCGGCTGACGATGGCTGGTGCCGCCTTACATGGGTAGATGATTTTTTGACCGATCGGTTTTGATACTCGGTCGATGGCTCGCCTGAGGTGTGGGCTCTGCTTGCGGAGGTGGCCACTGGAGAGCTCCTGCCGGCAGCGCAGCACTCCGTAGATCACCTCGAGGCGGTGCCTTGGAATGGGAAGCCCTCGCCAATGGATGGTGATGGGATGATGTGCTAAGGCTAGGTCTCCCAGTAGTGCCCTTTTACCGTTTTTTTTTGGGGGAGGGTTCCCCTACTAAAATAGACTACAGACAAAAGGGCACCCTTATTCCAACCTCTCTACTGGAGGACTTAGAAGGGGAACGCGGTTGTTGGCGCTTTCCCAAATTATGTTGGTTGTTGTATCCAGTGTTTTGGTTTAGACAAAAAACAACATGTTGGGTGGTTCCTCCTCCATCAATCGAAGAGCCCGGGGCCGAAAAACTCTGGCGGGGCTCCCTTGAACATGAAGTGCCAAACATTGAGGTCTGGGGATGGTTCGGCGATTCAATCCGTTGCAAAGGTTTCCGTTCAAAATCAACCAGCGCTCGGCAAACCTTGTTTGAGCAACCGAACCTTGGTCCCCTTTGACAGAGAAGCCAAGAGAAGGTTGTTTAACCAATAGTCGCTTAAACATTGCAGAACAAGGGGTTGTTCAGGGCTGCCCATTTTCTTGGCTGTTTTGATCACCCTTTGGAGCCAGTTGGAAGTGAGTCCTTTTGCTGGGATTTTTTTTGTTGGAAATATAGGGAGTCCTGTTGGGTGGTTTTTTGTCAGGTGTTGTTTTTAGAAAGTCAAGCAGCACAAATAGACGTTTGGGGTTGGGGGTTGGGCGATTCAGTCCCTTGAGTGGTACATCCAGGCTGGGCCAGCTTATACAGGTCCAAAATCAAAGCACCTGCTTGGGTGGGATGTGTCCCTTCAATCCCCCAAACGAGGTTTGCTGGGAATCGGAAGCCATTGGATCGGAACATGGCCATGTTTTGGGTTTGGTGACATCAACTAGGATTTAAAAGAAGGCAGGAAACCCCTCCTAACAATTAACCAGGTTGATTAATCCGGGGCCGACGTTACGTCTCTAAACAAAACAACAAGCATGGCCTTAAATGGGTGTGTGTGTGTTTGTTGAGGTTAACCCTTTGTGGGCTGGTATTGAAAGGGAACTATGCAACAACCATTTTGGAGCCAATTTGAGAAGGGCGTTGCAACTAGTAAAAGTATAGTAATAGCAGTTCTAAAGGAAGACCACCAGGAAAACCACAGAATCATAGCTTTTGGAGAGTTCCAGAACCAGGTTTGCATATCATATCATTTGGTTTTAAAATGGAACAGTGCCCTTTGGTGGACATCATAAATGCATCGGGAGTTGCGCTCCAAGCCCCTTGTCTGATACATTTGCTAATTCAAAGCAAAGCAACATCATCCTAGTGTTGCACTTGTCGACCAAAAAGGATCATCTTTAGTCCGCCAGAAGCTGTGGCCGAATCGCTTGGCTGAAACGGGGATGGTCGTGAAGGAAGCAGCCCGCGACCTAAAAAGGGGAAGATCAGTTGCCTTCCGCTCAGGTACCGCTGATGATCCTAGCGGCTTGGTTCCGGAAATGAGTTGCAAGTGTCCGGCGTGTCCGGTGAGCGATTCCCACGTGTTTCGGATTTGCCCCGAATCTCATTGTCGGATTCTTTTGTTTGACCGGTCCGCCTTGGGAACTGTTCCGTACCTGACATTGGGGTCCAGAGTTCGGGGTTTCCTTCAAATTGGTACAGCAGTTTGGCTTTCAGAGAAATACAGCATGGCCTGGTTCAAGCAAATGTATCTTCAGCATGCCCCCGGAAGTGCATTTGTGGTCCCAGTTTCCTGTTGGGGCCTGCCCTCCCTTGAGGTTGGGAAGGCATTTGAGGGAAACGCAATGCGAGATGCTCAGGCTTTGTTGATGCGCGACAGAAAAGGAAAACGCCGCTACTAGATGCTTGGTAGAATCAATTTGGCTGGAACATCAATGCCAAGAAGACAGAATTGATGTATTTCACCGTTAATGATTCGAAGGCACATGCCATGGCAAGATTGTAAGGCATCATTCTTCGGCTACATCGCGCAAAATGGGGTTCTGCTCATCATTAAGCACTTTGGTGCTACCGCCGCCGAGATTGTGAAGAGCTGCCGAAGCATGGAAGCATGAGTTGCAAGATTGTCCTACACGCGCCATCCAAAGCAGAACTCTACTTGGGCTGGGGTGGTGATCAACCCATATCAACCCCATATCAACCCCTCGAAAAGGCTCTTGTTTTAGCCAACCATAGGACCATAGGGGTTCACTATGGACATGTTGACGTAATTTTATGGTGCTGGTTTTCCAAGAGTTGACATGCCGCGTCTAAAAAGGGCTCTCTTTTGCTGCGGCAGGTACTAATCTCGGAATTCCGAGATTCCTGCCATCCTTCTGACACAATGCATTTCAATGTGCTGTTGATGCACGCCTGCCGCACAGGAAAAGTCGCCACCATTTGCATCTCTTTCCTGGTCTACAGCAAGCCCTGGAATGGCGGCTCGTTTGCCAGGCTTGATGCCGCCCTCCCAAGCTCCAAACCAACTGGAACCACCAATGGAGGGTTTCGGAATATGGGGCTCCTTCGGTTTTTGTATGGACAGATGCGCAGAAACTGCGTGGGCGCGGCCATGCGGATTGTCAGTACCCGGTGTGGCTTTGGCGCCCTGAGGCTACCACGTGGCCGGCACACTTCTCTTTGTGAACTCCGTGGCAGTGGAGCGGTTCAACTCGGGTGTCTCCTCAAAGCTCGGGTCTAAGTCGACTGTGACACAGGCTTACTTTACAGGAACCCCGCGAAAGTTTGTGTCCTTTTGGTTTCCCTTTCACGCCAACCAAAGGGGGTCCCCCAACAAGAAGGTTACACTGGTGGTTACCAAAGTTGGAGGATCCTCTTGTGAATCAAGCAATTGTTGCAAGTATCTGTTTGGCGAACCCAGCACAGCGGAGGGGGCATAGCGGCAAGGGGCATACCTAGTGGGAGGGTAAATTGTTTTGGCGACAGGCCCCACAATCGGAAGATGAACTTATTTGACGGCAGCGACCTTCTCAGAGAATCCTGCAAGGGCGCTAACCAACAGGCTCCTGCTTGAGTCACATGATTATACGTGTGTGGGTGCGTGGCATTCTAGCACCCGTGTGTTGGACCCGGTTAGGCTCATGGTCTTTTGGATGTTCAGATGCCAGCTACTCTCAGGCCAGAAAACTCCAGCTTTCTGTGTTTCTCACCAGGAAATGCTTCAAATGAAGTTGGTTGTTTTCCCTCCTTCGGTTGCTTCAAGTATCAACCAGGGCTCCGAAATCTTTGAGCACTCCCCACTTAGCCTCCCCATAGAATTCGAGAGGACCCGGAAGACGATTTTCCCAATGCAATCATTGCTCTGGTTTTGCCCATTTCGCCCAGCTCTGGCACCTGAAAACAATCTGAGACTCGAAAGCAAGGATTATCAAACTAAACGGGTGTTATGGAGGGTACCTGTTTTTTCTCGGTTGGTGAAAAGGGACAAAGAAGACCAGTTCGTGGGGTCCAAATCCCCATTTTGACACAATGAACGCCTTGCCCATGGGATGACCCCAACCCACCTTTCGCTCCACGAGAAGAAGCGCCCGAGGCGCTTCGCCACGTTCCTCTTCAGCTTCGCCAGCGTCGTGGCCTTGCTGTTGCTCTTCGGGGAGGGGCCATCGGCCTTCAGCGGCTCGGCGGGGGGGGGGGGGTAGAGCAAGCTGTCGGTTTCCATTTTGGTACTTTTCCCATAAAGCACTTGTGCTGTTTTCCTTGTGGCTTTCCGAAAACAAGCAAGCTCAAAGAGCGTTCGCCTATAGGAACATATGAGCCATCCACAACACCCTACTTACACTACTTGGGGCAGGGACAGTCATGGACCTCTAGGAAATGTAGACAACAACGGAAAGGGTTCCTACTGGCGGAAGCGTGCCCATGACCCAAACAAGGAGTTTTTGACCGGCTCTGGCCCGAAGCCTCAGCTGGCAGAGCTGGGTCGGCCGATTTGGGTGGTGGGCCATGTCGCACGTGGTCAAGGTGGAGGTGCGACTCGACAGGGTGGAGATCAACATTGTCTACTTGGAGGGGCGTTCTGCGGAAGAGGCTTTGGTGACCTCAGGGGGGCAGATGCCATAATGACGGCGACGGCCATGCAGTTTTGACTCTCCGGCGACTGTGGCCGGGCCTGCAGCTTGTCCTCTGGTTCAGCGCGTCGACAAAGCTTCTGGCCTTGTTTTGCTCTCCTTGACTGATGAGTGTGGCAGAGGGCAGCGTCTTGGGATCTGGTGACATCTGCAAACCTGTCGTCGGCGGGAGCTGGGGGCAGTCCCAACTGAGCTTGCAGCTGGGGATGACTGCAGTCAATGAGCGCGCCTGTTGCAGAGCAACGTAGACATGTAGCATGGTAGCGCGTGTCGCGTTCACAACGGGCCTGCTGTGCCGGTCATGTCTGCGCGCGCAACCCTGCGTCTAGATCCAGGCACCACCCGCTTTGGTGCGCCTTATGTATTGCCAGCCCACCGACATGGCGCGCGTCGTCGACTGACCACGCGATTGTGTACGAGGCTGTGCTGCTGATATATCTGCAGGGCTCCCAAGCGAGTGCCGCACGAACGCTAGAGCCGCTTTGGAGCCACGGAAAGTGTCCTGGCCAGCTGGACAAGATTGTAGCTACAGGTTGAGCACCAAGATCTGATGGAGCCGCGCACCGCGCGTAATCTTCACCGCGCAGCGTGGTTGCCCTGATTTTTGCCTGCGCGTGAAGTGGTTGCTCTGCAAACATGCGTCCGATGGCGTTGGACGCACCCTGTAGTCGAGGCAGTCATGCGTGGACATTGCTATGTTTGTTCATGACCTGGATGCTTGCTCAGTCGCCAGATGGGGCACGTACAGCCTCTAGCTGGCCAACTAGCTCCTCTTGCCCCTCACGCCTAAATCGCCGCGGAGCAAAAATCACATGGCTCACACGAGCATTTGGCAACGTTTGGCACCTGCCATGGTCATGGGTCGATCTCCTATATCTAAGTTGTTGTTGCCATGCAACCTGGTCATAGCACGTGTTTTCGACTGGAGGTTCGGTATGACTTTGAGGCATGCCCTCTGTAAGCATTATGTCATTACAATCTCACCTTAGGATGTTTTTCGCCTGTAAGCATTATTGAGCCTAGAAAGATCAATGTCATTTGGCCCATGTTTGCAGCCTCAAGAGCCCAACGAATGGCCAATTGTTCAGTCCTTACATTTCTCTTTTTGAGTGACTTAAACATCACACTTTGAAGCCGATCTAAAACGGGCTTGTCCTTCCTGAAAGTTGATGTAAAGGGACATGCAAGGACAGGGCTCCTTAAAAGATACATGTTGCCCATTTGAAACATGGCTTTTTCCACCAAACTAAAGCGAGACCACCATTGACAAGGCAATGATCAGGTGTATAATGTAAGGATCCCTGAAGGATCTTGTGCGAACGTCCTTCAAGCTGAGGCGTCGTGATCGATGCCGGCAGCGCTGGCACTCGGATCAACGTCTTCCGCTTTGATGCCTGGACGCTGAAGCTGCAGGGCCTGGAGGGCAAAGCGCAGGCGAAGGGTCGCAATGGGCATACGCTTGGGCAACATCCATTTAGACAAAACATATCCTCGCTCAAGGAGCCAACAATGAGTCAATCAGCAGCTTTTAACGCGGGGATGGCCCAAGCCCGGAGCCAGAGCATGCAATCAGCAATGTGCGTGAAATCAACGCAACTATCAAGCAGTGCCTGGTAGAAGGGTGGAATGTGAATTGTGTATTCGCTATTGTTTTTTGTTGTTGTTCATGGTCGTGTCTCTCCTTAGCCTTGCCAAAGCTTTGGCGCGCTTGAGCGCTTCAGGGAGCAGTTGCGGGAGGAAGTGCTGACAATGAAGAAGTGACCGCTGTGAACTTTGACCCGGCCATGATTTTTCAATTTCCCGCCTGAACTGATATTGATTGAACTGTGGTTGGTAGATGTTTTCATCATGTCACACCTAAAACAAGTTGACAGCAAGTACTCAGCTGATCCCAGCTGCAATCGTCCTCATTCGCTGGATGCATACATGCATTCATTGTTGGCATGCTTACGTGCGTTTGATCCCACTTTGATAAAGAGTCACGCCCTTTGATGGGCAGAATACGCACGCAAAAGGGAACATTCACAATACTGTTCTTCGCTGGTATAGCGAGCAAAGACGCTACAGTTGCTTGCCACCAGTTGCCGTGTCAGCGAGCGCTCGACTGTAAGCATTTTGCTCGAAGTGCTCGACTAAGCGAATCCAGGCTGTATTGGATGAAGGCATCTCACGGCCGATCTTCAAAGGAAAGCAACCACGGCAGTTTCAAGTCAGACTTGGTCTTGCTTTCTCAGCCTTTAATCTCTCCAGTCAGCACTGTCACAGCAAGCCATGCACAAAAACCGGGCAGCCCTTCAAGCTCAAGAAAATGAGGCAAGTACTCTAACAGAGAGGAAAATACACAACCAATCAACAACAATATCAAACAAGCCAAGCAACAGGGGGTGACAGACCGTTGTCAGACATTGCGGCCATGCCTCGCTGTCTGAGACATGCTAGAACAGCTCCAAAGCAAGGCTAAGGAAAAGTTTTTGCTGGAGGCTCTGGATGAGGTGGATATTCTATCGGCTCCCTCAGTGGGGGCTTCCAAACTAGGCAGGGCTCAAAATTAATTCTTCCTGAATTATGATGCCGGTGGTTTCCCTGGTTGACTCCTTATGTCAGGTGCTGTTGGGTCCCATTTACAGAAAAGAACGGGATCCCCCTATTTTAAGACCAACCGTTTTCCTTGTTTTCTCTACAAGTTGCGAGATCTTTTCACCCCAGGAGGCCTGGAGTATGGTCGAGTGGTCCTCGCCAGAGATCTTCGAGATGGTTGGGCCCGTCTGCACGAAGACGAAGTCTGGGCCGCCGGCATTGAGGAAAAGGCCTTTGTACTTGCTGATGGCCGAAGTCTGGGACTTGCACGGCCTATGCGATACCTCGGCGCCTTGTATATTTCATTTATACATATGTTTATCCCTTTCTCACACATACATATATTTTTTTACCTTCAATTGCGTGCGTGCGTGTTGTTTTTGTTTTGTGAATGGATTTGACGTCGGTATGACGGGATATGGTTGTTTGGGGAGGGTGGGGCGTGAAACGGCCCAAGCGCCGTTTGCTGTATTCCGGGTCCCGAACGTTGAGGCACCGATGTGCAAGACTGGCCATTCTTCGAAGCGCTTCAGTGCGCTGAGTTGAATGGTGCCTCATGGGCCAAGATTCCTGGGGGATTGAAGCCCAAGCCCTTGGTGGATTTGGCGTGGCTCAGCAGTTGGCACTCGCCGGACGGCACCATACTTGAGGCGGGTTGAGCTTTTCTGTCGGCTAAGAGAGTTGCAACCCAACGCGTGAAAGGGAGCTTCCCTTTTCATGTCCTTTTTTGAAGTGTTTCTTGGTTCCTTCTGCGGTTGCAGCATATCCCAGCATGACTTGAGGCACCTCCATTGCATCATGATGATCATCGCCACATCGAGAGGCCCCTGCCGCGCTTGTGTGTTGCTTCTATGGTCAGAGGTTCGCCTCCCGCCATGATTGAGAGCTTGATTCTTCAGCACCATGCCAACGGCTTCGAGAAGGTGGGTGTGGGTTAAAATAGTAGAGACTGACATTGTTTTGTGTGTTACATATTTATATATATATATATATATGTGAACAATTGCAGGGTCGCCTCAACAAAGACAGGTGGTGTTGTACTTCGACCGCCCTGACGAAGAATCACTGGCAGTTGCCGCTGTGGAGAGGTTTGCAAAGCCATTGCCTACTGGCCCCAATGGCTTGCTATGCAAAGCGGTGGCCGTGCGTTGCACGGAGCAATGGTGGCTCGGTTCCCAGCCATGCCGTTAGACTTAGGCTCTTAGACGGTCAGTGCTTAGAAGGATTTACGGATTTACGACATAGCCCACGACAGGGGTCACTGTCCTGTAAAAAGACAAAATCATTCATTGCTAGCCGTTTTCTACTATGGTCATGACCAACTTTGGTTTGGAAGTACCCGAATCCCCATTCTTGGTATTTAGCCCCAGCTTTAGCAAGGGACCAAATTGAGGTGGGAAGAAGTGCGGAAGAAGTCGCGCTACTACCTTCGAGAAGATGAAGCGCTGGAGCTCTACCGAGAGACCGCGCACCTCGATGCGCACATCAAGGATGTGCCTAGGTGCCTCAAAACATAGCAGGAGGGGCCTGGGTGCTGAATAGATGGCCTTTCAACAACATCATTACAGAAAATGCAAGGGGGTGTTTTTTTAGCACATTGTCAATGTCCCTAAGCAGAAGGGGATGGATCATTTTGTTGTTTTCTTCCAGTCCTATCCAGCAGTATGCTGTTGGTGCTGATATCCGAGAAGGTGTCCACCCCTCAGGGGAACGCGGGGAAAACACCGACCCCTTAGGTGCAAGCACGGCAGATGCTTTGCATTGAGCACGCCCTCTTCGAAGCGCAGCGTGAAGGTTTCGAGTGGGTGTTGCACGTCGACTCGGATGAGATCTTATTCTTTCCAGACCAGGACAGCTTTCAGAGATCAGATGTGTAAAAGGAGGGCGCTTACCCCATTTTTCCGACCCCACGTTTTCTTGTCCCAGCTTTTCAGGAATATGAAGAATTCCCCCTAGTTTTCGACATTTGTTTTTGTTTTATTCGTCGGGTTTAAGGTGGGAAATTTGATTTCGGCATGCAGGTGAACGTGAATGGCCCCAGGAGAGACACAAAGATGCGCGCCGCTTCTTCCTCGAAGTGCCTCTGCACTTTTCGGCGCTGCTTGGCTCGAAAACCCGGATGATCCTTGGGTTGCAATGGGTTCCGAGATCGGATGCTCTTTGGTAGCCGCAACCCGCTTAGAGCCTGTTAAAAAAAGGTCTGCCTGACAGATGACCAAGTTTGTTTTTGTTGTTTCCTCTTCTTCTGCATTTGAGCCAAAGGTCAAAAGGCTCAACTCGCTTTAATGTCAACTTTGACTTTTTTGGACATGTTGGTTTCATCAGGACCATTAAAGCGTTTTGGTTGCCAACTTTGGTCCATGTTTGGCCCCAAAAGGTCCACCTTTGATTTGCGCGGCCTTTGGGCTCGCGTGAACCTTTGGTTTCTGAGGCTGCGCTTTGCCAACTTGGAAGCAGTGCCGGAGAGCCTGGAAGTGGCAGATCCATTCGAGGACGGCTTGCGATTGAACCAAAGACATCAAATACCAAGGGTTGGATCATTTTGTACTTGTGCTCCAGATCGTTTTCCAAGCTTAGAATGTTTTGTTGCTAGGTGTCTTCTTGATTTCAGTCGGGCTAAAGAGTGTGTGCTTTTTTGTTAAGGCTGAACCGGCCGTTTTACGGGCACCTCAAAAAAACGGACGCATCCTGGGCCCATGATTTTGACTGTTAGGCTTTAGGGGTTGTGTCAGCCTCTCGCTTCCGTTTCCCAAGCTGGGCCGTGGCGGTTTCAGGAGGTCAGCCTTTTCAAGATGAATCCCATGCTCCTAGAGGAGTTAGGGGTGGAGCCGCGCTTTTTGTCCTCCGGGGAGGTTGCCGAAGAGGAGAGATAGATTCGGCCAAAAGCCCGCGGGAAACATTGAAGGGTGTTTCTCAAAGTAGGGTGTTTTTTGGGAAGTCAAGAGAGAACCTGGTTGTGTTCACAGTGGCAAGAGTTGAAAACTAATTCGGGGATCCTAGTTTGCCAGAACGTAAGCGTTTAACAAACATCCGGGTAGGTGAAACTTAGACAGCCCGGCCAGACGCTGCAGCAAGAAGCCTGATTTTGAATCTTGACATAGTTTGCCACGCTTTGATTATGACGCCCCTTGTTGGTGTTTTGGACATCATACGCTACTAGCTTTGGCATGCGTAGGTTTTGTTCACCCTTGCCTTAGGCCAACTTTGGGGTAAGCCAAAGAAAAGTTCAGGCTCTGCTTCATATGTAGTCTACCCTGAAATAAGAAGTCTTTCGGGAGGAGACCCCAGTTGCAACCATACTGAATATAATAAGCCTGGTAATGATGAGATGTGTCTCTGGGAGTTGGACACGTTTACACCCGTGATGCCAAATGCCCCTAAAATGGCTTCAGATCATTCGTTTGCGTTCTTCATTCATTGATTCTGTCCTTTCGGTTTCCCTTGCCCCCCGGTATGTCTCAAAATAGGGGAACCCCATTTCGTTTTGGTTTGCCTTTAAAACAACCGCCAAAGAGTACCCTCAAAATAAGACATTAATGGCATCTAAGAACGCGTAGGACGAAGACTGTGAGCCAGACCTTTTCAGCCGCCGTCACGCAGACTCCGTGCCGGGCAGTCGGGCCCACGGCTACGTGAGACTGCCACGCAGGGAGCGACACGCGCTGCGAAGGCTGCTGGCGATCATGCACCTCGGCTCCCGGCCACGTCCTTTAGAGTTTTAAGGACGTTGAGTGTGATGCACGTACCATCCCTTAGACCTTACTTTCATATTACGCTTTTTCATAATATGTATATATATATATGTATAATATGTCTCAAACCTGGTGACATGTATTGCCATGAGTCTCAATGTGGAACAGCGCCGTCAGCTATGGTTGGCGGGCATAAAACTCACCGAAATGATGTCCACCAAAGGGCCCCCAAGAAAATCCTTGCGGATCAACCCAAGGCACGAGATTGCGGCGAAGCGCAATCCTGTCCTCGAGAGCCTCCAGGCCAGAAAGATTCATGAGGTTCCCCCCATCAGCAGGACCGTATCTTTGGGTAACGTGTTTAAAATAATAATAATAATTAAAACAAAAAAAAATCGCCTCGCGTTTTTCTTATTTTTCCAGGGTGGTGTCCCCTCCAAAAGTGATGATTTCTCACTAAATCCAGGGACGCACTGGAACAACCAAACTTTTTTGCTGCCTGAGTAGCGCGCGCTCCCTCTCACCATCGCATGGGACTGCAAACAAAGTGCGTGCAATGTTGGCGCGGCAAGCCTCAAGCAATTGGCACCAAAGTCTTGCTGATTTGACTGCTACTTCCACCACGTGTGGCAGTCACTTTCTTGAATATCCTAGTTGGTCTCAAAATGACAAGCCCCCCCCCCCACCCTGGGTGTCGTTTGGTTTCCCTTGAAAACCAAGCAACAGAGGCTACCCTCCAAAAGAAGCACCCATTTGCGGTAGATTCCATCAGGTGCGCCTTCCCCCGATCGAGTCGAGCCTCTCACCTTCCGATGACTCCAGCGATGATGAGAGCTGCCATGGGCCGAGGCCGTACTGTCCTGCCCCATTGCCAGATGAACGTATCTTTTTCTTTTTTCTCATGACTTGAGTTCCTGAACTGAAACACATATTTGGCAAGGTCGATTGAACGTTTCAGTCGCTTTTTCAACAAGAACCGATGTGTGCCTGTGTTTCTAGTTTCCCTTCCCACTTCCAACCACTTCACTGTTGTTGGCATGTGTTTAGGTCTTTAGGTCTTCGGTTCCGTTCATTTTTCGTTGGGGCCTGCAAAACGCATATTGTTGCTACCATACAAAGAACCAAACAGTTGTCACTTGTGGGGGTTGGTGACGGTGAAGAGTCTGGCCAAGGCCTATTTCAACTCCTATTCCAACGGCAAGTGCGCAGTGCGCACGGAGATCGGCCCTCGAGGGGAACTGCCTCCGCTGCCGGCTGGGGTGCATGGCTTCTTGCGGGATGGCGGTATGAGCTTGTACACCTTGGCTTGCAAGGCCGGAATAGGTGTGTCGTTTCTATTTCGGGGCCCACAAAACTGGAGGTGTTCCGTTGGTTTCCCTGTTAAAAGAAAGAACAAATTGGGGTACCCTCAAAAAAGGGACCCGAATTTCGCAGAAAAGGCAACGCAACCGAATCCCCACCAAAGGCGTGATAATGTATGCAGGAATCCTCTTTGCCTCCCGCTTTTGGGTCCATCTCCTACGGCCACCAGTAGTGCCTTCAAACTCTATTTTTGGGAGGGTTCCCCTGCTAAAATAGACTACAGAAAAACAAAAAAAATAAACAAAAAAAAGGTGCCCTTATTCTAACCTCTCTACTGGAGATCTGTATTTTCAGCGAGGGTAGCCTAGCTGGAGTCCCAAGGGCCCTGGTGCGCCGGTGGTGTTACACTACGCAAACTGCGGGTTCAGCAGCTGGCGCCAGAAGTACCAGCTGCTGTGCCGGGGCCATGGCGCCTGGGACTTCTCTGGGGTTCAAAAGGTCCAGTGCTCCCATGTTCAGTGTTTTTGTTTGTTTGCTTAAACCCGGCCAAAAATACGTTGTTGTTTTGTTTTCTCCAGCGGGGGGAAACCAAAAAGATTGGATATGCCTCACATGGGAATTGCCCATGGTGGGGCCCGAACGGAATATCAACCCCCATTTAGGTCTGTCTTGTTGAGCAATCGAATCCCCAAATGATTGTTTTATCCGGTTGATTTCTGTTGACAATTACCAAACAAAAGGTACATCCGAACGAAGGCTTGCCCACTTGGTAGAATTTGGTCGTAACATATATCCTTGAAACCGGCATGAGAACAAGTCCTGAATCAATTTATGGCCCATTTATTGTTGGTGTTTAGTGAACTGCTGTTGTCTATCAAGACAATGGACTCAAGCTTTGGAAGTATTCAAGTTTCAGACACTGTCTTGTGACACCGATGTTGTGCGGATCAGATAATCGAGACACTGAAGAATGCATTCCTGCCAAAAGGTGATATTTAAAATCCCCGAAGGACATGTACAGCTACCCGCACCTCCCTCCTCAACGTGAAGCCCAAAAGACAATCACTTGTAGAGAAATCCGGCATTTTCGGGGTGTTTTCGGTGACCTTTTCCGCGCCTTTTTGGGACTTCAAAAAAGATGATATCTGGAGGGCGTTGAGCATTCTACCCCTCCAACAATCATGGAGGTGGACTGGGGGTTTCCCCAAAAGGAAAGTAGTCTTCCAAAACCCTGTCAGCTTCCATGATTCTTGGAGGGACATCTACCAGCCGCGTTTTTTGTGGTTTGAGGTACCGAGGACGGGGCCTTCTCGGTTCGCCGCCCGGGCATCGCGGAGATCCGGTCGCACCTCGCCACACGGCAGCTGGCGCTCGGCGGAAAGGAGGAGGACCTCGAGCGCTTCTACCGGAGCTTTGTGCTGGGCCTCTTGGCATGTGGGCCATGGGGCGGGTGGTGGTTGGTTCATGGGTCAGTGGTGGTGGGGCGGGTAGTGGTTAGTTCATGGGTGGTGAAATGGTGTGGATGGTTCAAAAGTCCGCTGTTCCAAATCTGCTAGATCCCAAATGGTTTCCCTTGTGGAGTTCCACGAGCGCAGTCTTGTTCAAAGCCTTTTGGGATTCCCTTTGGTCCGTTGGACTTCTTCTTTTTCCGGGAGGGTTTCTTTCCTTCTGAGTCGACCAAAAGATGGGTGCCCCTTTTTCCATGGCCACTGGTGGCAATGATGTGCCCTCCTTGAAATGGTTGATTGCGGGTGGGGTGAGCATTAGACTTCTCATTTTGTTTGTAAGAAGAATTAGTCTGGGGGACCCCCACGCCCTTCCCAGCCCCTCCCCCTGCTGGCTTTCCCCATCTCCAAGAGGGGCAGCGATCTTAGCCAGCTTTGGACATGCAGTTGTGTTTGGCCTAACGTCTTCTTCAAGAAACCCTTTTCAGGCTGATTAAAAGAGGATCAAAACCCATCGCCACTGGCTTTTAGGGTCTCCCTATTTTGCCACAAGCCGATGTATCCGTATGTGTTTTGAAGCTCCTGTCCGGAGCGCAAGGGTATTTCAGGTGTCAACACGCATTTCCGCATTTGCGGACAACGCCTCGAAATCTGCGTTCCTTGTCATTTGACACGTACGCACCTGCCAGCCTTGAAGCGGCCGCTTCACTACCGGAGATGTTGAGCAAACCAAGCATGAGCGGCCGCTCTGTACCCATGTCGGAACTTCCATCCATCCGAACCTGCAGTAGCCTTCCATGTTGAGGGCTTCTCAAGATGACTTGGGTTTTCCCTTTGGGGTCAGTCTTTACGGCTGTCTTGCCAGCGCAGCCTAGTTTCCCTTTAGGTTTTGAGGATGTGTAAAATGGAACCAGCCCAGGCAATGACTTCGATGAGTTGGCCTTTCTGGCGCAGTTCGGGCTGCTGCTTCGCATCTCTGCGCCCCAGGAGAGGCTACGAGAAGCCCGCAGGATCTTCCAAGAATTCGTGCCGGATGTGCCACGGCCGGAGCCGGAGCGCCTTGCGTAGAGCAAAAAAACGCGTGTTACGGCGGATCGCATGTTTGCGACATGCCGGCCATAGCCATGGGTTTCTAGAATGTCCCATTCTGAAATCTTCATTTTTTTCCTGCTGCTTTTGAAGGGGAGCTATCACTACTGGATTGTTTTCCAAGGCCTGTCCCCTAATATGGAACTCACCAGCGCTCACCAGAGGGTCCCATTTAAAGTAAAATCGTCTTCCAGGGCCCCCCCCCCCCCGGTGAGGTTCCATGTTGGCGGATGGGAGGGTAAGTCCTTGGAAGAAAATCCAGTGAAAGATTCGCTTTAAAGCCACAGGAAACACAAACATAGTCTTAAGCAAATGGCTGTGGGTCAAAACCAATGGGATCCCACTTTCGTTGGTAGGTGAATTCACCACCCATTTTAGTGTTTGGATTGAATCGGATGTTCACTGGGGGTACGGGCGATTTGGATTTTGACCCATGGCCCATTGGCAAAAACTCGGCTTCCCTTCGCCTGTTCGCTTCGTCCAGGTCTTCCTCGAGGAAGAGCCAGGCATCGGCGAGCTGGAGAACAGCAGTTGCTCGGCGAGCGATCGATCGTTTCTTTGACGAAGTCTGGGGAAACCAAATCGCTGCTATTTGGGGATGTGTTCAAATAGGCGGACCCCCCCAAAATGGCCATGGGGCAGAACTTATGGCGATCCCATTTTGGGGTGGATGAACCTCCATTTGCCACCGTTTTTTTGATGTTCACCAGGGGTGCAGGGTTTTGACCCACAGCCATAGGGTGGCTTTCCTGTTGGCTTCTCTTTAAAACCAACAAAAGAGGCTGGATCAAGACCTGTTGGCCACTTGTTCATCAAGCGTGGTCTGAGAGAGGGCCCTTTCTCAAGAGATGATCGGGGCCTTTCTTCAAACATGATGGGGCCCTGCTGTAAAAAAAACTGTGGATTTATAGCACCACCCCCGGCCATGCAAAAAGAACAACATGTTGCAGTGTTGCTTCGTGAAAACAAAAGCATTTCACAAGCCATCCTTAAACCTTTAAACAACAACGCAGCTGCGAGAAAGATGTCCTTTATTTAGCTTTCATCGTATCCCTTTTGAAACAACCCCAAAAAGGTTCCACTCAAAACGAAACCAAAGAACATCAGGCAGAAATCAAAGGAACCAATTGAAACCACCAGAGAAGCACCAAAAAGACATGAATTATGTTGTTTCCTTGTTGTCCATGTTGTGTTTTTTGGGGAAATTTGAACCCCTTGCTGAGGATGAAACCGCCAAATAATTTTGAAATCTCCAAGAACTCACAAAGATCCGAGGAATCAAACCCAATGGAAAACCACTTGGAGCTTTGTGGTTCCTGATTGGAGGCTTGTTCCGATTTGGAGAACACGGGAGGTGTCCGTCCCATCTAAAAGCGAAGCCGCGGCTTCGCTTCGAGGCGCCGTGTCTGCGCAGCTCCAGCGGCTGGTGGCTGCAGCGTCGAATTCGGTGCCACTGGGCCAGCGCCCGGTGACGCCGCTGGCTCTCAGGGCTACGCGGGCGGTGGAGGACATGAGCCTCGACGAGGCGATGAAATGTGGAAGTTCAGGGGGTGGCTTCTTTGATTACTTTTATCGTTTTTGCTTTTTCAGCTGTGTCTTTTTGTTGTTGGTTGGTTGGTTGACTGGTTTTGGTTGGTTGGCTGGTTGGTTGGTTTTGGTTGGTTGGCTGGCTGGCTGGTGGGTTGGCTGGCTGGCTGGCTGGCTGGTGGGTTGGCTGGCTGGCTGGCTGGCTGTTTGGCTGGCTGGCTGGCTGGTTGGTTGTTTGGTTGGTGGCTTGGTGGCTTGGTTGCTTGGTTGCTTGGTTGCTTGGATGCTTTGTTGCTGGGTTGCTTTGTTGCTTTGTTGCTTCGTTTTGACTGGTTGCTTGGCTGTTTGGTTGCTTTGTTTTAGGTTGCTTCGTTGCTTCGTTGCCTTGTTCTTGGCTGCTCGGTTCTGCTTGGCTGCTTGGCTGCTTGGTTGCTTGGCTGCGCTTGGTTGCTTGGTTGCTTGCTTGCTTGGTTGCTTGGTTGCTTGGTTGCTTGGTTGCTTTTCCAGGGGGTCCCATTTGGTTCGGTTCTTCCCTCATGGATGTCTTGCTTTGTTGCCCCTGAAAGTTGGTCACCACCATTGGTTGCCATTGGTCATTGGTTTGATTCCTATGCTATTTCAATACGTTTGCAAAGCACATGTGACAGATTCTCAGAGTCACATTTGCCCTTGATCGTTGTCGCGGTCTGGATTTGTGAGTATTGATTCGACATTTGGGATTCGGGACTTGGCGAATCTTGGTGCGACGGGGTTTCTTTGGATCTCGCCTGCAAACTCGGCGACGTGCAATACACTGAAACGCGCGATCCAACTTTTGCCTGTTTTGTGGATTGGCCCTGGCTGGCTCCATGTGCGTTGGGGGGGCTGGGATAAAAAAACAATCCTAGACTAGCATTATGGCTTCTTGTTGAAATGTTACCCGATAGATCGATTGCTCGTTTTTGTTGCAGGCTTTCATGGCATGCAACAAGGCGTAGACCCTGCAAGTCAACCAGCTGCAACAGCCCCCCAGCCTCAAAAAATGAGTTCTCTATTTGCGAGACAGATGTCCAAAGATGCCTTCAGCCAGGTAGATGCCCTGATGCAGCAGATGAAGCAGCAGATTGCAAGTGCTGGCTTCAAGGCAGCTTTGAGCATGCTGAACTCATTTGGCTGCGGGTAGAAAATGGGTACCCAAAATTCAACCCTGGTAAATGGAAATATGAACTAAATTCTGCGGTCCCCTGGTTGTTGAATTTTGACACACGGCCATTTGTGTGTGTGTGTGTGTGTTTGTCGGCTGGCTGGCTGGCTGGCTGGCTGTTTGTCTGGTTGGTCATATGCATGTGACATTGTTTGTTTGCCGATTGGCTAGTTCATGGTTATATCCCGCAGCCACGCGCTGTAGGATGCAGGCGTTCAGCCCATGTCTGGCAGCGAGGAGGCGGTTGCCGAGCCTTGGCTTCATTGAAGATGAATCCGGAGCAACGTCGACCCCGTATAAAGCAACCCCCTGTTTGTTCCTCTCCAAAAGCGATGAATCCCCACTAAAACCAGGGACACCGCCATATTGATAAACAGGGGTGTATTAATAAGGGGTCAACATTACCGTACCAATTTCGAAACATGTGCGGTTCCAGATTCATTTTGGAATTTAGTGATTTTAGATGAAAGTAACGCAGGAAGCCGAAAGCCATACAAGGCATTATTACTTGTCTTGGAGTGGAGTGGTTCCCAGATCCAGTGCGAAGCAGGAACGTTCTTGGATTCATTAGTTGCAGGTGCACCTTTCTTGGGGGGGGGGAGGTCGGACCAACAAATGGAAAGAATGTGATCAACTTCGAATTACTGTCGATGTGGCAGGCCGTAGAAATATCAGGAATCCCCTCAAAAAGGCTGAATCCGCCTCTGACGAAGGGAACCACCCATCGCTACTATGATCCTCCAGATTAATCCGAAGTGAAGATGGGTGTTCCTTTACGATCATCCATGGCTACTGGCACCTGGCGGTCTGGGATGTGTGATGGCCGAGTCTCGTTCACACTTACTTCGCGATGTCAGCAAGAGATGCATGTCTTGCGGTCTCAGGAGTGGCTCAGCATCAATGTGCTTATGGGCTGCTTTACGCCTGGCATCCAGGGAGCCTGGGCCCCAGAACTCTCGAGCTGATGTGTGAATCCTGTTAAAGACGCATTCGTCAAACACAGAAACGAGTCCAAATACCAATGGTCTATGGTCCATGCAAGGGAATCCACTAATTTATCCATGCTCTTTATAGGAACCGCACAGTCTCGTGACTCACATGATCGGCTTTGGGGCGTTCGATGTGGGGTCTCCATTTTGGGTTTATTTCCAATCGGTTGGTGGTAGGACCATGGCCACTTGGGCGCAGCCCTCTTGGCCGCCTCGGTTTGCTTCTTTTTTTGGGTGAGAAACCAGGATTCTTATGATATTTGCCGCCCAATTTACAAGTAGCGAGCGGCGGCACAACATGAATGTGTTTAGATCTTCGAATCTTCTCCGCGCCAGGTGCGACATCCTGTAGCTGTGGTAGACCTTGGTGGTGCGACAGTGCAGAGCCTTGGCTCAGACCTAGGACCCTCAAAGACTCAAAGGCAGCATTGGAGACACCATGATGTCGAGCAACCATGGTGCCGGGAGAGACACAAAACATGCTTGTTTTTGGTTTTGGCTTTGCTATGCAGGGAAGAACGTACTTGTTTGTGTTTGTTTTGTCTTGTGTTGCTGTGTAATTTCAGAGATCAGTTTCACTTGTATCTCTCTATGCCATCTTCAGAAGCGCACCCATTCACTGTGATGTCACCTGTTTTGAGCACTCTCAGCGGATCGAGACAAGAACCATAGCATGCTCATGGTCAGTGGCTGAAGGACCCAATCGTTTTGTAACTGGGCCAGATGCGCAGTTTGGTTGTGTGTGTGCCGCATTACTCCTTCATGCACGAATCAGTGGATGGCCAAATTAAACCGGTATGTACAACCGGACATGGAACCTGAAACGGATTCCCCTTGCCAAAGACCATGTTTCTCTAACAGGTTCCATCTTCGCTTTTGGGATCCATCCCATACCTGGAGCTAGAGCTGGAGATAGGTGAAGGCTGACATGGCGCCAAAGAGAGAGAGAGAGAGAGACAGAGAGAGAGACAGAGAAGCCACCGGCACTGTTGGGTGTCTCTGTTTGAAGGTACCTCCTACCGAAACCAGATCAAACCACTCATTCTGAGGGTTCCCACATTTTCAGAATGGCTGGCACTGCCTGAATATGGGGTAAAGGGGAACCACCCATGTGCAGGTGATTTGAAAGCGCGTTATCGTTAGCCACCTGCAGCTTCAGTGGAGTCAACCGATACTGTAGAGGGACAACATTCACGCCACACACCAGTTGGTAGGTGGTTTATCAACCATTCATGGGGTTTCATCCATCTCAACTGCCGCGTGGCACGAGAGTTTTGTCCATCTAGAGTATTGCTGTTCAGAGACAGTGCTGCTTATTGGTCTCAGAAATGCTGCCAAGGATGGCCTACCACATCCACGACCGCGATGTAACCGTGGCAAGAAGGCAACGTCAAGAGAGAACGTATGCGGGTTCCAAGGCCTACATGTACGAGTGTGGGTCAAAATAGGGTAACCCCAAAATAGAACCCTGGAAAATCGAAGCAAGGACCAAAACCTGCGGTCCCCTGGTGGTTTAATTTTGACCCATACCCATATTGCACCATCAAACCTTCATGGGCATTTTGGCATTTGGGCAGATCCAGCCATTGGGTTTCCGCACAATGGAGAGTGATCTGGGCAAACGGGTTCCCCGCGTTTTTTGGCAGTTTCGCCTGGTGTTGCGGTGTCGACTGGGTGCAGGAAGGTACGGGTGAACAAGTTGGAAACATGGGTGAAAATCATTTTGAGTGATTTTGGTGGATGTGCATGGACCACAAGAGACCGGAACTTCTTGTTCAGTGCAACTCTTTTGCGCGAGGGAAGAACAGTATAGTATGTCACAAGTCATTGATTTTCTTCCACATAAGGTATAGCCCCCCAACTGATCAACAACACGTCCCTTTCCAGGCCACATAGCTTTGCTTCACGCTTGCTTTGTGTACTTTCAAAGCCTGTCAGAAACGCCTTGGCAAAGCGGCTCAGAGAGGAACAGCTTGGACTCGTACATCAGCCGCATCTCGCTTCCTTTTGGTAGCCGGGACCTCGTATGCCTGCATGGTCATGTGCAGAGAGTGTGACGTGCTTCAGTGCAGCTGTTGCGATCTTGTCAAATTCAACTCGTTGTATTGCATGGGATTGATTCAAGACGATTCTCAGCCCATCGTCCCTTGTGCAAGCATTTAGTATATCCAACATACGTACATCATTGTTTCACGCGGTCATGTTGTTTTTCTTCTTTTCCTGTTTTTGTGAGGCGGCCCTGCACACATCTACAGGCAAGGAATCGAATGTCGCTATGCTTTGTAGCCGTCGGAGCAGTTTGTATCGGCTGGTATATGTCCATACAACCCACGGCCGTGCTGGACCCTGTAAAGGGTCTGGGATTGATGCTAGTTGCGCGTTCGGCACAGGGTTCTTAGCTCCATGGCCAGGAGGGAGGGGTTGCACTTAACTTGTGGCAGCACTTTTTGGCGGGGTGCCAAAAAATATCAACGAGTTCCTGCATCACTAAGGGTTCAGAGTTGTCTTTCCGACCCTCTCTATGGGGATCTGAAGTCTCAAGGGCCCCAATCCTTGGAAGTGCATCTCAGGCATAGCTATGCAGGTTACGGCCTCATTTCAGCCAGCTCCTTAGAGAGTTGGGCCCACCCAAGCCTCAAAGGCCTCAAAGGTCATGGCTTGAGTTTTGTGAGAGACTGGAAGCTTGCGAGGTGAACCCAACAACTGATGGGTGAAATTCAACTTTTGACCCCAGCATCCCCAGCTCAAAGCCAGTGGTCCCGTCGCAGATTCGCAGTTGCGAGCTGAGGCCAAAGTCAGAAGCTTCAAAGAGATTGAGAAGGCCCATGGCCTTCGCAAACCAACTGTCGAGCTATGACCCAAAGTGATTCCTTGGTTTGGGGAAGTCAAGTCCCTCTCAAAACCAGTGCGCAAAGGTGGGGTTGCACAGACGTAAGCACGTTCTTGTAGGGTTCCTGCGAGCCGAAGCAAACAAACAAGCACAGAGCACATGTGACATTGCGAGAAGTTGTTCGCCGCCGATTCAGTTGGATCAGTCCGTTCGTGAGGCAGGCTTCTCGCTGAAAAGGCACCCCTGCAGGGAAGCCTAGTGAGTGCCAAAGCACAGGGGGGTTTCGGGAGACTGGCTAGTCAAGACGGACTGTTTTTTTTCGCGCGCGGTGCGGCACCGAACCAATTCTCGCGCTCAGGTTTGCCCGGCAAAGCGCAGCTGCGCGCTTTCCGGAAGATCCTCGAAGCGGAAGGAGCGCCGGCCTTGGGCCTTGCAAGGGGGGCTGTTCCACTGGAGGTACTGGAGCATTGCGCGCTGTCGGTTCGCCTTGCACGCCATAGGCCACTAATGGAGTTGACAACCATCGACCAAATGGCTGTGGCTCAAAAACATGTACCAAAATTGGCACCTTGGTAAATGGAAGCAAAGACTAAAACGCGCGTAACCCCAGCTCTCTATTTTTGAGCCACACCCAAATGTGTTCCGCCACTTACGAGATTCCAATGCTGCCTTTGGTTGCCTCCCTGTTGCTATTAGCAGAAAGGCAAGCAAGAATGAAAGACTTCTGGTGGACAAAATCCAGTATCAGTTGGAAGGTGGTGTATAGCCCAGTTCTACTTTCCCAGGTCAAGCTAAGTACCAGGTGTTCGCGGATTCGCCGGGTTGCATCCAGGAGAGCTGCCTTTTGTGTGTGTGTGTGTGTATGTCTGTGTGTGCGTGTCTGTTTGGATGAACCATTGTAGGGGAAGTGCGAGATGTGTCAGGGTCCCACATGTTGAGAATCACATATTATCATGATCCTTGAATTGTAGGCCGCAGGGGAGGTTGCGGATAGTTTGCAGGACCGATGTGCCATGTTAGCTTTCTAGTTGAGCGCCGCTGCAGAGGCTTTAAACAAGTTCTCCTGCGCCACTTTGATTGTCCGAAGCTCAGAGTCGCCCTCGGGCTTGCGGTTTTAATTTCATGGGGGGCGCAATTCGTATTTGGACACATACCATGCCGCTCGCTTTGCTGAAAGCGCATAGTCATTGCGACATGAAAACTGGACGGGCGACATGCACACTGGACGGGCGACAGTCATTGTGAAGGGTGGCTTGCTTGCAATGCGAAGGTTGCAATGCAAAGTATTGCTGACCCCACAAAACTTGCTTCAGACACAATGGGAACTTCACAGGCAAGCTGGCTGTTGCGAGCGCGCTTTGAATCCAGCTGCTGGTCAGGATTATATTCTGCGCAAGGAGCTTCCCTGCAAGGCCCGGTGCCACGCTGTCTTGTGACTAGGGGCCGTTGACGCTTTTTTTGGGTTGTCAAGGTCAGCAATTGGGGTGGAACCTACGTAGCACTTGTAGGATGGGGTAACCTGGATGGTAAAATCATGAGGCAGCGCAACCGATTTTACGATCTGATGGATTTGATGTCGACAAGTTTTTCTTGGTCAACCAGTGCTTGTCAAACCGCGTGCTGGCTAAATGGCCGTTCTCCCTTCCAGACTCGCAGATGTCTCGAACCCGTTGGGGTCAAAGTTGGGTCAAACGTGACACCTGTCCCAACAATTGCTTTCGTGCCACTTGCTGATCAAGACCAGCTTAGGAAACGGACGGGACTTGCCATAGCATTGCACTTACACCTTCGTTCTGCAGCTATTCGCAATTGGTCAAACAGCTTGCTCAGTGTATGTACAATCTGTTTCCATGAGGCATGCCAATGTATTGCGTGGGATCATCCAATGATCCCGGTTGTGCCCAGCCTGCTTGAATCCTCAAACAGCACAAGCATGTTTTGTGAAGAACTCTGGTGTTGCTGGCCTTCTCGCTTCCTGCCGAGGCGTTTGGTGGACATATTGTGTAAGCACTGCACTAAGGCGACACGACAGACCGGCAGAAGGGCAACATCTGGGACAAGTACACGAACTGAACAAACGATACGGACGCAGACACTCGAGGCACGCAAAACAGCCAAAGCGGCCCACAAGACCCACCCGGGCAGGCAAGAATGCACCTGAGAGAACGCGCTTGGCGCAACGTCAAAGACATGAGAGAAGAACATGCACATGTCGTAGCTCACCCTTTCTGCATCCAGGCAGACGGAGCCGCAGGCAGGAGCTCGACTGGATGGCTTGCTGGGGTTTAGCTAGCAGCGAGCCAGCGAGGGTTGGAAACGGCTGAGGGGCAGACATCACAACAGCCAGCATTTGATGACAGGCTGAAGCGTGGATGCAGCAAGCTCTGCACGTTGGACAGAGCCATGAGCCATTGATGCACAGGACAGCCTAAGACGGGCAACTGCAGCTTCGCTTTGAGCTCAGCTTGTTGGGACATATTGGCCAGAGCCATGAGCCGTGGGGTTGGCTGCTTGATGACGGGATGCAGTGAGAATGTCGTAGAATCCAGCCTGCTCCAACCGACTTGAGCATCGCCAACCACCCCCCGTTGGCATTTGTTTTGTGCTGTTGGTGGTTGCAGGTTGATAGAACCACTTGAGAATTGGGCGCTCACTTGAGAGTTGAGCATTGTACCAAGTGCAGGCCGTCGCTGTCGCAAAACTCGTATCGCAAGTACCAAAGCTGTGCTGAGGCCGGCGCTTGGGCTGGTCCGAACCAAGGAGCCGTCGGGTTCAGAAAGGTGTTTGGCAGGACACGCTTTTATTGAAACCCAGGTGTTTTTTTTATTATTGAAATAGAGAGATCACGGGGTTTATCTCCTAGGAGACCGCTGCTTCAAATGCAGGCTAAACAAATGCTGGTTTGGGGGAAGAAAACGGAAGCTGATTGGAGCCCGGTCAAGGAGAAGGTTGAGCAACATTTGCCAGACATGTTTTCTATTGGGTTTTCATAGTGGCTGCCGTGTATGTGTGTGTGTGGGCTATGGATCTGCGATTTTAAGCAGAGGGATCAGATCGGGCAGGGGCGCACTGAGAGCTTTGGTAAAGCTGGTTGATGAACCAGCTATAGTACTTTGTCCAAAGGTAAAAGGGCCTCGACTCAGGTTTAGGACGCGAATTGAATTTTCTCCGAATGGCAAAGCCTGACGAACGGCCAAGGGAATCGCCTTTGGCCCAGTTTGGTATCACCGGCGGATTGTTTTTTCCACCGAAGATCCGGTGAATTGCCCGCATCCCCCCTGAAGGTCCGCAAGCTTCGCATGTTGAAATGGTCGTAGGACACAGCAGGGAAGTCAAGCTTCCTGCCAGTCTTAAAACCACAACAAGGATATTGGAGGCTGCGTTTTATGTGAAGCTCCCAGAATTCAACTGAAGGAAGCAGCTTAGGACCTTGCTGGTTTTCTCTTTGGATCTTGTTTGCTGCTTGGTGCGTGGTACTGGACGTATGATATGATCAAGGGGTTGCACAGAACTGTCATTGGTGTGAGGGGAATGCCAGCCGCGTGATGTCTTACCATAAGCTAACATTGCAATGTGCCGTTGTGTTTAGGCTTTGCTAACTCAACGTGTGTTGTTCCAGCTTTCATCCTGACGCACCACCGAGCAGGAACGCAGCGAATTGTCCTTGCCTCCTACTTCTACGACCGAATGTCGCATACCGAGGAAGACACAGTCTCCATGGGAAGTTCCCGGCATGGGAAGTTTAACATTTGTTAAGGGTTTTAGACCAAGCAACTCCCAGAATTATTTTTCAGGATGGGATATGGGCGGGGGGTAGAAAAGCTTGGCCCAGGTGGGACGTGGGCGTCATCACTGCCTTCTCGCAGCAGCTGAAGGTCGCAAACTTTGCAGAACAAGCAGGCTGAATAGTGCGCAAGTATGTGTGCTGGGGATGCTTCACAGATAGTTGACTGTAATTTTGACGTCAGCTGCTCGTGTCAAGTATTGCAGTTTGAAATCACATGGATCCTCATGTTTAGAGGTTTGCTTTTGGTTTGAATGCGTACCCCTCCAAAATGGTCACTGGCTGTGCAAAAACCTGGAGGCGAAAGCTGTGTGACACGTCTTTCCCCTGGCTTTGCTGCAATTTGTCATCTCTGGCTCATGCTTGGCAGTGAACGGGATAATTATGACAGCATTGGTTTTGTGCAACAAGTATCAAACACCTAATGTTTTAATCTTGCAATGATGCCATTTGTCTATACATTGAGTCCCCACTATGAAGCAAGCGGGTCGTTTGCGTGCTCCCCTCGTCACAGAGACTCTTCTAGCAAATTCATCTTTGCTGGGATGGACATGGTGGCAGCATTTGCAACCAACATTGGCCATGCATCAACCTGTGTGCACTCATGTGTGTTCGTGTGCGTGCAAGCCGCTTGCAAGCCTTTGATAACGACGGTAACATGCCCCACCCCCCCTCCCCCACCCCCCTCCCCCACCCCACCCCCCCCCCCCCCCCCCCTCCCCCTCCCCCACCCCCCTCCCCCCTCCCCCACCCCCCTCCCCCACTCCCCTCCCCCCCTCCTCCCCTCCTCAGCCCTGCTCACAACTGCAGCTCGACGCATCACAGCCTAGCAACACACAGCAAGAAAAGCACAACAAGTACCAGGTTGTTCACCAGCTTGTTTCCTCTAAAGTGGGTGCTCGCGAATTGTGTACACAGGGGCTGCCAATTTAAACCGACTGCTCGCATTCACATTGACAACAAGTCAATCGTCAGAAAACGGCTTGCATTTAATTTGCCGGAGTAGTACGCAGAGTTCACGCAAACAACTATTATAGTTTAATTGTTAATGTGACATTTTGGTCCAGCAAATTGTTCACTCTGGATGCGAGTGCCAGTGCATCGCCAGACCGCGCTTGCTCCACAAGTTCATTCAACGCGCAGCAGGCTGAGTGTGTAATTCCGAAAGCACGAGTAGATTCATTCCAGCGTTTTGTTTCGCTCGCGTGACCAAGGTCCATGGCAGAGTTTCCCAACTTGGCTCAGGAGGGTGGCGCGGGGAAAATGAAAACGTGAATTGCCCCTATGCCAGGGGTCTTTGTTTCCCTTTTGGTGGTGACAAACGTCACCGTTTTGGCGCATGAGTGTCTTTTGGGGTGGTGCTGTAGGGCGAAATATAGGGAGCCCATGCTGCATATGCTTCAAGCTTCGAGTTTGTGAAATGCCCCATATCACAAGTGCTCGATGGAGCTCTTGGCAGGATCGCCTTCTGTGGCTATGCTTCGACTTAACCTTTCAGGCCTCGACCGGTTCGCTGTCACTCGATTTAGCACTCGCAAGTGTGGAACCTCAAAAAGTCCTGAACAGGTTTTGTTCAGAGGGCCTTTTGTTTTCCATATAAGATAGGATGCAAGTATATCTTGATCGCCACACGTTGAATGGGGGCGACTTCCACCAAGAGCCTAAGGGCAGCACGCCATGGGAACATGTTGATCGACCTTTATATACAGACTGCCTTGGTTGGGGCGGGCATATTCTACAGTGGGGTGCCACGTTTGAAGCTGACAACTTATTGCAAAACAAGCCAGGGTCCGAGGGACCCCGCAAAATAGTGGGTTTTCTGTTGGTTTCTGAGTTTCCCTTTACACTAACCCCCAAAGGGTGTCCTGAACAATACACCTATTGGAAAACATGGGGATGGCAATGCTCTGAACCTGGAGGTATGCCAAACTCTTTTCCAAATGAGCTGAAATGGGGGGGGGGGGGGAAGGGCGTGTTGCAAGTGCGCAAGTGCGACGGGAGGCGAGGCTGCTGTTGCATGGCTTTGGCTTCTCAGAGGAGCAGGAGCCCGGCTACCCAGAGATAGGGGCGCAGGGGCACCGAGAGGCCATTTCAGGCCCCTGGCTGTTTGTGTACAACGGGATGTTGGTGTGGAAAGCGTACAAAACTTTGACACCCATCTTGGTCATCTTGGTAGAACCAGCTGTGCATAACTTTTGTCAAGAGCATGCTTCTTGCAAAGCCAGGAGACGCTTGGAAGGATTGGGCTAGGTGGAAGAAATGGCACGTAGGCCTTTCCGGATGCAGTACGCCTCCATGCAATCTGTATCGCAAGCTTGTGGTATGAGCATCCACTTGTCAAGATGTATTTGGTGCCAAGAATGTGGGGTGTCTTATTTTTGGGGTACCCTGGTCGCAGGTTGGTAGGAAAGGATACCAAAGGGAACTAACCAATTTGGGGCTCAACGACAACAATACACCCATGTCTTGGAGAGCTCAGCTAGTTTCATTCCATGCAATTTGATCAAGGAATTGAAGCAACGTCAGCGAGGCCGGCACTTCTCAAGAGCCAACACAGTTGATCCCAGAAATGTTCAGCCACGTCACAAGCAAAGATCGGCCCAATCTCAAAGGGGAATGCGCGTGGGGTATGCCAACCCTGCCAAGAACAAGCGTATTCGCAATTCTTTACACAATTGCACGCCCACATCGCCCTGGCCATGTTCAAGTGACTTAACAGCATGTGAGCCACGGGCCTTTGCAAGGCACCGTGTACTTACGTGGCTCATTGGTTCAAGCTAAAAGTTACTTTGACCTTATCAACAAACAAATGTTTCCCAGCAAAAGACCGGCAATTGCGAGACCGAGAGCTCGGCTAGTCTTGCCCTTGTGTGGCACACGTGGTTTTTTCCCGTATGGAGATCCTTCATTTGCTGAAAGGAATAAGTGAATCTCTGGTTTTAAGGGAATCTATCACTACTGGAAAATGTGTTTTGCCCCAACAGCTGAAAGCCATGGGTTCAATACGAGGGTTCCAGTTTTTTTGGGGGATTCTGGGGCTGTTGGGAATACACCCGATCTATTTTTGGTCCAGGCGATACACAAATGGAGATGGCAGTTCCAGTTGTGGGCGTTGTTGTACGCGGCCAACCGATGCCGCAAGCTGAGGCTTTTAGTGGTCAAGAAGATCCGGTACAAAGAGCTGGACTTTGAAGCATCCTGGGCTCCTGGGATGAAGCTTCGCTCATGGGATTCAAGAAACGGAGCTTTGTCCAATGAATCCCCCTAAAATGAGCTCAGACACTGCCATACTTGCGTATTGCGTGCAGCAAGGGGGGCACAACGAGCGAAACGCCACGGCATAGGTGAAATCCGTGGTGCAATTGTTGTTCCCAATGTTTGGGCTGGGTTCCTGATGTTCCCAACGTGTTAGGATCTCAGCATACCTGCGATTTGTCGATGCCCCGAAAGGGCTGGTCTGGGGAAATTTTGGAGTGGGAGAGAATGTGTTTCTTTTTGGATGGGGCCATCTCACCGATTCCTTTCAGTGTGTTTGACATTGAAGCACCAGCGCGGACCCCGCTTTCTTAGGCAGGACTCCGGCGACCTCGGAGTTGTGAGGGCGAGTAGCGGCGTTGATGGTGAGATGTCGGTCGGTGCCCTTTTGTTCCAACATGGCCCCCCCCAAAGCAAAAGCCTCTCAAGGGGTGGGAGGTCCTACAGGTGTGTGTGTGTGTGTGCGCGGCGGATGTCTTGCATCTTGCAAGGTGGCAACAAGTACAAAATGCGAAGAGTGCACCGCCGAGGCCTTGGGCGTCGCCATCAACCAGCTGAACACGTAGCCTGACAGCCGCAGACGGATTCGTTGAGAAAGATTTGCTGGCGCTGAGGATGTGGAGGTCCAGTTGTATTGAGCTCCATGGATTATTTCTTCAGGTGTTTCCCAAACCCTGCCCTTCCCAAAATTCAAAGGCGCCCTCTTTTGTAGCTGCAAGTCTCCGAGACACCAAAGAAGCCACAGCTTTGCATTGCGACTGAGAGGTGTCGGATGCCTAAACGCACAGCTTGAGTTTGCGCGAACATGGCCAATCTACCACCCACTTCCCATGGGCATCCAATCTTTGCTGTAGAGCTTTGCCTCCGTGGCTCAACGCTTTCAGCTTGCAGCTCGCCGCTTCGGGCGGTGCTTTTTTTTTGGCGGTCGCCCAAACTAGATAGCCATGGCTCGCCGCTCGCCGCTGGTGCTGCTGCTGCTGGCCCTGTGCGGCCCTGCCTTCCTCATGCCCAGCACTCAGCAGAGCGCCCCAGAGAAGACTCAGCAGCTCATGACTGCAGGCGGGGAAGTCACGGGGAGCACAACATGGATGACCTCCCCTTCGGTTTACCTTTGAACCAGCCCAAAAGAAGGCCCTTAAAACAGTCGCCCATCGATTGAAGTAAGCCAGAGGTTCTGAAATAGCATATTAGCCATGCTGGATGCCGCGTCAATGAGTTCCTTTGGACGGAACGGGCCCACTGGCAACAAGAAAGATGGTGTGCGTGGGCTATCACTGCACGCATGGAAATTCCCTCCACCAAAGAACAGCGCCACCACCACACCAGGGATTGTGTTTTCGCAGCGACTCACTAGAAGATAATCGAATTACGATGATGTCAAAAGTGTTTAGGCTTTGGCAGCCAAATGTGCTGTCAATCGGCCCATCAATCAGGTTTTACTACAGATGTGATGTGCAGAGTCTCTGCATTGGCAGCTGTCTAGGCAGCTGTCTTGTTCTTTGTTTTGCCGGTATGCACCTGTCATGACAAGAGACTAAGTGATGCTTAAGCTTGCGAGCCATGTTCATGTTGCCATCAACTTGACCAACGCACGCACAAATGGCAACAACGGCAGTTTCTGAGGATCAAAAGCCGCATTGGCATTGGCCTCCTCACTTCTTGAGTTCCTGAACTTTAAGCCTTTTGGGAAGACCATTCTAGTGGTACACAAAAAGTGTGCACTTTTTCTGACCAGTCCACTGAGGAAGTGAGCCTCACATTGTCCAGCGTCATTGGTTGAGCATCATTGGAACACATGCGCATGCAAACAGGATTCCCAAGGCCAAACCATCACCCAACCAGGAATCTAGCAGGCGGACATGCAGCCATTAGGGACCCCCTGTCAGGTGCCATGTTAGTGGGAGTGAGGGTACCTGCTGTGCAGGTGGAGCCATCATGGTGGCTTCCCTCCCAGCTCCCGCCTACGCGGGGGGCATGTTCGACTTTGGCCTCACCCTGCCCTTCGTGGCGATCACCTTCCTCACCATGATGGCGGCGCCTCTATTTGCAGAATGCGTCACAGAACCCCCCCCCCCGGCTGGTGTCCCGCTGTCCTGATACAACAAAAAGGGAGCCCATACAAAGGGACAAGTTTTTTGTATCGCAGAAGTGGGGACAAACCCCTTGGGACCCAAACAAAAAGGTATCCTACAGCATCCTCAAAAAGAGACACACACACACACACGCCAATGTTAATATGAGCTTGACGTTGCATTTTTTCTACCAGCCAAACCGGGTTGCTATGTGTGTTCGGCCCTATGACATAGCGTTTGATCCGCAAGCTGCTTATTCAATTCAGAAGTCAACGTCTGACTTGAGAGAATTTGACAGCATCATTCCCCAATCCTGGCCGTCGTCAAATAATGTTCTAGGCGGGTGAAACTAAGTTCTGCTAGGTTCAATGAAATACATTGAATACATCGTTTGACAGCGGTGCGAGATGGAAACACAGCACCCGTGTTCCCCGGAACATTGAACTCCGATGAAGTCCCGTCTTCCACGTTGTGAGGAGCCGCTGACCATGACGTCAGTTCAAGACGGGAGCATTGCATTGCAAATTATGTTGGCAACAAGTTCGTTCTTGCACGCTCTCGCGTGCGCACATGCACATGCACACCCACGCCCTTGCGCACAGGCACGCACAGGATCGCGTAATGGTGGCACATAAAAAAGAAAAAAGACAACTGAAAAAGACGCCCGGGTTTACCAGCCGACTGGCAGCCATACCACTTTAAAGGCGCCCACAAGGTTTGGGGCACCTCCCAAAACCCCATTTCATGAAAGAACGGCCCAAATTCAAAAGAAACACCACACAATTGCATCTTAGTTCACGAAAGCCATCGCCAACTGTACAACACCAACCCCTCTCATAGTCTCAAGGTTTGCCATTCCAGAAACCAAAAAAGAACGGCTAGCCGGAAACTGCAAATTTCTTATTAAATTTGTGTTTAAAGAATTCTAAAGGGTACTCCCCCTTCGAGGCTCACTGCCCAAAACCCCTGACTAATCAAGTCCCTCGCCAGCCCTGGAAAAATAAGACAATGCGTTTTCCTTTTACCTTCCTATTGCAGTCTTATTGGCCAGACAAGGGCCGGAGAGGGTTGGCCAGGTCCGAATTAATCCGAGGGAGCCCCAGAGGACCCCCCCAAGATCCGGTGGTCCCGAACCTTGTCAATCTTGAAGGGGGGCTATTATTAAAGTTCCCCCATTACGCACACGGACGCACAAAACACAACCACACCCACACAAGTTTGGAGCCAAGTCAAGTGGCTCGGGTGCGAACATTGCACTGGACGAATGCTTTGAGACTTCGCTTGCTCGCTTGCGCAAGGTTCTGAACGCGCTGTGGTTTGCGCCGGTGACCGAGGAGAGGGAGAGGGGGGATGCAGGTGCATGAACGTTTGCCTCGTTTTGACATGCTTTGTGGCTGGTAATGGGCAAAGATGCCGAAAGTTGTTTGTGCGCTGATGTGTGATGGTGCGTTTGTTTGACGCCGCTATTGATCATTCCTGGACGAACAGTGCACACGAATCACTCCCTGTTTCGGACACTTTGCGAATCCTGTGGGATGTTGAGGTTGGTCCCAATGCCCACAAGACGGTTATAAATTTGGAGAGGAATTATTTTCGTTGTTGGTGGACACCATGTGTTCAATCCCACAAATCCCATGGGTCCTACTGTTTATGGAAGAGTCGGGTAGTCCCCCCCCCCCCGCGTACAAACCCTATTTTTTGCCACCAAACCCGGGGGAGGAGTTACTAATTTCACACCTGACTTGGAGCCTCCAGTCATTTTGACCCAGGAGATGGACGAGCGCAATGCCAAGCTCCTGCAGACTTTGTCTGAGGCTACCGACATGCTGGCGAAGGCAGATGAGATGCAGGCGCAAGCGGAGCATGTGCTTCGGATAGGTCGTTGTCAGTTTTGTGTGGTGGAAACACTCATGTTGGTTGGCTGTACAGGGTAATCAAAAGAAAATCAACCAACAAAGAAGGACAGGTGTTCCCCAATATCAACCTTACTGGCTTCCTTTCCCAGCTCGGTGAGTCCTTTTTCCCGCATGTGGGGGGGGTCCTTTCAGAGAAATTTCTCCTCCACTGAGGTTGCGCTCAAGCACGGGAGAAATGCCACTTTTGGTTGAGTTAGACAAAAACAATGACCAACCATACGATAGAGAAGAGAAATATGTTCCCCTGTGCCAGGGTTTCTTGGGATTTCCCGCGGAATATGTCCATGGACAAGCTCTCAAGCCTAAGTGCAAGCAAGTTTGTTCCCAACGGCTTGTCGTGTTTCGGCGGAAGTCGATGGCTCAGAATCGGCTACATCCTTGCCCAAGCCTTTTCGGAGGAGCCAACAGCACAATCGCTTGGTACGCATGGTCTCGAGATGGTGCCAAGTTCATGCAAGGGCTGGATGTCTTCCTCAAAATTCAGACTGTTATATTTTGGAACTTTTATGTGTTGCCTTCATTTAGCAGTGGCTGGAATCAACATAGAAGCAGAACTGTCCAAACTCTGGGAGTTAAGCCAGGCTCAGGAAAAGACGGTCTCACAGCATCGCAGCGCTGTAGGTTGAGTACACTGCCAACATCAAGGAGGCTAGAGAGAAGGCGGCTAAGGACAGATCTTGGGAGCTTGTAGCTTCATTGAACAATATCCCAGTTGCCCAGTGGTGCCCGTTTTTCCCTTTTTTTTTTGGGAAGGGTTCCCCTTTAAAGTCAACCAACCAAAAAAGGATGCCTTTTTTTTGCCATGACCACTGGGCATCTGAGATATGGGGTTGTCTCACTTGGGAAGCCTAAAGATGTCCATTTGGGTTTCTCTTCAAATCACCCCGCCAATAACAGAAGGCACACCGCTGTGATTGTCAACGTCTTTTGTCATCGTCGTTTCTGCAGAAGCGCGGCAGTCAACTGGTCAAACTACCCTTATTGCGATAGAAGCTTACACGGCCAGCAGCAAACAGATTACTCAGCAAATGTTCCATACTGTCCACCTGTGATGAATATATAGAGCCCCTCCCCATTGACTCCCCATCAACTCCCTAAACAATGTCAAACGATTGTGTTCAACTGTTTAGCATTTGATTTGACAATTCTTGGAGTTGGAGCCCCGGAAGTAAGTCTGACAATACTTTGATTTTGTGGTATACTGCGGTCAGTTGCCAGGAAGTCGGACAAATCTGCTTTTGAATTGGTTTTGTGTCGCGGACAATTTCCAAGAAGCTTGGCGGTGATCTTCAAAAGGGGCAGTTTTACTTTGAATTGGGTTTGTATTGGGATGCATTTCCAGGAAGTGACCCATATTCAGATTATTTGCTTTACTTAGAAATAATGCTACTTCTTTAAAAAGGGCAGTACTATTTTTTAAATTGCTGTCGTGGTTGGATCATTTCCAGAAAGCATCCCAGATCATTAGCTTTATTTAGGGTATGGTTTGCATAGTGCAAATGACTTTGTGGGAGTTCCCTTGTCTGATTGTGTTGGTCTTTTGTTTGAAAAGGCTTCACAAACTGGACTCCAAGAAGTTGATAATATTCGGGCATAAAGGGAAGCTGGCAATGCCACAGATGGGAATCAGGGGGCAACACATGTATTTGGAGGCATCATGCTCTTATCATTTCATTTGTAGTATGATTTGTTGAGTGCAAATGACCTTATGCCCATACTACGGGGGGCACCCTTGGCTGATTGTTTTACGGTATGTTTTGAGTAGGTGTAAAATAAGACATTGTCATGAACATGGACACCCACAAAGTGTGTTGTTAGCTTCTGGACTAGGTTCAAAACACAGGGGTTGGGCGTGGTCAAACATAATATAACATTTAGGGAAACAACGCTTGACTTTGTTGTAAACGCTTCGCGTTGCTCGCCTCGGCCAAAATGCTTTTGGCTGGATTTGAGGTACTCTTTGAGGTACTGTGTTTTGGTTTGCCTTGAAGTGTTGTGGTTGATTGAGTGTGAGCTTGTTCCCAAGATATGGTGGGCTGGGCTTTCTAGGGGCATTTCGGTTGGGGGAAACTGACTGAACGAATTTGACCGATTTCTGGTTTCTAGGTAGACTTGCAGCAAGTCGATGTGCGTGTTCCCCAACAGCTCCAGCTTGGGTCTCTGCCCAGACAGGTTCCGGAGCGGTTCGTAGGGGTTCTGCAAGGGTCCAAGGGGTCGCGGCTGGTTTTTCGGTTGACCGGTTCTAGATGCTTCGAGGCTGGGGGCTGGAGGCAGCTGGAGCATGAGTTTGGGTCGCGCGAGAGTCGGGTTTTTGGAAGGGTTCGGACGGAATAATATTTTGGGAAGATCCTGAAGGGGTCTGAGGGTCTGACCGCTTCCCGCGGCTCGGCCGAGGCGAATTTAGGGGCATTGAGTGTTTTTTTTGGGCTGTGCTTAGCTTGATTCAGGGCGTTCTACTAGTCATAGGTGGACATGAATACCAAAACAATGCGATCCCAGTTTCTTCCATTCAAGTGAGCCACAATCTCCGCCGCGTTTATGTTGAAAACCGACGATTTACAACTATCGGAATCTACGGCGTGTGTATTTTGTTCGATGCGTCTCTCAGGAGCTGGCGGCAGCTCGGAAGAGCACAGAGGAGGCTATTGCTCGCGACGCGGCTGTGGCGGAGTCCGAGCGGGAGAAGAAGGTGCCAACTTCTGGGATTGGCTCGTAGCAAATGGTTCTGCGTGTGTGTGTGTGATCGTTTTTGGTACCTGTTTAGGGTGAGCAGAGTGTTTAAAAGGAAAACAACTTATTGGTTGTGTTGTTGTTCTGTTTTTTTGTTGGTCCCTTTTTTGTTTATACATTTTGACATCTCCATTTTGTTTTGCACCTTGTCGACTGGTCGTACAATCTTTCTCAGCGGTCTCGAGGTGAGCTGCAGACCGCCATGTTTGACGTGCGTTCCCTTTTAAACTCAACCAACCAAAAAAGGACACCTTCTTTTCCCATGGCCACTGGGCATCTGAGTAACTACACGCCATGATCCAATTGCTTCCAAGAGATGGATGAGTGCCCGTGAACTTCCTGACTCACCAAGTCTGACAGGCGAGCACTTTCAGGGCCAAGCTGGAAGCCGAGATTCAGGAGAAGAAGAACGGCGCCGAGAACTTGATCAAGGAGCGTGTGGGTATGTGTAGCATCACAATACATACCATTTGATTTCCCTCAAGCCCAACCTTTAAAAAAAAGTGCCTTCATAAAATCAGTGCTGTGGGCTGTTTGGCCATGGCATAGAGTAGATTTGGTGTGTTAAATTGAGCATCGCGGTGGGCCGAAGTTGTCGAACATTTTGAATGACCATCGTCGTATTAGCTTGAAAACGGTTCTAAGCAAAACGATAGCCCCCTCAACGGCAATTCGATTCACCTCGTACGGGACACTTGTTGTTGGATATTTCTTGGCTTCGCATGATATGAGCAACTGCCACTTGTAAAGGGAGTGATATGAACGTTCACCAAACCACCATGAAGAAATGGAGGTCACTCGCCAAAATCCGATGCGACCGCAGCTCACATTCTCCTCAGGAGCGACAGGCAGACTTCGTGAAGCAGTCTTTGCAGGCTGTTGGCCTCTAGGCCGAGAGGTGGATTGGTGGTGCGTTTTTTGGCGGAGAAGCCCATTCTTTGGTTGTGAGTCCTGTAACGTATGCCAATTTCTCCTGTTGACCGGATGCGCGAGCGCCGTCCTGGAAAAGAGCTTTAGCGCCGCAACAAATGACTGGTAGGGTAGGCAGTTCTTTTCACGACCCCAATTAGACACCCATTTGCCGGATGTGCTTTTTCTCGGTTGTGTGATAGAGAGCGTTCGATTGGCACAAGAAGTTCTTGGGATGTTTCACTCGCGATTCCGAGAGCAGTGATGTCCCTCCATGCTGAGCTGGCGCTAAGTTGTTGCCCGCAGTTTGGCTCAGACACGGCTCGGGTCAGCAGGTTGAAGACCCGGAAACGGAGCCCGAATGGCTATGGCTCGCCGCTCTCCGCTGGTGCTGGTGCTGCTGGCCCTGTGTGGCCCTGCCTTCCTCATGCCGAGCACTCAGCAGAGCGCCCCAGAGAAGACTCAGCAGCTCATGACTGCAGGCGGGCCCTGAAGCTTGGGGGGAAACGGAGGCTGCTGGCAGTTTCAGCGTTGGACTCAGGACTTGGCAGTTCCCAGCCATCCCCTTAGGTTTTTGAGCCTTTTAGGGTTTAGTGTGTGTGTGTGTGCATTTAACCCGCTAAAGGTCAAGCTTTTCGCAGGGGATCTGAGGACAGCTCAGAGGCTGCAAAGCAGGAACCACATATTGTCGCGCCTCGATGCGTGGCGTTTCACACTTTGCGGAGTTTCTGAGCGTTCATCTTACGCAGGCGGTGCCATCATGGTGGCTTCCCTCCCAGCTCCCGCCTATGCGGGCGGCATGTTTGACTTTGGCCTCACCCTGCCCTTCGTGGCGATCACCTTCCTCACCATGATGGCGGTTCCTCGGCAACCGAGCGCTTGCCAAAGCACCCACTGGTGTTAGTGGGCATTCTCATGAAGCCGTTATTAATTAGGGAGTTTGGAGAACCGTGATACGGATTCCTGCGAAAGTTGCCAGTACCACGACGCACACATTGACCATGGCACGCAGTGGTTGGTGCAGTTGACCCGGACATTCGGTTTCTTTAGATGTTGAATCCCCAGGCGGTGGTATGGAGTAGCGGCACGCTGCTCGGACAACGTAAGCCCTAGCCGAACCGTCAAAGTTGCCGGGTCATGTCATGCTACTGTTGACTACACCGTACTTGTTCGTATCTACGGGCTGCGCACTGCGCAGGATTTATTTGAAGGCTATCAAGTAGGGATAATTTTCCAGGATACTGGGAGTACGCTGCCAAGGTGCTGAACGCGCTGTGGTTTGCTCCAGTTACCGAGGACAGGGTTGCGTGGCGGTTTCTTTGGGAAAGTCGGATTGGCTGAAATACAGCATTTGCGCGCTGGCTTGCTAGCGTCGAAAGCAGGATCTCTTGTGCAAGCTGACTAAAGAGCCTGCAGGCGTTTGCTTCTTGAGGCCAGAGAGCAGCTGAAGCGAACAGTCGCGGTGATTTGTGCAGGAGATGGACGAGCGCAACGCTAAGCTCCTGCAGACTTTGTCTGAGGCCACCGACATGCTGGCGAAGGCAGATGAGATGCAGGCGCAAGCGGAGCATGTGCTTTGGACAGGTCGCTATCATGTCTTGGGGAGGAATTTCATGTTGGTTGGCTTTCAAGGATAACCAACAGAGAATCAACCAACAAAGAAGCACATGTTGTTGCCTTTGGAGTGGCAACAGCTGATACTTGGTAGCCTGTCCTCGTCCTGGTCGCTCCTGTTGCGAAGCTTTAAAAACGTCAGGTGGAGTACACGGCCAACATCAAGGAGGCGAGGGAGAAGGCTGCCAAGGACAGATTTGCCCAAGGGCAAGGCCATGTGTCGCAGGGGATCAAAGTGGTTTTGACGTGCCGCGCATTGCACCGCGAGGCTATGAGCACCTTTGTGAATTTGGCAAAAGTTTCAGTCAGAGGGATGCCACTGACATCGCTGCAGAAAGACACCATGGCTTGAATCCTCAAGCCCTGTTCCTGCCACTAAACGCACCACGAAGCACAAAAGCATTTTGATGGGTTTCAAAGCATACTTGTGGGGGTCGGACACCCATTCTGGCCACTTGGATGATCTGGATGTCCACAGGGTCCCTCAAAGGATACATGAGGATGCAGTAGCCAAAGCACCAGCTGATTTAGAGGATCACCCAAAGCAGGTTGGGAGTATCCTTTAAAGACCTCTACGAGGACCCTGTGCTCATGGCTAGACTTAGCTTACCTCTTTGATTTTAGTTTTGGATGTCCATCATTTTCCTTACATAATGTCCACTTGCAGGGGGTCTAAGTCGTTTGGCCCAGTTTCTCCAACCCCAAACCTGTTTTTTGGCCTTCATTTCGGTGTGTCTATTAGGGGACCCGCAAATTAGTTGTCCTTTGGTTTTCCCTTCGCCGCAAAAGCGGGGTGCCAATTCGAAAAACGCCACCCACCTCTTTGGTTTTGAAAGGGCGGGAATCCACCCTTTGTGGTTTAGGGGAAGACCCACGCCTCGTTTGTCCCTTTTTGTTTCGGCCTCGGTGATGGCCCGCTCTTCGCTCGCCAGTGGCTCCAGGAGCTGGCTGCAGCTCGCAAGAGCACAGAGGAGGCCATCGCCCGAGACGCGGCAGTGGCGGAATCCGAGCGGGAGAAGAAGGCGAGCGGTTCCCGCCCGGCCTTGGGCTTTTCGGTTTTTAGAGTTTCGTAGCACCAAGAAATGAAAAAGCTTAGCAGGGGATCTGGGAGCTGGTCAGTACCTTTTTGCGAGGGTAGCCTTGCTCCGAAACGATTGTCGATTTAGGGGGACTTGACTTGCACTCGCTTAAGAATACGGCTGTGGCTCAAAACATGCTGCCCAAAATGGCACCTTGGTAAATGGAACCAAAAACTACCTGCGCAACCCTAGCTCTCCAATGTTGAGCCAAGCCAACAGTCGTTTTTTTTGCCGTTGGTTTTAAAGGGAATTGGAAATGCGTGTTTTGTTGTTGCAGGGAACTTAAGAAAATGGAGGCATGCTATTATGGGCTGGTGTCATGATTTGTTGTGTCCGAACTCAGTTTGAATGCATGATGCATCAGAGCACTGTCGAATGCACAGACAGAGCAACGAGCGTCAGCAGCACAACGCAAGCGTGCTGTGGAGACAAACAGCAGCTGTGTGTAACGAGCATGTTGAGTGATCACTTAAATTGTGATAGTTCCGAACGGGGCAAACTCAAAAGAGATTGACAATGCCCGCTAATTACTTGTCCATTCTCAAGAACGCAATCTTTCCCCGTGGCCAGCCAAGCCTTGGAACGTCATGCTGCAGGCATGATATCATGGGCTGGTCGTATGAGTTGTTGCGGCTGAGCGCAGTTTGAATGCATGATGCGCCGAATGAACAGAGTGATGAGAATCAGCGGAAGCATCGGTGTGTCATGGGCATGTTGAGTGATCAGTTGAATTGGTAATGTCGACCCCATACTGATGTGTGTTAATCAACCTGCATGACGGATTGTTAGGTTCAAAAGAGATCCGCTTCCCTTCTAAAATGACACAGCCCTTGGATCAAATCAGCCCAGGAATTCCCATGAAGGTCCCGAATTCTCAGCCTCCCTCTCGATCTCGCTGGACTAGGCGAGTGCTTTCAGGGCCAAGCTGGAAGCCGAGATCCAGGAGAAGATGAACGGCGCCGAGAATGTGATCAAGGACGGGGATTGGTCAAAATACCCTTGGATAGGAATGGGCATGGAGCAGGACGTTGGTTGAACAGCCATTGTACAAGTTTCTACAAAGGAAACCATGACCATTCCACACTCGGAGTGTTGACCATGGCTCGTACTAAAGTGGGTTTCGGTCAACATGTAGTCTTGGGAGGACATGGGACTTACTAGTTGTCCCACAAAAGCCAGAGGACTCGCGCAATGCCCCATGTCCTCTTGGGAAACAAGCAATTTTGACCGGGGGTCCTCATAGTAGCAAAGGAGTTCTGATTTTGGGGCTGGGGTAATGTTTTGAAGGCGACACACAAGGAACTCAATGGTTCGCCCATAGAGTTCAGCTGGCAGTTGTTATTGGGCATTTCGGACCCCGACACAAATGCACGCATGCACACTAACACAGGCAGCACCACGAACACAGAGACTAACGCCAACGCTAACAACAACGCAAACACATCAATTGGCATACCAACACACACACACACGCACGCGCGCACGCGCGCGCTCGCGCGCGGACGCGCGCGCGCACATGCACATGCACACCCACCCCCCCACCCCCACCCCCACACACACACACACGCGCGCACACACACACACACAGACACAGACACAGACACAGACACAGACACAGACACAGACACAGACACAGACACAGACACAGACACAGACACAGACACAGACACAGACACAGAAACAGAAACAGAAACAGAAACAGAAACACAAACACAAACACAAACACAAACACAAACACAAACACAAACACAAACACAAACACAAACACAAACACAAACACAAACACAAACACAAACACAGACACACACACACAAACACACACAAACACACAAACACCACACACACACACACACGCACAGACAAACACACACACACACACCCACACACACACACAAACACACACACAAAACCACAACACACACCAAAACACAAACACACACACACACTAACACACTAACACACTAACACACTAACACACTAACACACTAACACACTAACACACTAACACACTAACACACTAACACACTATCACTACCACAACCACCAACTCCAACTCCAACACCAACACCAACACCAACATCCAACACCAACACCAACACAAGCACAAACACAAGCACACCAACACACGCACACAGGAAAACACCGTTGATCACCGGCCCACGCGCGGTTGCCCGCGCGTTTTTACTTGATCTGACTGGGAAGCCACGGGCTGCGGCTCATGAGCCGACGTCAAAACATCCCTCAGGAGCGCCAGGCAGACTTCGTCAAGACGTCCTTGCAGGCGGTTGGCCTCTAAGCATGGCCATGGGAGAGCCAATTTTTCCCCAAGATGCGCGAGCGCTGGCAGAAAAGTCATCTTTTGCGCATGACAGTCCGCGTTGTGTGTGTGTGTGTTTGATGTGCTGGTCATATTACGATGGCCATCCAGGGAGATAGAAAACCGAATCCGAATGTCACGGAGCTTCAGTGTCTCAGGAGAGGCGTTAGGCCCCCCCCACTTCCCGGAAAGTTTCTCAGAACTCTTCTCAGAAGGTTCCCAGAACCTTTCGTGGGCGCTGCTCAAAGCTTTCGCAGCTCAACGGCTCAGATCAATTGCGCAACCGCAAGAAAGCAGTTCATTGCAAGCTATGAGCCTCAAACCAATCACTTATGCGGACAGTCAACCCTCTTTGAGGGTGGAGGCAACAGTTCTTCCACAGGCGTGGAACCAACGATGTAGATGCACGGTGAAAGGTCCACCAAAACGCGAGGAACATGCATGCCCTGTGCCAATACCTAGCAACCCAAGTCTGCTGGCAGCACATCAAGTTTGCAAGGTTTGTTGTAGGCACACATTCCAAACTCCCGCACTCCCCACCAAGCATCACCGCGTCACAGCCCAGCAAGCCCGATTCCAAAGCCCATGGAGACGTGAGCCTCAGGACTGCGATTTGAGTTCGCCATGTTGGTCCAGACCTGTGAGAGGTGTGCTTTGAAATTCACCGGGCATCCTTTACCGAGGAACTCCATAGGTTTGGGTTAGTTTGGGCTCGAGTTTCCAGCTTCAGCCGGAGCGACTCCAGTTGCCAGCAATGACAGAAAAGAGGGAGTAATGAAGAAACATGTGCGAGGTAATGACGTCAAAGACTGCTAAGATAATGACAAAACCGCTTACGAAGTAATGATGAACAACGTAGGTCCTTTGCAAATGGCCTGCACAACAAAGGGTGGTTGATCAAAAGGTCCTTTACATGGGATGACCATTGGTTGGGAAACCACTACAAAGATTTGATGTTTCCCACATGGGCTTCGTTACCCATGGTCAAAACTGGGGGCCCTAAATGGAATATTGATCAACCCGGTCAACCCCCAAAAATAACAGCGCCACAAGTGGGATGCCATGGGCATCACCGAACTGCGAGGATGGATCGCCCACGGCTGGAGTCCGACATCCTCGGGGCCTATGGCAGGCGGGAGCGGGAGCTTTGCCTCCGTAAGCAAAGGATTCACGAGATCGGGTGTGGATGGCAACTTAGGGGGCGTTCAGCCTGTCTTATGTTTTGAGCATCACAAACCGCGCCGCAGGATGCCAACAAGTTGTACACTATTTCGGATTCCTCCAAAACTTACCAAGCAGCATAATTGTGTGTTCATGTTGCAGGTGTGCTGATCTTTTTGTTAAAACACCTGCCAGTTGTCGTCAAACACGGACAGTTGAACTGTCCTCGCGTATTCCGTGCAAGTAGATCGCACTTACGCAGGTCGATATTTGCGGACGTGAACATTGATGTGTCTCTTTTCGGGACACCCGAAAATGGCTTCAGTTTTCCTTTGGTTTCCCTTTAGACCAACCCCAAGACAGGCACTTGTACCAGCCAAAAAGGAAGAGGCTTTGGCGTGACGCTCGTCAGGTATCCGCTGATTGTGAAGATTCCCAGCGCTGTGATGACCGGGGGCACCCTGGGGCCGGCTACGGCTCGCTTCTTCAGCTCCCTCCATGGCAACTGAGAGGGGGTCCCTTCAAAAGGAAACTCATCTTCCAGGTACCTCACAGGTGCCATGTTAGGAGGAAGGGTACGCAAAGCGGAACCCTGGTAACGTTGAAACAAGGACTAAAACCTGTGGTCCGTTTGTGCTTTTGTTTTGTTCGGCCAGCTGCAATGCCCTTGAGAGCAACCAGCCAGACAATGTGTCGCTCGCAGACATCAGTGTCCGGAATATTGTCGCGGATTTTTTGGGCCGTTGTCCGAAACGATGTTTCAAGTCCCGTATTTGCTTGTGGTCATGCCCCCCCCTTCTTGAATCATAATTAGTTTTCCGTCACTGCGCGACAGGTTCCGCTACACCGAATACAAGATCGAGGTGGATGACTGTGGAAGGTGTTACTCGCGACAGAGAAGGCCGGCGAGCTTTATAGTTGGTTGGGTTTCTCACTGAGTTCTTGGAGGACTTCATATTTTTGGGGAAGCCCATTTTAGTGGCCACAAAGTTTGATCATGTTGGGCAAACCACGGAAGTGAGGCCTCAAGCTTGGAAGGAATGGGAGTTTCAACGGGAAATGAAGCATGACCGCTACGAAAAGGACAAGTCTCTTGAAGTGAATCGAGTTCTTCTGCAGGCATCAGGCACTATGTTCAGACAGCTGGAAGCGGAAACGCCTTCGGAAACCAGACCTAGGAGCTGATTGCTTAGGAATACAACATTATAGCTGGATTGATTTCAAAAGTTATGCTGATGCAGCTTGGAGCAGATGACACTGACGTCAAAATAGTAATCGCTTCCCGTTAATACAAAACACAACACAATTTTATTACTATGGGGCCCGGGTTCCGGTCTGTCCTCTTCGGCGCTTGTCCAAACGAGATCTCCCATACATAAAACCTGAGGGGGAATGCCGTCCGTGGTTCGAAGAAGATTCTGCGCTATGCTCCGAAGCCCTTGCCACAATGACAACCGTTGTGAATCCAGCGAGTTTCCAAAAACCACAGCCACAAACTCTGCGGCTGCAGCGAGGCATCATGAGTGATAATAAGCCGTTGCATGTCTGAGCGCAAAAATCACAACCACCACTCAACTGTGTTTTGGCTTGCATATTACATATTACATGATATTAATATATATATATATATATACTGCTTAATGCCTTATTCCTGCAACTATGGGTTCCCCTTTCCACATTCAGCAAAATTCCTGGTCCGGGAATACAACATTTAGAATAGCCAATTTGAAGCAAACACTCAGTCTAAAGCAGGGATTTCCCCTACTGTACCCAACTCCAGTCATATTAGGGGGCCTTTCAGAAGCAACCAAGTCTCGGGTGTCTTGAACAAAACGGGGGAAGCCTCGGTTAGTCGTTGAAACTCGAGGGATTTTAAAGTATGTGAATTGTTTTACTTGTGGTTTCAACATATTCCCAATGTGATGGTTAAACAAAGCAACCATGCAGCGCGGGGTGTTTGCTACCATTTTGTTCTCTCCCAAAAAGTTTAGTTTAACATTCCTCGAGCCGGGGCATGGCCATTCCCTGCCATTCCCTTGAGCCGATCACCACTCTGGCATTTCAAGGCGGACAGAGACCAACCGAGGGGCCCATAGCGAGGTATACCATGTTCGCCTGGCTGCACGCAGAGCTGCGGCGCCGCGAGCTGGCGTGCGCCCTGCCGCAGTCCCAAACCTTCTGAGATTCGTGAGCTGTGCCGCCGCTGCCATGGGCAACAGACAGCTTTACTTTACTTAGGTGTAACAGGTCAGGTGGATTTGAGTGGATTTAAGTAGATCTGCAAAAATGGCATTGAGCAGGTGGGTCGGCTCAGGTGGGTCAGCCCTATTCCCCCTGAGCAGGGATGGTCATCCTGGTAGTAAGGGTCCCGAATAACCATTGTAGTGATTTCTGGGTTGGTATTGGTATTGTAGCACATGGCTGGGCTGTCCATTTGCAGGGTTGATCAATGTTCCTTTCGGCCCCCAGTTTTGACCATGGGTAACTTTTCCCATGTGTGGGAATTATCACCATGTTAAGCGTTTTTTTTCCCTATGGTCATACCATGTAAAGGACCTTTCGATCAACCCCCACCTCTACTTTGGTTTAACAAGGATGGTTGTCCATTTGAATTGTAAGCATCCTCAATAACCATTGTAATGACTCCTGGGCAACCATGACATACCATGACCATAGGGTTGTGTAAGGAGTTTTGCCCATGCCCCATAATATGGGCAAGTATGTGAAGCGTCCACATTTGGCCAATCCAATTGGGCGAATTGGCATTGCGTTCCTTTGGGGACGCACTTATTGCTGCTAGTTTCGAGCTACAAGCTTTGCATTGCAGCATTTTTTCCGGAATCAGGTTCCTTTGACGGCTCGCTTCTTTATCTCTCCTGGCTCTTCCCAAGTGCAAGGCCGTGAATAATTGCTTGGGACACCTCAGGACCTACGCCTTGTGTTGGCATTGTCACCAGTCACTTCTGGGTGTGTTTCATTGAGGCGTACCCGGTCCTTTTTTGAAGCAATACCCAGCAAGATTCGCAGGTTGCTGCGAAGGTGGAACCTCATGAGATGCTTGCTTCGCCGTGCATGCTGAATCGCCTCACATGGTGACTAAACCCTCGCCAGTTGTGACACACACACACACACACCAACCACGATTCGGAAATGAGTGGACGCAAGTAGTAAGCTGGTGGAGAAGCCAGTATAGCACATTGACTAATGCTTGTATAGGACGAATCAGAACCGATGCTTGTGAACTTGTGGTTTTGCTCAACTTGAGAAAAGCGGAGATCGCGTTCCCGTTTGCTTGGTATGCACTTCCGGAGGCATGCGCAGACCAGTAGATTGCTCATGGCACAGTTTGCCTGAACGGCAGTTGTCACATTTTATTGGCGTTTGCGGCTGGCTAGCTTATGGCATGACATCTACATTCGTGATTGTGTGCTCGACACGTGTCTTCCAAATTGGATTGCACTTGTAAGTTGTATGTCGACACTTGAAACTCTGGAGATTGTTTGAAGCGTTGCGGCCCATTGGGTTGGTGATCAGTTGCTTTGATTTCCTGAATCTGAATGCTTCCGATGCAAATTCAGGCCTTATGACCATGCATTGTTCTGCACCAATAGCGTGCTCCGTAGAGGTCAAATGAGCTCACCCCGCAATGAACCAGTTGGGAATTCCTTTTTCCACAATTCACCCAGAGTGTTCGCCCAGAATGTTCTGAAGCACTTCGTTGTTAACTACAGCTTCGTCATATTTACGTTTGAGGCCAGAGCTACCTCCGAAGAAAATCCTCGGCAATCGAGACACCGCCAGCGACCTCAGATCGGGAGGATGGGAGGTGCGCGCTGGCTTCAAACCAATTGGTACAGGTTGACAGCTCCCGAAGTGGAAGCGTTGACATGGGAAGGCCTCAAGAAAAGCATCTTCAAGAAACGGAAGTATGGACATGGGAAAGTCTCAGAAAACGAAGCCTCAGATTTGGGGAGGCTTCAAGAAATGGAAGCATGGACCGGAATGGAAGCAGAAGAAGGCCTCAAGGCAAGCACGGGGCCGCAAGAATGCAGACTGATGCTGCAGGAACCATTGCTCTTAATTAGTATCGTTGCCTCGAACGTTTTCACTCGGCAAGGTTGCATCCTATAGATCTCACGAGCTGAAGCTCCGCAGCGCGTTTGTTAGGTCCTGGTTGGCTGCATGATTGCTCAGACAAGGAGTCACATCAGTCATTGCCAACAACATGTCCCACGATAGCCTTCAATCATGACACCAGTTGCAACTCTTATATATAGCCTGTTGCCAAGGCATTTGTGGAAAGACGACGACAGCAGCTGGAGGAACGGAAGCGCTCATTGGCTTCGGATGGTGATGGCGAGCAAGCCGATTCCTATTGGTCACGGAAAGGTGGTTTGGCTCCTATTTGGTTTACAACCACCAAAATGCCAAATGGCTATGAAGTTAATTTGGAACCTCCTCAAAAGTAAGTGGTTGGTGGACATAAATCCGCTCCATAATGCCCACCAAAGGACCAAAGGGTCCGGGCCCCATGAAGAATCATACCCAGTTAGCAACCAAAAGAAGGTCCCTGCCTAGTAGAACCAAAAGTCGATGTGACTTGGGCATAATGCCTTGGCTTTACTATTCGGTCGTCTGTAAATGTGGGTTTTTGAACCTGCAAATGGGCGGTTTCCCTTTGGTTTCCCCGAACACCAACCCTGAAAAGATGACCATCACCCGCAAAAGGTGCAAAATCTATTTGGTCCTTGTTTATGTTGCTGGGCTTGCTGGGGCTGTGAGCGTTCTGCCGAGTTGGCAGTACACATGTTTGAGTGCGCATGGTAAATTCGGGCGGGGCATCGGAGCTCATGAAATGTCCCGCAGAAAGTGGGACGCAACCCTTAAGTCAATGTCCTGGAAAGCTCACGCATATCTTTGGGCGTCCCAAAGTGAGTATTTTTTGGGAGGGGTCTCAAAATGACTAGACCATACATGTACTTAGTTTCGAGGATCATTGCGAGGATGTCACTTTGGAGTATTTCGACCATATGCCAAGACGCCATAAAACGGAATCTATAGCCAGGACTACCTGAAGGCCCTGCTCATGCTGCCGGCAGTCATCCAGGAGGGAGTCCACTCAACAGTTGGGATGGATGAAATTGGAAGAAACCACCCGGCAGCTCTTGCAGGATTTGGTCCAACATTAGCTCAATAGCCTCGGAGCCATCAACCCCTCGTTTCTATCAGGCCGCGAATGCTAACTGGCACACCCTCAACAAGTTCCGAGAATCCCCTGGTTTGTGGCTGAATGATCTCCTTTTACAAGAAACAAGCGCGACAACAGACACTGCTTACCCATGACTGATGTACTCGAGCCATGTCCCCGAAGCACGTTCCACTCCCCCTTCATTCGGAAGGTGGGCGTGCGATATATATATATATATATATAAAAGAAACGGCGGGGCCGCCCATTTTGACAGACATCCCATGCGGCAACAAAACAAGCCCAGGATGGCATGATTTGGGCCTTCCTGGATGCTGACGAAGCAACGGCTGTAGTGCCAAGGCCGGCTTGCCAGCAGATGAATCTGGTATGTGGAGTGTCTTTATAGGGTACCCGCTTTTGCTTGGTTTTAGTAGAAAAGTCAAGGGAACACCTTATGTTGAGACCCATGTGTCAAAGTAGCGGAACCCCGAATTTGCGGCTTTCCTTGCGATAACATTTCTGAGGACAGCCCCATGTGACCCGTTTGGAATCAGATGGAGCAGTTGCTCAGCAGCCTAAATGGTGCAGGTTTGCACTTCCAGTCGGGGCTTTCTATTGCCATGTGCAACCTGACAGGAGAGCAACATACTTGAAACACTGGTCTTTTGCATTACCTACCTACACACATACATACCCGCATTTTCCTTTACATTTGCATGTACACTACATTACCTTGCATTATATACATTGCACTGCGTTACGTTGCAGTGTATTGCGTTGCATTTCATTACATTATTATACATGATTTGTGTGTGGAAGGGCACTATCTTGAAGTAGGCCCATCTAGCAAAGCACCTATTTGCCAGGGGTTTTGAGCTAAGTTCTGGAGATGGGGTTCGCTGGCTTCTACGATAGGATCCAACAGACCCGATCCAACATAAGACTCTAAACCCTAATCTTCAACTAAATCGGCAACCCCAACCAAAACCAGAGGGAGGGGTAGTCCTGTCCTATGGGATTGAGCCTCCCGGCTCAGGTTTTTGTGCCGGCCGGCCACCCATCATGCTGCAGACAAGTGCCTCTCAGCACTGAAGCGGGCGGTGGCGGACAAGGAGGCGCCGACCGCTCGACGCGACCGCGTTCCTTCGTTTCTCTTGCGCAGATGGGCGAAGCCCGAAGCGCAGCCATGGTTTTGCTTGAAGAAACCCCCAAACCACATGGTTGTTATCTACAAAGAAAGAGTGCATTTTTTTGTTTAAACAGTTCAGAAAAAGAACCAACATGAAAAGCACACACTTTTTGAGTTCAAGGTTAATTTGCAGAGCCGCCAGCAAGTTGGAAGGCTGGCAGATTTTGGGAGAGAAGAATCGCTTTTACCCCGTTTGTTTGCCCAACTTTATTGAACGTTAGCTTTCCTTGTGGAAACTGCGCTGGGGCAAGTGTATGCGCACCAAATCATGTTTGTCGTATGTTCATGGCTTTGCTTTGCCTCGAGATCCCTGCCATACCGCGACATTCCGCCATGACAATTGCCCCCGCCCAGACCGAGATCTTTCGGCTTTGCGACGCCTCCGTGCTGGAGGAGAGAGAAAGATAGAGGGAGACAGAGAGAGAGAGAGAGAGAGATAGCTTAGGAGGTCAATCCTCAAAGTTATTTGGGCACAATGTTGACCTCAAATTCATCGTCCTTCAATTCAATATAGAAGTTTTCCCCAACCAATGAAGGACTCCTTCTAAAATGGGATACCCTTACTCTCCTATTCATCAACCCGCTGGGGGGGTCATCCTGCTTCTACAGCAACAAAGACGGATTCTTCAGGCAAGGTGTCGGTTCGAATGCTCTTTGCGGCGTAGACGAATGGAGTGCCAGTGGGGCTGCAGGAGCTGGCAAGCTTTGCAAAAGCGGAGGCATCTGAGGCGCGGGATGCGTGGGAGGCTTGAAAACCAAAAGAGGCTCCGCCCCGTTGGTTTTTCTGACCCCAAACCTGCCTGTTCGAGCTCCGTTTTATCTTTTGCTTTGCGCACCCAAACGCAGGTTGGGGGTGGAAACAAAGGCGCCAACCTGAAGTCAAAGAGACACCCCAAGGTTTGAGCGCCTTTCGGGAGCTTTTGGGGGAGTTTGGTGCCAAAAGCGCCATCTGTTGGCGTTGATTTTGAATCCAGTGCGAGTTGTCAGTTTGGTCAAATTGCTCCACATTGCGAGTATCGATATTGACAACCGAAAAAGGCCATGTTAACAACCTGCAAGGGGTGTCAGGTAGGAATATAGTCGCTGCACCTGATTGAAGCTGCTAACAAGCACTGTTCTTGAAAACAATATCGATAACTTGACATGACACATGAGCGATGTTCTACAACCTTTGCACTTGAAAGTTGTATTATTCAAGAGGAAATATTGTTTTCAACATGTTGACTTTTCCCAGGTCGCGGAAGCGCCTCCCAAGGTTCGCGGAAGGGGGTTCTCATTTATGTACCCGCGGAAGCTTCGCGGAAGGGCTACGATGCAATCACGAAATCAGGAAATTGTAGTTTTCCTGCACGCGCAGAAGCGAACACGAACTTCAATCCCATTTCTCTATCCGCGGAAGCGATTCCCTCTTCAAACTTCTTGCGGAAGGAACCTTTCATGCCGCGCACGCTCCGCGGAAGCCTTCGCGGAAAGGATTTGATATTTCTCTTCGGCCGCAACTGGGTTTAGAACACTATATGTCTTTACCAGGAGTCACTAAAGATATGTCGAATCGATGGGCAAACTTTCGAGCGAATACGGGCAACTTGCAGTCGTTGCATCATCAGCCTTGCAACACTGCAGCCTTGGGGGGCTCCCCCGACCTCCGATCAAAGCTTAGCAATTGCAGCCATACCCTTTGACTTTGAGAGTCTGGAGGCATGTGGCTCTGTCTTTCTTTGTGGGTACCCCTCAAAAAAAAAAAAACATGTACGCCGTCTCCCTCCAAAGCTTTGCCAGCTCTCAACGATCCGCAGGAGGCAGTTGTGGCGGTGCCGCAGCAGGCGCAGCAGCTGCTGCAGGCGGTGAGTCGAAGCATTCGAGCGCTATCTCCAGAGATTGGAAGGTCCGCCGAGTCTCTCAAAATGGCCCATGGGGTCAAACGCCTGTACCCCCAGTGAACATCCCAATCCCCGCTAAAATAGACTAGAATGGGTGGTGCACCTACCCCAAAATGGTACCATTGTTTGAAGGGAAAGCAGCTGGACACCGTTGCCATTTGCCAACTTTGAGCCATGTAAGCGGCTTTAGAGTGAGGATGGGGGCTGAAGGGCTGAAAGTTCGCATGACATACAGCTGGGTGAAACCAAGATATGGGCCATGGTTGGTCGGTGGTTCTACCTGGTTGGAGAAGAGTTATAGTAAGGCCTACAACTTTAAACCCGTGAGCCAACGGTGTGACTTATTCCGAACTAGAACAGGGGGTCCCTGGAGAGCTTTGGCACCTGCCATTAAGTGAGTTTCCTCTGGGGTGAAGTGGGGACAGTTGCTGCGTGGTGTCCTTTTTCCCTTCAACCAAAAGGGGATGGGCTGAAATGAATCCTGAATCCTTTGACGAGATGGGGTCTGTTGGAGCAACCCTAACACCCAGTGAAGCCAATGGGATAGGGAGTGCTTGTTTGGCAAGGCTGGAAGTTGGAGTTGGGAAGGTGTGAAAGGCCTATTCCCTGTATAGGGTGTCTTGTTTTGGGGCGGACCTCCCCAAATTGGTGGTTTTTCTTTTGGTGTCCCTTGAAAACCACGTACCCTCCAAAATGGACATCCCGATTTGCTAAGAATCTGGGTGACCCGTATGAGTTCTAGCAGCTACAACCATTCAACGGATCACCCCATAGGTTTCTCGTCAGTGACACGAGCCGCCACCTTTTTCTTCTTTGCAGGTGCGGCTATGGAATCGAATAAAATTGTGCTTCATTCTGCCCGGCGCCAAGAGAAAGCTCAGGTGAGCCACAGTCAGCCAGCTATCCCAAGGAATTCCGTGCCAAAGGGCTGCGGCTACGCGGGTTCCTCAAAGAACCAAAACCAAGAACCGCATAGGAGGTATTTGTCCCTTCCTCGTGTGATGAGAACGAAAAATATCCCCCATTTTGAACAGCCCAGCTAAGCTTGAAGGGCAGACTATGGCATGTGTTTCCTGCAATGTTCGTCCCTTCGCTTGTGGGGGCTACCCATTTAAAACCCCTGTGAGACCCCATGGGCCAAGGCTGCAGGTCATTTGTTATGACCGTGCGCGGCACAAACTCGTGCAGTCGGGCGTGCGGCGGCCTCAAGCTCGAATCGAATCGGCGGAGTCCCTCTAGTCCTGATCTGTAATCAGTGGGACACACAAGGAGAACAACTAGTTACCATCCGGCATATTGAACAAACACGCACGTGAATCGCGATGAATGCACAAACAGGGGCCTCATGTCCGGCACTTTCCCGGGTGAAGCCGGAGAATCGGCTTCGGAATCTGAGAGCTATTGAAGATTGGTGTGAACCAATGGTAAATCCTGTAATCCATAGTGGGACATTCAAGGAGAACTGGCTAGTTAGTTACCCTCCGGCATATTGAAGATTTGTTGTGAACAACTCAAATCAAAGGTTTCGAGGGGCGCGTTGGGTAAATCGTGTCGTCGGACTGAAAGGTTTGGCGCCCTGCTGGCGCTTTTGTGCCGTGCGACGGAGGACGAGGTGTGGCCACTGCTTGGTCGCTTGAGCTGCGCCCAACACCCGCATTGGCGAGTTTAGTGGGGGTCTACCTGGCTTAATGGGGATTGTGGTAGCGGCCCTTAGTAGCGCCTCTAGAAAGACTTCAGGCCTTTATAAACTTCATAGAACTCATTGTGCCCGCGATCAAATAGCCGTGCTTTATGGCCATTTGGTTGTACTTTAGCTTTTTGGTTGAGAGAGGTGGGATGGCCCATTGGACCCACAACAATTTACAGTCGAGTCCCAACCAGGCCCCGTTTTTGCCTATGGCTTTGTGAAGAATCCGTCAATACCAGGTCTCAGGTGTTGATGATTACACCCATGCAAAGAAACACAAGGAACCCAAAGAAGGGGGTCCAAAAAAAGTTTCTAGACGGGATTTTGGCTTCAGGTTCTCTACAAATGACGCAATTTTGGTTTCATATTTTTCTGATATTAGGTGTCGGTGAGTTTTGTGCAGGCCGCAGCTAGAAGCAGCGACAGCTGGACAGAAAATCACCACAATGGCAGCGGGGCGGCCCAGTCGGACGTTGTTTGCACAATATATTGTGGATGAACAAAATCCACTTTGAAAAAAGAAAATGAAGCAGTATAGAATACTGGGATGTACCATCCATCAACTGGTGCATCATTGTATGTCCATATGTTGCTTTCGCCGCAACCTTGCAACTGTGCTTACAGCCTCTCTCCTGTTTGACTGGGGGGATAGCCTGTTTTCAGCAAGAATACTGCATCGGCTGCATAAGCGCCTCTTCGGCAAAGATTCTCGCCACGGGTTTGGCATCAGAAGCTCAATGTTGGCTTCCGCCTGCGATGTTGGCCCATTGGCATCCTGTGCAAAGAATCACAGCAGCACCATGCGCGCAGCCTTCATGCCTGCCGCCACATTGGTGGGTCAGATTGAGGAAGGGTCTTGGCGGGTTGACGGTCCAAGGGCCGCAAGTATCCTTCCATATGGCACCGCAAGCATGCATACATACATACATACATACATAAACAATTACAGACATAGTGACATACTTGCACACATACTTGCACACATACTTGCACACATACTTGCACACATACTTGCACACATACTTGCACACGTACACACAGACACACGGGTGGACGGATGGACGAACAGACAGACAGACAGACCGACAGACAGACAGACAGACAGACAGACAGACAGACAGACAGACAGAGACAAGCAGGCAGGCAGGCAGGCAGGCAGGCAGGCAGGAAGGCAGGCATGCATGCATGCATACGCGCACGTGCGTACGTACGTGCACCCGTATAACCGTACGTCCTTACCCCCTCAATGATATTCATACATACATACATACATACATACATACATACATACATACATACATACATACATACATTTATACATTCATATATACATCCATCCATCCATTAATCCATTGATCCATCCATCCATCCATCCATCCAGCCATCCAGCCATCTAGCCATCTAGCCATCCAGACATGCGTACATGCACCCATGCATACATCCATAACTCCGTACGTCCATACATCCACACATCCTTGCATTCATACATGCATAGATACATTCGTACATCCGTACAACCGTACAGCAGACCTTCCTACATTCGGAGATGCATATGTGCCTGCGTACATGCGTACACTTTTGCATATGTACTCGTACATAAGTACATCCGTACCTCCTTACATGCATACATCCACGCGCACACACATCCATGCATCCATTCATCGATATATCCATGTGTTATGCATTCATACATCCAGACATTCATACATCCAAGCATTACTTCCATGATACGCACATACCTGCATGCATACATACATACATAAATGCATACATACAGAATCATACATAATCATACATACATACATACATACATACATACATACATACATACATACATACATACATACATACATACATACATACATACATACATACATACATACATACATACATACATACATACATACATACATACATACATACATACATACATAAGCATGCATACATACATAAGCATGCACACATACATAATCATGCATACATACATAATCATGCATGCATACATACATACATGCATACCTACATACATACATACATACATACATACATACATACATACATACATACATAATCATGCATACATACATAAGCATGCATACATACACAATCATGCATACATACATACATACATACATACATACATACATACACACACAGACACACAGACATACATACCTACCTACCTACATACCTACATACCTACCTACCTACCTACCTACCTACCTACCTACATACATACATACATACATACATACATACATACATACACACATACATACACACATACATACATGCATACATACATGCATACATGCATACATAATCATACATACATAATCATACATACACAATTATATATACACCATCATACATACATAAGCATACATACACAATCATACATACACATTCATGCATACATAATCATACACACATAATCACCCGTACAGAATCATACGTACGTAATCGTACATACAAAATCACACATAAATACATGCATGCATGCATACATACTCACACACACATACATACATACATACATACCGGAATACGCGCAAGTCCTATAATTCCACATGCTTAGCAGACTTGCTAGACTCCTAGACATGTGTTGAGCAAACGATGCATACGAGCACAACAAGCTTTGAAACTCCACATAGTCAGAACATTACAGGTTGAAGACTGTGGGAATGTGCCTTTCGAGATTCTTTAATCTGAGATGCAAGTTCTTCAAACAGAGTGGACATGTTCAGTGTGTTGGCATAGTTGCCTCCGTATGCCCATTGTGTGTGTGTTCAACTGCTTCTTGGTTGTTGCAAAGATTGTGGTTCCGGATTTCGAGATCCAAGTATACATACGCATTTAGATGCGCATGATGTGTACATGGAAGATATACATGTATCTGAGGGCGTCTTCCATGGCTTCCCCAACCAAAATGTGACTCATACCTACATGAGCAACTAACAACATGACTGGTTTGGGTTTGGGGAGGACGAGAAGGGGTGGCCCAATGTGTCCTTCCTGAGCATTCACAGGTCTGGCGGCCACCGACTGTGTGAAGCGCCTGATCCAGGCTGGAGAAAAACACCAAGCGGGACCAGCGATGGAAGCCCTTCACCAAATTTGCCAAGTGGGTATGGGTGAAAATTCATTTGTATAGGGGACAGCAGGTGTTGGTCCTTGGTTCCAATGACCAGGGCAACCCATGTTGGAGTTACTCATTTTTTGGCCCACAGCCAAGCGTGGGGAATTCTTTCAACTTGGCCCAAGGCCAAGTGCCCCTTGGATCTTTCTTCCATTTGACCCTCAGGTACCTTTCTTACGTGGCTATCTTTGGAGCAATTCGTTTTTGAGATAGGTTGAAAGAGAAGCAAGGAAACCCCCTGACAACGTTTTTTGGGATCCAATCGTGGCACGTCACACTGCGAGGGTGTGGCATTCCATACGCATGCAGGGGCGTTGTGAAACAAACCAGGGTTTGGCCCTCATGTTCAAACCAGTATTGTGTTGGTTTCCCATTTCAGGGGAGCAGGGGGCACAGTTGTTTTTTCTTCTTTTTGTTCAAACCCTGTTTGGTTTTGTACCATGCGCACGTCAAAGGGCGGCATGAAACACCTGAGGGAAAACATACACACTTCACTTATCTTGAGTTTCTTCAATATGTTTCCTCTATGCCCTATGAACAAATGCACCCTTTGTAACGACCATCTGAACAAACCAACCCATTTTCAGGTATCTCACAACTAGCCACTGCTCCTGCCTTCTACGGATAGCATCCTTCTGCCTTGTGGTGCCATGCAAGTCAATTTGGGTTGTGTGCATGTACGTGTGTTTCTGAGGGTACCTTTCTTAGGTTGATTCAAAGGGAACCACTAGGACAATTGTATTTCCTGGTTCCTCAATTCTGACGCATACCTATTTAACTCTAGTGCAGGTCACCCATCCAGGAGTTTGGAGTTGGAGCTTGACTTCCTTGGAAGTTCTGCGAAGCAATCATGCGGGAATCACTTGCACAACCGTTTTAGGTTGCATTTCATATGCAGTATCTTTCTTACTGCGTCAGTGGTAATGTGCAAGGTGCGCAAGTGCCTGTTGTTTTTCCCACACATTCAGCAAGGGCATGCATGGGCATCAGGCTATATGAAGTTGGGTCAAGAAGTACCAGTAGTCTATGCTTCATATTGGAGGTACATGAGGGGACTCACTAAACCTCCCGCAAAAGCTTTCGAGAAGAGTGGTTTTGACCATGGCTCCTTCAAAGCCTTTGCGGCCATGTTACTACAGTATTACTATATGCGCCAAGGTCAAAAAACATCCCTTTACTTGGGGTTGGTAGAGAATATCATACACTTATTAGAAGGACACAGTGACATTCTCAGATGGTTCCACTACCCCAACCACCAAAAACAACGCATGTACCCTTCATATAGTGGCTGTACAGTTGCTGTATATCCCGTTAAGCCCATGGGGGTAGTGGTTTCGGGGGTAGAGGACACCATGACCATGGAGCTCAGCAGCTTCGCCGCATCGCGCCAGGTAACCCAAGGTGAAGCGCTACTTGTGTTTTGCCAGCAGGCAGCCTATGTGTTCGCGCCAGAAATGGGTGGTGAGATTCTGGGCCCTTTTCAGGTTGGTCCACAGAGAAAGCAAAAGGAACACCGCCATTTTCTTTGGGGGGGTGTCAAAATGCCAATTCGAGCTGCAAGAAGCGCACCGCGGCGCACCGCGGCGCACCGCGTTTTGAGAGAGGACATGGGCATCACGGAGCGTTTCACATTGGGCCACTGGGTGTCCAGTAAAAATCAACGCAGGGCATGCGAGACCTATGCACACAGCAAGAATCACCTGGCAAAGAACCACAATCCCCACACCTCGCCAGGACGGCGCTTTGGACGCCCTCCGCCGTTTGGCGACAGCGGAGGCATGGGGAGAGATCCGCAACTTCCCCGAGCCAGGGCATTCAGCTAGACCGCCAGTGGTGCAGAAACCTTTGTCTTAAGACCCCCAGTTTCACTTACCTTATACCCAGCTCTAATCCTCGCACACCCAGTGCCCTGTTTTCTCGTTTTGGGAGGGTCCTTTTTTCAACGTTGCCTTTCTTCCCATGGACAACTGGAAGTCCGGTTGACAAGAAAGCATGGCCGGAGGCAGCACTCAACTTGTAAGTCCTCTTGCAGCGCAACAAGAGAACTCGATCAGAAGTGGCAACCACAAGCTGATGTGAACAATTCAAAAGGGGAATATAAGGAAAGCTGAGAGGAGCAACAGTTGGCAGGAACTTGATTCAGGGGGGTGGTGGATCAGGTTCCATGGAAGGGTCATACGGACTGGCAAGAGTTGTTGCAGTGTGATAGTGTGCATTTGGTTTACCGCAATAGCCAAACGGTGGGTGCTTGAGATACCCTTGCAGTCAAGAAGTTTGATCGCAAGTATGGCCTGGCTTGGACGAAGCTGATGCATGGGCAAAGCCGAAGTCCAACCCATTGGATTGGTCATTTGTTTTATACCCAAATAAAGGGAATGGTGCCATCTACCTTCACCCTTGTGTACATCGACACCATCGTTTTGTTTTCTATGTTGTTTTGCCATTAACGTGGAACCAACAACTCCTCATGTTTAGAGAACTCGTATTTTGGGAGAACCCCTTTTTTGGGTTTCATGTAATCATGCAAAGACGTAAAATGCAGCACAAGATGTTCACAGGAAAATGTCCTGTAGCTGTTCCAGAAACGACCGACTTTACTCGAAGATGCGCTCCGCATTCCGCGTTCCGGCAGTCCGAAGTGCTGCACGCTGTATGTGCCTGGCTTCTTTGGTTCGGCCTGCGCTGCGGCGGGGTCCGGGCCCCACCCCAGAGCTGCGTGTCTTTGAATCCCATGGGTGGTGTTCCTTCTGATTTCAACCAACAGGGGGACCCTCCAAACGCAGTGCATCCTCAAGAACCTCGACATATATCAGTTCTCAGTCCTAAAGCCCTCTAAACGCAGGAAAAGGCAAGCCCCCAAAAGTAAATGTGTGTGTGCGAGAGCGCCCTCACGAAGGTTCACTGAAAAGGCCATATGACCAGTTCTGGTGGCCTTTGCAGCCGGATTCCTTCCAACAAGTTCAAATATTAGCTGAAACCAAACCTGGTAAGCGGAGTGTAGTGCCACTAGCGATGCACAAGGCGACTAGTGGACACGTTGAAGCTGAGAGACCCTAAGCACCATAACAATTGACAGGCAGGGTCGGCGTGCACCCACTTTTGCTATTGCGAGGTTGTCGCTGCACTTGCCGGCACGGCTGGAGGCATGGTGGCTGATGCAAGGAGCAGTGCAACAATACTGGGACTGGGAGTCCTTATGTATTCCGTTTTGGTGGTTTCAATATCACCTGTTGGGCCCCGGGAAGGTGAGTTACCCTGAAGGAATGGTGACGGATAAATGAACCAGTCGGATAAATGGGGAGGTTGCAGTTTTTGTCCCAAAGTGGAGGGAGGATCCGATGAATCAACACTCAACACCACCGGTTGTCCAATCGATGCAGGTTGATGGGTGAATCAAATCCGTCTCCTGTTGGTTTGTAGTGGTGATATTGTCGGTTACTCAGATCTGCACTTGGAGGATTTTTGGTTTCAGGGGATACGTAAAGTTTATTGATATGTATATGTACCAAGAAGAAAACCGCCCTTTGCATCCCGCTGTACATTTCCCCTCTGACTTGGGTGAGGCTGACATCCCGAAAAACCGGGCCTGACAACATGGGTTGAGCAGAAGAGGTTGTCTTTTTGTAAAGGCCGCAGTTCGGACTGGTTCTGTCTGAATCGCATCGAGGGCCATGTTCGGGGTTTGTCTGCATGAGTCTGTTTCCTCCCGGACTGGGAGTGACTTCGCCCTGCCGGGATGGCGAAAGGTGTGTTTGTCTGTGTGTGTGTGTGTCGTTTTGTTTGAGGGTGCCCGCTGGGAGGGGGGGGTAAAGGGCAAGCAAAAGGCAAACCACCATTTTGTGGGTCCCTATTAAGGACATGCTCCTACAGGACATGCCTAGCTGTAAGTTGAAGCATTTTGCAGTGACCACTTGGCCGGGCTGTAAAATGCTCCTCCTCGCCCGTGAGAGCACCCTTTTTGCAAGTAGCCGCCCGCGTACCCCCAAGTATTTTCTAGATTCTTTAGCCGATCCCTTTCTATATTGCCGAAAGGCTGTTCCAACCCCACCCACGCAGAACAGGACCCATTTGTAGGCTCCCCTCTTACGAAAAAAATACCCACATTCCAGTTTGACTGGTGCATTGAGGGAGCCGCCATCCGGAGGTTCCAACAACAGAGGCTTGTCGCTACTTGGGCGACTGCTAAAGTCACCAGATCTTGGTGCGAGAGCCCGGGCTCCCTGGCCCTGACACCCTCGGAAGGTTTTTTGGGATTCAGCTTGACCCCATATTATTCAACCCCGGTTTATTAATAGGCGGGTGTCCCTGGTTTTCGTCGGGAATCGTCACTATTGGAGGCGGAGGGGCGCACCCACCTATTAATAAACTGGGGCTGATCCATGTCGGGTCAACAGCTGCGATCCCTGGCTGTGGGTGGTTTCATTGAAGTTCAACTTACGTCTAACCCATCATTGCTCTTCCCCCGCGAGCAAAAGGTCTAATCTTTTGTGGCTTTTATAGAAACGTGTGCCAACGGTCTAAGGGGCTAAGGTCACTCCACAGACCAGCCATGAAATGAAGCCTACCAAAACATGGGTGATTTTTAGAAGAAGCTTGTGTGTTCCACCCTTGTCAGGTTCGGGAAAGTGAGCGGGGGGCATCAAGAGCATGAAGCCAACAGCTAGCCTCAACTTGTTGCTCTTGGAAGGTCGCACCCAAGAACATGATACCAAAAGTGTCTCCTGGTTTCCTCAAAGGTAGCCTGTTGCTCTTTGCTTGGCTTTGCGCGCCGCTTCCACCATACAGCCCTCAGTCAATGTTCAGGTGGATGTACGAGTAGCTTGTAGTGTATTCTTAAGGCACCCTCAAAACCTCTCGGGTACCAACTTAGTGCCAAGCCGCCAGCTCCACTTAGAGGGAACCCCCCTGCTGTTTTCCCTCTCGATAATAGGAGCATTGCATTGTGTTCAGCCTTTCTATTTAACAACTTGCCTTTGTTTGTGTTATTGGTGTTCTTTGTCTCGTTCCTTGCTTTCTTTTCTTCCTTTCTTGTCTTAGCTCTCTCTTTCTCTCTCGCTCGCTCTCCCTCTGTCTCTCATAGTCTCTCGCTCTCTCTTTCTCTCTTTCTCTCTCTTTGTCACACTGGTCTTCCCCCCTCTAGTGTTTGTGTCTTCACTTGTCCAAACAATGCTCTCAAGACTGCCCCCAAAGAACATCTTTATCTTTGTTTGTTTGATTTGCTTTGTTCTCGATGTTTTGATCCTGTTCTTTCTGTTTTTCTTTAGTTCTGTTTTTTTTTCAGTGTTTCTCTCTCTCTCTCTCTCTCTCGCTCTCTCCACTGTTGCAAGCTGTTTTCTGCTGCTGCACGCTTTTTGCGCCTTGGAATGGGAGGACAATTGCAGTAGGGATATTTGTCTTCAAGCAACGCAGAATCGGTCCGGAGTCTCAACATGACGTTGCATGCCAGGTAAGCAAACCGGCAAGCCATTCGCTGGCAGTCCTCAGGCCCTGGCTTCCTTATGCATTGGCTGCATCGTACGCCAGGGCCTTGGCGATCCGACTTTCTGAACGAGTCATCAATCGCTGTATTTCTGGGGCCATCAATCTTTTCATTCTTTCCTCGACTTCTTTGATTTGCCACTGCGGCTATGCTTTTTCATGGTTGGAATACCCTCGGACATGGCTGGTTTTTCTTTACCCCCCCCCGGACGCTTAATGATGTCCAGAGCTCCAACCACATAAACTTCCTTTTACCATCGCGAAAAGTCGAAGCTTGTTGCGTTGTGTGCATTGGTTCCTTTGCCAATGTAATCCAATGTAAGGCACACTCTGTGCGGAATTCGAGGCGAAGAGGGTGTCCTGGACGCTGACAGCCGGGAGCATTGCCTGGAGGCAAGCAATCAACTGATACTAAGGCAATGGTTAGATGTCACACACATTTGGTCACATATAGACAAAGGTTTGTATCTAATTAAATGGGAAATGCCTCCAACATGGGTGATTTCCCTGTGACTTTCCTCAAGCCAATCACAACCCTCAGCGAACACCCACATCCAGCAGTGCCAGTCATCCTCAAATGCAGTACCCTCGAAGTGAGTGGTTCCCATTTGCTTTCCCTTCAAACCCTCCAAAAAGGGCGGGTACTATACATCCGGGTACACTTCTGGCACATCCACCGGCCATTTGCGCAAAAGCCGTGTCCGGGCCATTAGTGAGCAGTTCAAGCGTTTTGCTGGAAATTAATGGATTCCACTGGTTCAGTTTGGTTCCTTTTTCATTGATTCGGGTATCAATTAGCGTCTCGTTTGAGCCCTTGGATTCCTTAGGGTTTCTTTTTTTCTTTTCTCGGGACGGACACCCTCCTTAGGGATCCCATAATATTTGTCAACGTTCAATCCCTGAACTCCCCTCCTGAGCAAACAACATGGCCATACCAGGACACCTGTCAGACATTTGTTTGCCGCAAGTTGCCCTGAAGATCCGCCCAGTGCCAGGCGTTGGCCCCGTTGTCGGCCGAGATGGACGCAAGGGAGAAGCGCTTCTTGTCGGACGCGGCTCGCTGCGCACTGGCAGGCAGGGGAGCGTTTCCTCTTTTTTGTTGGGTAGGGAGGGAGGGTTTTATTTCACTGCGAAATGGACTTAACGCAAGGAGTTCTTTGAATGGACTTAACTTAATGCAAGTATGCTGGTGTGTGTGTGTGACTTGTTTGGGAGTTGCTGGTCCTTGAGAAAGGTCAGACGTGTTTGCGTTGTCCAGATTGAGGCCCTTTTGTGCCCTCGACCCCCCAGATAGATTCTATGCCTGGGTGGCCGGGTATCCCCTTGTAAAAGGCAGCACAAGCACAAGCGCAAGACGGATAGCGAAGAGGGGCCCTGTGGTTGACAACATGGTGAGACTCTTTTTTTTTGGCGTTCACAAGCTCCGCGAATATTGCTGCTGGAACAATCACCAAATTGCACCTGGCCACATCAGGTAGAAAAAATGACACAGGGCCGCAGGCCAAGGGTAGACCCCTTCAAGTGTTCATTCGCCAGGTCCTGCTAAGGAGACTGGCAGATGTCCGTCCGTCAGTGGGAGCCTGGTGCGGCACTTAGCCATGAAAGGCTCTGTCTCAAACGGATTTCCTGGTGGTTTCCCTGTAGAACCGGAACGAAGGTCCGCACAGCCGCACTTGACAGCCTTGGCAGCTGCAAGGACTGAAATCGGCGCCAGGCCTTCCGCAAAACAACATATGGGCGTTTCTCCACATGGTGGTGGACGTTTTTCTGGAAGTTTTCAACAGACCAATTTGGAGCCGACCAGTTTAGGGCATAGCATGTCAAGGCCATGTTCGTCCCAGGAGTCACTGGCTGAATGAAGGTCACTTTGGGTGCCCTGTGTGAACCCCCTAAAGGAGAAGGTAGGTCAGGTCAGTGTTTAGACACCATTACTATAAACCATGGTTGCAAGTCTCAGAGTGGGTTGATGGTTTCTATCTACGTCCCACAGTAGTGCGCTTTTACCCCTTTTTTTGGGGAGGGTTCCCCTACTAAAATAGACTACAGAAAAAAGGGGTACCCTTATTCCAAGCTCTCTACTGGAGGACCTAGCTATTCTGCGAGGCCCCCCGCCGCCCTTCTGCCAGGAAGGTCCAAAAGCTTCCGAATCCGATTTCGGGACGCCGAGGCCGCGTCCGAGGCACCCACGGTGAAGGAATCAGCAGGGCCTCCCAGCGTGCACCGGTACCCCCGGTTTTGTGCTTCGCTGTTTCAAGGGAACCAAACGAAAACCACCCAATTCTCTCTCTCTCTCTCTATATATATATGTATATATATATATGTTAATGTGTATATATGTATATATGTGTTTTGACACATCCCCATGTCCAGGCAAATTCCATCCCTGGGATGTGTCCAGGGTACAAGGTATGTTGCGCTGAGTGACTAACTGTTTCGGGCCTTCTTTGAGACAGTTTCATTGGCTGCAGCCTGCGTTGCGAATAAAGCACATCGTGGACCTATGGCGCAAAACTGTTTGATGGTCCGGCCATTTGCCACACGGCACTTTCGGGTTCGATCTCCTTTGCCCGGTCCTGGCGCTGTTTTCATGCATAGCTTTTTTCCTTGCGCTGAATTCATGAGATGGTTGAGATGCTTGGGAAGCAATGTGCCCATGGGTCCAAATCCCATGCCCCTGGTGAACATCCCTTTCCCACTAAAATAGGTTCTAAAATGGGTGGTGAATTCACCTACCAACCAAAATGGGATCCCAAAACGGTTTTGACCCACAGCCATGTTACTCTTTGCACTCCTTTGCTGGCAAGATAACGGGTGCTGGACCGCGCGGGCAGGGCTAATATTTTTTGTCGGGAGGGTGTCCACTGGTTGAGACAACTTGAGCCCTTCTGCACATGCTGCATAATCCAAGAGCTGTGACTCGGTGGGGCTGTGCTAAGTTGGTCCCAAATCTTTACAAGCACCCAAATGTGCATTTCAAAGCCACGTTTGAAGACCCAAAAGTCACTGGGTAAGACGAGGTCCCTGCTCACTTCAGGTGGCCTCTGCGGACTCTGCGCGGACGCTCCGTTTGTCAGTGAGTCTGGTAACCCGGACGCTCGGGCTGTGTGTTTGAAGGAACCGTCTAAGATCGTAGGGTTGGTTAGTGGGATTGTGAATGGGGAACCACGAGGCAACCAACCTTGCAAGGCCTTATTTTGCCGGAGTTGTTTTTGATTGTAAAGGGAAGTGGCTTTTGTTTTGTAGTGGGTTTTGTGATGTTGCGAAACCAAGACACCCTGTGGCTGTGATTTTGAGTGGGGACTCCCTCAAAATCAGCTGGTTGCAACGATTCCGAACGTAAATAGTGTCCACCAAAGAGTTCCAAATTGCAGTTCATTCCATCTACTGCTACTGCCACTGCTGCTGCCACTGCTGCTGCTGCTGCTGCTGCTGCTGCTGCTGCTGCTGCTGCTGCTGCTGCTGCTGCTGCTGCTGCTGCTGCTGCTGCTGCTGCTGCTGCTGCTATTGCTACTGCTTACTGCTGCTGCTGCTGCTACTACTACTGCTGCATAGTCTATTCGGGACTCGGTCAGCTCAAGGAACGCACGCAAGATGCAGCGCAAACAAGTTGGACATTGCCAAGGATCAGTCTCGCCGCATTCAAGCTGCTTACCCTCTAAAAGTTCTTTGGCAATTCGGACGCAACGGGGCTTTAGAAAGCATACTGGTAGATTGGTAGATTGGAAGACAGGCCAAGTGGCCATGGGTCAAAATCCCGTGCCCCCCTTAACATCCCATTCCCAAAACTAGACTAAATGCACCTACCAACCAAAATGGGATCCCAAAACGGTTTTGACCCACGGCCACATGTGTCAATCCTGTAGCTTTCGAAGCTGAGGCGCGCACCGCGAGGACAAACCTGAGGCCAGAGGCTTGGAGACTCTGCCAAGATCTTTTGGTGGCTCCGACTCCCATCCGGTTCCTTAGCTTTTTAGCTTGTGAGTGTTTAGTGGGGTTTTCCATTTCGCCCACTTCAAGTTATTCACTTTTAGCGGGGGATCTGAGGACAGCTCAGATCTATGAATTGAACGAGGGCTTTTTGGAGGCCATCGTTGGGGAGTTACCCTCACACCCAGTAACAGCCGGAACCTGACGTTCGGGACCCGGTCCCTTTAAAAGGAAAATGGTGAGAGGGCCAGGACCCCTCGCACGTCAGGTCCAATGTTAATTGGTGGGAGGGTATGTCCACAGGAGTCTTGAGGATGTTCCCCGTTCAAATCATAGCCAACTTTCATGATATGAAGTGTTTGAGAACAGCAGGACTTGCACTTGCTATTGGGGATGTGTTATGCAACGCTGCAAGATAGCAACTGATAGCTGGCCAACCCAGTCAGCGCCTCAATCTATGGGCATGGTTGAGCTTCAGGCAGCCAAGCGCAGGTTGCATACGATGTGGTTCATAGAGATGCAGATGGATGCAGCGTCAGATGTTACAATGTTGATCATTGCCAGCGTGTATTATATCGTGCCGCCAAGCATTTTTCACCCAACTGCCCACTTGAACGGAACGACTACCAAGCCTTTTGGAGACACGCATCTCCCACCCGTAAGTCGAGTGATTCAGAACTTGTGCAATGATCGAGGTCTCGAGACCCAGAGGTCGAACGTCAGCCCCCGGTGTTGACCTAAAACGCGTGACATTTTTTACGGACAAAGAGCCCACGAAGAACAAACAGAGCATGTTCACCTCCTAGGCTTAGGGCTGAATCTTCACGTCGGATGAATCCCCGCCCAAATTTGCCGGGCCCGGCTTTAGGGTCCGATGACGTGGGCACCAAAGGATTATGTGATGTGTGTAGCATCCGAAAGGAACCCACTGCAAAACCATTGAACGGTCCCCCAGTCTTTGGCAAAGCTCCTGCTGTTTTCCCATTCGCGCCACAGATCCTTCTCTTGAAGTGGCGCAACTTCCAGGGGAGATGAGTGGTTTCTGCAAAGGATGGGACCAAACTGGCAACAGTCCTCCAACATACCTTTTCCAGCATACCCCAACCCATCCATGAAGTTTCCTGCGAAATTTGGGGTGTGCCTCGGGGAGTGTTGGTGTGCCAAGGAAGCTCCAAAGGTGCCCGTGATCACACGAGCGGCGGTCTCAGTGAGGTCAAGGCCTGGGTTTGCGATGTGGGCGGAAGACCATGGAAGACCCAAACGCCTTCCCGGCAGCCAGTGGCTCGTCTTTTCGGTGGGAGCCCCCAAAATGGACTCGGCGCTCCTTTTGGTCTCCCTTTAAACCGCCAACAAGGGGCACGAACAAGACACTCAAATTGCAGACCCCTTTCGGGGGTGGTTCTCAAAAATTCACTCGTTTGGATCCAAGGATCCGAACCTGGTGAAGCTGCTGGCAGAGATTTGCAGTCCCAAGGCAGTGATATTCGTGTGTCGAAGGGGCCCCCCAAAATGTTTGTTTGTTCGTGTCACTTTCCCTTGTTAAAGCCATCCCCAGGAAGGGTACCCTCAAAAACAAATGCACAAGCAACTTCTCGTACCTGGCATTTGGATGTGCCTGAACAGAAGACATGGTAGATCCTGAAATTAAAAGCGACCAAGCGGCATATCTCACCAGAAGTATTCCGCACAGCACAGTAGGCTTGGCGCTGCATTGTTGGAATTGGTCAGAGTACCTCGTATGTCCTTCATTGCTTTTTGCTAGGTATGTCCCTCATTGCTTTTTGCTAGGGCTGTGATACATGGATGATCCGCCCATGGCCGCATTGATCAGAAGTCGCAGGGCTCCTCAATAGATCTCCATTTTGCCATTTGAAACATGTCGGCTTCTTTTTTCCGTACCAAAATAATGGTGGGTGTCCCACCATTTACAAGTTGCAATGTTCAGGTGTGTTTCTTGTACGGATCCCTGAGTCGGCTTGGGGACTTGGGGAGCTGTGCTGACACACGCGGAGCGACGCAGGAGCTCCCGCGGCTGCAGGTGCTGCTGGGACTCCAGGATTGGGTTTCTCTCGAGATCCTTAGCCTGGCTGATATGAATATGGCTCCAAGAGAAGTGTTTCTCCTTTTTTTTCAGGGTTTGGTTCGGAAGGGGACTTCTGCGCTGGTGTGGTTTTCCATATTATGTATATATGATATATGTATATTATTATATATGTAGTGTATTATAGAGAGAGAGAGAGATGGAGAGGGAGACACTCACGATTTGCTCAGCACATGCAGGAGTGTCCCAAAAGCCAACGGACAAGTCAATGAGGAAGTATCACGACGATGTTTATTGAGATGGGAGCCTCGCGGTGTTCAGTTTTTGTCCAATGATGTTTGATGATCCTTTGCAGACGTAGCAGAGATGGCATCCGCAGGACGATGGCGGTGAATATGGTGGTGTAGACACAGCAGGGCCCTGACTCGCGCGAGCACTGCTCATTGCCATGCTTTTCCTGGCTTCAACCAGAAGATGGTGAGGGCCCCCCTGGAATGAGGTCACCGTTTTTCGGTTTGCAGAAGTTGCACAGACAAGTTTGAGAGCGTCCGATGTAATAATGATGCCTCCATCCTCCCTTCATGGCATACACCACAGACATCAGGCTGGATCTAAGATGGTGTCCATCCCCAAACCACTACGAGGGGGAAAGAAAGAGTGTGCATTTCTTCAAAGGTGCTGTTTACTGGATTGCTTGGGGAAACTATCGGGAAGCTAACCAACCCTTTGGAACCCACTTCAAGATACACCCGGGGGTACACAAAGAGCTAAGCGTTGAGGCTCCAGTTGTTTGTTTGGGGCCTTGAAGCGCAAGCCGAAGCACAAGCCCCAATGTGTTTGGGTGTTGAGGTTGTTCAAGACTTCTTCGACTTTTGATGTTGTGGCTGTTTGTCTCTAAGCTTCAAAAAGCCCGCTTTTTAGTACTTTTTGCCTTTGCGGCTTTGTTTCTTTGGCTTTCCACCCAGCGCTCACTTCAACACACATGAGTTTACCTCAAGGTGGAGGAACCTGGTTGGCCAATCTCTACTGGGAAAGCGCCAGCGAAAGACGCCCTTGGCCCTGAGATTCCGCGAGGAACCGCCTTCAGCGCGTAGGTCACTGCAGCTGCCGTGGCTGTGCTGGACCACTTCGTGCAGCACAGCGTGGAGAAGGCCACGGGAAGTGGATCCACAGCGTGGCTCGCTCCCCAAAAAATGGCCTCGCTGGCTGAAGGTTAGACGTTTGGGGAAGATCAGGTTGGAGTTTCAGTGGCAAACGGAAAAGGACAAACAGTTTGGACTTGCTTTGGGCCATCTACTCGGGAAGTGAGTGGCTGGTCCTCCTCTTGGTGTCCATGTGGGTGTGTCATTTTCTTGGGCCAACGCCTTTTGGGTGGACTTAAAGGGAGACAAAGAGGAACAACTTTTTTTTGTGGGGAGGGGTCCCCCAACAAAGACACGCCCATCTAAGTACCAACCAAAAGTGGGTCCGCCACGTTGAGAAGCCTTTAGTTGGGCTGGCAAAAAATCGGGATTTGGACCCCCGCTGGCGGTTGTCCCTCCTTAAGGATATGGCCACTCCTTGGTCGGCCGCTGGGTTTTCCTTTAAGGAGCACCCATTTTCCGCAGCGCTGATTCGCCTGCTTTCACCATGCGTTTTTCAGCGGGACAAGACCCGTTTGCGAGGTGCTCAAGCGTATGTTGACCCCTGCTAAAGAATGGAAAAGCGATAGGGTGTTTTTCTACCCAAGGCCCCAATGGATTCAGAGACCCTTCTTATTTCAAGAAGTTGGAGTGGTGCAGCATGTGGATTTGGTCCCTTTCATCAGTTCCTGCCTAGTTCCCCACGTGCACGCCCGCACGAGAGTCTTGATTTTTCCATTGAGGCAACTACAGGTGGTGCATCCCATATGGCTGTGGCTCAAAGTTAAACAGGAGGGGTTACGCGGGTTTTGGTCCATGTTTCCACTTGCCAAGGTTCCATTTTGGTACCGGTTTTTTGAGCCACAGCCATATGTTTGCTAAGATATCCTTTGTGTTTTGCATTGTGCTCACTTGGCGACCCTCTCGTTGTGTTTCCAATGGCCCAGGCCATCGTCATTCGGTCCATGAGGCACCATCACTCCAATTGAAAAGGAGCTATCTCAAAGGGGGTGTGTCATTTGTTTGCGGGTACTGTTTTTTGGGTCCCCCCAAGCGATGGCAAGAAAGGGGAAGGGGCCCTCCTGGAAGAAAGGACTCCCCACTGAAAAGGGAATCTCTGATTGATAGCTGGGGGGTTTTGTTAATCAGTGCTTCGCATTAACGGTGAGCCTCTACACCCGTCGGCATAGAACTAGCGAGGTTGCTGCCCTCAAATCAGTACTTTGGAGCGAAGCCCCTTCCTCTCCTTTGGCCAAGGCGAAGGTCAGTGTTTAGCATTGTTGTTAAAAACAAACAAACTGGGTTTTTATACAAACAAACCACACAATGCAGTGGGTCGCATCCTTTTATTTGCAGGATTTTCCAGGTCCTTTGGGCAAGTGAAGGCTTACGAGTCAAATGCCAATAGCTCACACGGTCCGTTACCCGGATATTTGACCAGATGACTTGGGTGTTTAAGTGTTCATCCTACACAAATGGCTTGACCCAGTTAGTCGGACCCGTAAAGCTGAGGTTTCCTCAAGATTATATTTCAGGGTAAACTGAATATGGTTTGCAGCTTCACTCAGCGTATCCCAGACGCGGGCCAAGCTAGCTGGGCTGGGTCCCGTTTGATAGAAGGGAGCCCGATTCGACCGATTCGACAGGATTCTGCAAAGCTGCGAGAGCTTCAACCGCTGATGCCGCAACTCCAACAGCTGGTAGAGGCCGGACACTCGCAGAAATCGTCCAGTGGATTCCACCGGTTTTCTCTTTTCGATCAGGGGTTTAACCCAGAAAGGGGTTATTTTCTTCTAGGGTGGGTTAGTCATTGACTAAACTTAAGCGCAGGCTCTCCTTTTGCCGGAAATCCACCCCTTGGGTTTGCGTCTACCGCAAAAAGTCAAAGGGAGACCCAGGCAGGCCATACCAGATCAGACATGTGTCGGGAAACGTACAGTTTTTGCGGGGCTGAAACTACCGTTGACCAAGTTGATTGAAGGAGAAGTCTAAATGAGCATGCATATTCAAAACGTTGGTTTGATCATGCTTCGATACTTTTATAGGATACCAAAGGAGGCTAGGCTGTTTAAGCATGTTTCAGGGGTTGGCTCCGCTTCCCAGATTCGACAAACCCTTCCGTGGGAGGTGTTTGTCCATGCGGGCCCTTTGGTTTAAGCAACATATCTCAGTTCGCCTTTATGGAGTTATACAGTTGTACAACCACGCCCTTCGTATTGACCCCCCACTTTTGTGAGTATTTTTTTGGGTTGATACAACTTGGTGGCTCCCGTTTATGCCACGTGTCCTTGCAACCCCAGGGTCTCAATGACATACCATGGGTCAAACTCCAAATCGCCCGGTTAGCCCCCAGGGAACATCCGATTCAATCCAACCACTAAAATAGGTTCGAACATGGGCGGCGAATTCACCTACCAACCAAAATGGGATCCCTAAGCGGTTTTGACAACCACAGCCATACCATTTCGTTCGCTGCATGTGCCAACGTCCCCTGTTTCCAGTACCACCCGTCGCCCAGGGCGGAGACGACGGACAGATGGTGGAGGGAGGTGTGGGCGGCGCTGCCGCCGGAGAGCCTCCTGGGGCGCAGGTCTCTCGAGAGGAGGCCCGCCCGTTTTCGGCCGGCCAAAGGGGTGCTTGCACTCGGTTTTTTCTGAGCCCATTTGTCCTGACTCAATCGCCATCTCCATGGCTAGACATGGCAGAAAAATCGGTGCATTTTTTGGGGGGTGCTCTTACGGGAGCCTCATTGTTCAACGTTTTTGGCTGCAACCTCGCTTCACCTCCTATTTTGTTTATGGGTAGAGCAGCTCCTGGGTCAATGTTGATTTGATTTCCTTTTGGTGAGGAGATAGCTCAAGGAGACATGGGACATATGTGAGGTTTGGACAAACTTTAGAGCCTCCGGCTGACTCCGCCGACATTGTCCTCTCCCTTTTCTCCTTCTTCATCTCTCCCTTGTCTCCCTTGTGTGTTCTGTTGTCCTCTCTCCCTCCCTCCGCTCCCGATCCTCCCCATCCCCCCAAGCCTCTCTCTCCTCAATCTCCCTCTCTCTGTCTCTCTCTATCTCTCTCTCTCTCTCTCTCTCTGTTTCTCTGTCTCTTTCTGTCTCCCTGTCTCCTTCCTGTCCACACCCCTCTACAGAAAAAGGGTACCCTTGTTCTAACCTCTCTACTGGATACTGGAGGACCTAGTCTCTCTCTCTCTCTCTCTTTCTCGCTCTTTCTCTCTGTCTCTCTCTCTCTGTCTTTCTGTGTCTCTCTTTCTCTGGCTCTCTCTCTCTCTTTTTTTCTCTCTCTCTCTCTATCTCTACCTCTCTCTTTCTCTGTCTCTTTCTCTGACTCTGGCTCTGTCTCTGTCTCTCTCTCTCTTTCTCTCTCTCTCTTTCTCGCTCTCGCCCTCTCTCTCTCTCTCTCTTTCTCGCTCTCTCCCTCTCTTGTCTCTTTCTCTGTCTCTTTATCTGACTCTGGCTCTGTCTCTGTCTCTCTCGCTTTCCCTCTTTCTCGCTCTCTGTGTCTCTCCCTCTCTCTCTCTGCATTGCAGCGTCACGTCCCCCCTGAGTTGCCCCGATGTCCGGGCACTGCCCCTTCATGACCCTGAACTGTCATCTCACAGCTCGCTTTCCCCTTGATTTCCCCTTCATGTCCTTTTCCCGTTTCTCATGATGTCCCGGTCATGTCCCTTCCATTCCTTTCAACTCCCCCTTCATGTCCCTGACATTTTCTCGGTATGTCCGCTTCATTTTCCATGTATGTCCCGTTCTTGCGTTGCGAGTCATTTCCCTACATCTCCCGTCGTGCCGATTGGTTTCCTTGTGCTTTGTTTCCCTTTCATTCCCCCTGCACTCCCCTTGTTTTCATTTCTGTCCCTTTCATGTCCCTTTCAGTTCCCCTTTGTTTCCCTTTCATTTCCCGTTGCTTTCCTGTCATGTCGACTTCCTATGTCCTCCCCTCATTTCCTTGCACTTCCTTGCATTTCCCCTTTGCTCCCCAGTATTTCCCGCAAAAAAACACGGTTCTCCAGTTCTCCAGCGTTTTCGCAAAGAGGACGTCCAAAAACACAGAGTTTTTCCAGATTTTCGGCAAAAGGAGGCAGGAAGCCCAAGCCAGCAAATGAGCCGGCAGGGGGAATCGAGCCTGAGGGGCTTGGGAGACTGGCTAAATTACACACAAAGACCAGGGAACTCACTGAGTATCCCATGCCCTCTCGGGGAACCAAGCTGGACCGCGCCTCATATAAAGATCCTGAACTCCGATCTCTTCGGGCAAATCACAACTTCCCAATGGAATTCAGAACCCCCTGCCAAAGCAACCTTCATGGGTGATCGTGTTTACCCCCAAGTAAGCGTAAAATTTGTGCACTTGTTCCCTTCCTTGACTTCCTTGTCCTGCCAGTCCGTTTCTATGTGCCGAAGGCAATGGTCACCAGTCTTAATTAACTCCGCTCCATGTTCCTTTGGTTTCAATGTCGCTTTAGCGGCTTCTGGAAATGAGTTTTTTTGGGGCGATGTGTGAAGCAGGACATTGGGGGCCCTGTTTATTGGGGCGTGAACAATCAACGAGGGTTTGGGTGAATCGACATCAGTAGACCAATGAGCGGTGTACCTAAGTTTTCCTTTGGCTTCCCCGAGCAAGAGGATCCCAGAGGGTCCTTTTGCTTGTGAAAGGGCTCGACCATGGACGAAAGGTGTGGCATCTCCTATACAAACTTGAGGGGTTTGAGGCTTTGGATGTTTGACATTTGAGGTTGTTGCAACCTCAGTCATGTCCTCTGTTGGTCATTGGTGCCCTTTCTTCCATTTTTTGGGAAGGGTTAAGGGTTCCCCTTTAAACTCAACCAACAAAAAAACATCGGGTGCCGATCCTGTTTCCCATGAAAATCCTGGGCATCTCAGTGTCCGGTTTTTGTTCTTGTTTTTCTCCAGCGCCAAGATTTGATCGGACGGAGGTCCGTGTTCGCGCTGCCCGCATTCTGGTGAGAGTCAAGGAGGCCCAAGCAGAGGCGGGACCCGTTCCGCTTTACCAGGCCCAACTGACCGTACGCCAAAACTCAGCTGTTCAAAAATCCGACCTTCCAACCATTTGGTTTTCCTGATGTGGTCCATGGGTAGTCAACGTTCCAAAAGGATAGATTGTTTTCAGGTCCTTGGGGTCGACAAGGTTGGGTGCTCTAGCAGAGGCTAGGCCACCTCAAAGAGAGTAGTGGTGGATTGAAAGAAGAAAAAACACACCTGAGTCACATCAGTGGTCTTCTCCTGCGCACATGGACTGCTGGGTTTTGCATCGAAGTTTGATCATTCCTCGCATCACCAGTTTCTGCTGCCCTGCAAGTTGCAGTCATGAAATTGACTTCAGTATGATAGTAATAGTGCAGCCCTAGGATCCGGCGAGGGTATCGATGCCCAACATTCAGTTCGGGAAAGAACATCTACGTGTAGGTCACCTTCGAAACGGTTGGTTGCAGTTCTACTGAACCACTAAGAGTGAACCTCCCAAGGTGAGAACAACTTTGTCTTCCATAAATGACTAAATTGAGTTCGGAATTTGCCAAGGGGTGCCAATGTTCAGTTTGAAGAAACAAGTTCCCGGCAAGTCGATTGGATTACGTCAATACTTCAAATGGAATACCGTGGGTCAAAAACCCGGTAAACAGGACCCTGGTAACCGGATAGGACTAACACCTGCAGTCCCCTCGTTTAATTTTCACCCGTGGCAGATCTGCTAAAAGTTTTTCGCTTTTGGTGGGTTGAATGGGCATCCAGCCACGAAACCCCATTATTTCAGGGTCAAAGGCCCCCACAAGTCCCTTCCGACTTCAGGTTTCGAGTCTTCGCTTAGGCCGCCTGCCGTGTGCCTCCCGAGCTCCCAGCCTTTGGCAGGGCACCTGGAAATTGGATCAGACGGGAGGTCGACTCATTGATTATTCAAAGCCCGAGATGTTTCCACTGAGAGATGTGTTTGTCTTGCAGGTTTTTCAGGCGGGCTTATTTGCTAGGGTTTGTCAGATAGGTTTTAAAGGAGGGCGTTTCTTCTAGGGTTTGTCTTGTAGGTTGTTAAGGAGGGCATTCTTTTCTTGGGTGTTCCTTTGAAACCACACGGGAGGGTGCCATCAAATTGACACCCATGTGACAAGTACATGCCGGAACCCTGAATGTCAAGAGAACTTTTTTCGCCTTGGCGCTCCGCGCCAGTGGCTTCTCCGTAGTCATCACTGAAACATGAAGCACAAGAAAGCTCACAGATCTGTTTCATCAACCTGCAAACTGTTTGTTGGTGTTTTATCAACCTCATGCAAACAGTTGATCGGTTTCTTCAAATTTGAGCAAAGGCTTCTCCGCATCTGACCAGTCAACTGAGCCAGGCTCTCGGACTCGGATCCTGGAAGCGACTGGGCAGAACGAGTCGCGGGGTTTGTTCGGTTCGGCATGTTTGTGCAAGCCAGAGGTGGCGCTTGGTCTCAAAATAGGGAACCCCCCAAAAAATAAAAATAAAATGGGGGGGGGGTCCATTTAATTTGTCCCCCTTTAAAAACACCCATCAAAAACAGGGTGGCCTCAACAAAGACACAGCCATGTGGTTCTCTGCGTAGGGTTTGCGGGAGCAGAACAGGTGCTTGCTAGGGTTCTCAACCAACATCCAAGAGTATTGTATTCCCCTCCCGGATCGGAGCAAGCCTGTCACTCATCGGATGTGCTCCCAGACGTTAATGTACAATTGACGTGGATGGACGAAATCCTGCGCCACTTTGAAACCATGGGAAACCATGGTTTGTTGTTATTTCCAGGGAATCGGCATTCCAGGGTTTCTTAGGTGAGTAGTGGCCAGGTCATGGCTTAATTGTTGATGAGCAATCCTTGAGCTCGATTCTTGCTTACAGCCTTTCCGCGGCATTCCTGAGCTGGTGATATTTCTTGACAATCAATACGTTCAAATACACAGATTCGGACAATCTGCTAAAGGAGGAAGCTGCTGAATGTCTCAGAAGCCTACCAGCGGCCTTTGTTTCAACATGTTCAGTTGACCTTATCTTTCTTGTTTGTCTCTGTTAAAATTGTACAAGGGGAAAAACGCTCGCCAGGCTTTGCTGGATGTGAGTTCTTGCTCATGTATCCATGCCGCTCGGAGAAGAGTTGTTATGTTTGCCTGAGAGCTCTTGGGCCAGGTACTGATGCGCCATTCGGACACCTGCCAGGCAGGGTTTGATTCGATCCTTCAATCCGGAAGGACATGGGACTGAGATCCACTGGGAAGTGACGGGGGCCCATGAGGATTGACCCACTAGGAATTCGTTGGACAAAATTGACGCCAGGCACCAGCTGGCACCCAGTATTCAAATCGGGTTTCATCCATTTGGGTTTCATCCATATGCGGCTGGATTTGGCCCATCCGCACAAGATTGTACCAGAAACATCCAGGGGCATCCAGGGGCCACTGGCAGGCAAGCGCAGGCGGGCGCATTCTCCAGTTTCGCGAGCACTGCCGGCTGCTTATTTTGAGTTTGGGATGTTTGGGCAAGGGACGAAGCAAGCTTTGCGGTTTGTGGTTGGGGATTTGTATGGGCAGCACTTGCTGCTATTTGCACGTGTCTTGCACATAGAATCATGTACAATCTTCTTGGGCAAGCTCAATGTTCCCGTGCCCACCCTTTTTCGTCAACTTGTTACGTGTTGCGGCAAATCCGTTTGGCCAACCTCATGCCGCATCCCCTTGCGTGTATCCTTGTGTGTGTGGGTTCTTCCAACATTGACTTGTTAGAAAGGCACCCTTTTGGAAAATACCTATGATTTTGTGCTTGGATATCTTTGTCCTTGGGCAGACCCTGATATGCCCTGACGAAGCAGAGCTTGGACAGTTGGACTGTGATTTCGTGGTTTTGCTGCCCGCGCGGGCCATGAGTCGGTTGACCTGATTTGTGCGTTGAGGTCAAGCACAAAGCGAACACATCGTGGCTGGCAACCTGGGGAAGGCAAGGTATCTTTTGATTGTGGGCATGCTAGTGTCCGCAAAGCTGCCTCAGCCTGGTTTGAAGCTGCACCATGCAGTTCACGATGTTAGCGGTAGTGGCAAGTAGCAGTAGCAGCAGTAGCAGCAGCAGCAGCAGTAGCAGCAGTAGCAGTAGCAGTAGCAGCAGCAGCAGTAGCAGCAGTAGCAGTAGCAGTAGCAGTTGTTGTATTAGTCATTGCATTGGAGTAGTGGTGGTGGTGGAAGCTGGTGCTGTTGCTGTTGCATGCTGTTGCGGGTGCTGGTGCTTGTGCTGGGGTGCTGGTGCTGGTCGGGCTGGCACGGCTGGCGGTGGACCACTTTGGTGCTAGCAGTTGTTTATCTAAGCAGGACAAATGTTGTTTGGCTGCTTCATGCAATGTTGCAAGCAATTGAGCGTTTCGGATGCCATCAGGGAGACAAAGACGCAGGGTGTACCCGACTACAAGTTCTGAAAGACAAGCATGAGCCGGAGCCGGATGCCTGTTTTTCAGCCTACGCCTGGGTAGTAAAGAGGTGCCATTCCGGCCTTTACAGCCAAGTTCAATTCTTAGATTGCCTCCATGGTTTGGTTCCCTGCCGGGCTATTGGCTTCAGGCGCCGTGCGTCAGCGAGAAAGACTTCCAGGCAAGGGGTAGCCGAAGGGGCACCGAGGAAGCCAAGTACTTCCCATACACCGAGTCATTTTTTATATGTATTTTTACGGCGAGCTTCTCGTCGTGATGTAGGTCCTTTACTTGGGAAGTTTTTGTTTCTGGTTTTGGCGTCTTGTAAGTTTTCAAGAGTCATGGACAATTTGGATCATTCATTTGTGTTTATCGTTTATCTTAACAACAAATAAAATAAAAAAATAAAAAAAGAAGAAAAAGAACAAAAACAACTGCAAGCATGCATTGCATGAATTTAGGTCAGTTGTAACTACTGTTAGCGCCGGGCTATACGCCGATCCCAGTTCGCGGTAATGTATTGACATCAAGTACATGTGCTTCATGGGCATGTATCAAAATGGGGGACCCCAAAAATGGTGGTGTTCCTTTTGGTCTCCTTTGAACCAAGCTGAAACATGGTTCCCTTCAAAATTGTGTATATATATATATATATGAAAATACGTGGCACACATGTTCATGTATGCTTCCTTGTTTTTTGAGTCATGGAAATCCAGGACCCCTCCCTTGGTAAGATTTCAGGAATCTCGGCCAGGCTTGTGGGGAGAGCCACTCCTTACAGTACCAAAGGGATCCCACGAAAGTTGTCCTTGGGGGAGCTGGATTTTGGCTGTCGCGATTGAGTGAGAACACATCTTGGTCTCTTTCAGTGAAATTTACCGGGCAGGCCAGCCCGTCATCTTTCTGTTAAGATTCAGATGTTAAGATGTTATATTGCATGGCACGGTGTCTTAAACACCCATTCATAAGGTTGAGTTTACTATGCCCACGTACATGAAGTGCGGTTTGGCCTGCAGTGCTGTTTTGCATGCACACACGCACACATGCTTGCTTGCTTGCATGCAGTGTGTGTGTGTGTGTGTACCCACCCGCCCATGCCACTTTGTATGTATGTGCGAGCTTGGGCTCCAGTATGCCCATTTAGGAACTACTGATTGCCTCCATGTGTGCTGTGTTTTGCCGTGCGCTGTCATGCTTACCAAAAGTATGACCGCCTCTAGGGCGGACACCGCCAGATCCCCTAAGGCTTCCCTGGCCATTGCTTGAAACTGGCACCTGAAGTTCTGCCAGCCAATTATACCGCAAGCATGCTCAACTAGATGCATTTGTGGGCCCTGGTTGTTGGCCGGCTTCACGTTGGGTGATTGAGCTGACTCTGCGGACCCCGGCTTGTCAGGGCTTCCTGAATGAGCTGGGCCAACTCACCTTGAGTCGCAGATCCTTGAGCACCCAGGCATTGAGGGGGGGAAATGAGTTCCCTCAATGGTCCGTTACAGTAGGCCCCGCATTTTGAGGGACCTGCTGTATTTTTTGGTTCCCGGTTCTTTTGGCAGTGGAGGTCTCCTTGGGGCAAACCAGCTTTTGGCTTGTTAAGGGAAACCAAAGGCAAGCACCCATTTCGGATGTTCCATTCAGCGCGTACAAACCAAAGCTTCAGAGGGGAGTGATCCTTGGAATTCCATTTATGATCATTTATGGTTCCATTTTCATTTTGTGGGGACCATACATGGAATTTTGGACCCCCCGCCCTTCCCCCTTGTAGTAGGGGGGATGGTTCTGCCTATAAACCCACCAAGGGTTTTCTGAACAAATTGGGTGCCTTCTCGGTGAGAAAACGAGCCGCTGGCTCAGATGACGGGTTTGCAGAAAGCCCTCGAGGCGGGACGGGGCTGGGGGGGGGGTTGTGTTAGCTTCCACTTTTGGATGTTAGGTCCCTTCCTTTTTTGGACAAGTGGGGGGCAATCGGGGGGGAGGGGCGGTGCTTGTATCTTTGATGTTGCAATGAACCCACGTTTGGTAAATATCAAGCCCCTTTGGTAAGTCATGAGCAAATGGAAAACAAACAAGTAGGGCAATGTTTTTGTTGCATTTACCACCCCCCGTTTGGTGACTTTCCTGTCCCTCAGACAGAACCCAGAAGGTTGCTTGCAGACCTCCAGTCAGTCTTGTCGCGTTTTGGTTTTCTTTTCTTTTTTCCTGGGAGGGAAAGTGGGGTGAAGTCTCACCGGCAACATGGCCATGCCCGGCGATGCTCCTCGCCGCATCAGCTTGTCAGCTTCTTGACTAGGCTGTGTCCTGCATGTTCACGATTCCCATCACGACTAATTTACCTTTGTCATCAGACTCTGGATGGCGCTGTTAGATTCCCACGGGTTCAACCTGGTGGGCAGGTGAGTCAGCCAGGGAGCTAAAACAATGATCGCGCCAAATGCTATTGCGGAGGTGGGCAACACATCAGAAGCGACCGTGGGACGTCCAAGAGCAAACAGCAAGAAGTCATGCAATAAATCCATCAAGCAAGCAGTCATGCAAGCCGACAACATCCCAACAATTGGCACAGACGGAAACAGACTCACATAGATACACAGACAACGGGACAAACAACATCCCAACAATTTGCACAGACGGACACAGATTCATAGATACACAGACAACGGGACAAACGGACAACCAAACAAGCAGACACACAAACACAAACAGACACGAACAGACGTACACACCAACAGACACACAAGCGCAAGCACACAAACACAGCGCAAACACAAATAGACACGCACACACACATGCAGAGGCACATTCACACGTGCGCGCGCACACACACACACACCCACCCACCCACCCACGCACGCACGCACGCACGTACGCACACACACACACACACACACACGCACACACGCACACGGACTCAAACATGCGCCAAACCCTCCAGCAACTAGCCCAGACAGCAAGCACACAAGCCACCCAGCAAACAAGCAAGCAAACAAGCAAGCAAACAAACCAACAAGCGCTATAGCAAATATGCAAGCAAACAAGGCAACACATAAATCGATTCTCTGCATCAGCAATCACCCATGCCACGCCTGCCAGCAAGCAAATAGGCAAACATGCGCGCACGTGCACGCGAACAAAGAACAAACACACACCACTGCCGAATCATGATGCTTTGCGGTCAAGTGTTTGATTTCGCTGCGCAGGACATGAATGCTCGCTTGGATCAGAACCGCGTCAGACACGGTGACCCAGCTCAAAGAGAAGTGGACCCATGCGTTTCAGTTTTTCACAACCACAGCACATACTCTATTCTGGGTGAGAGAAAATGTGTGAGTGAGCCAAGCAATGGTAGCCGAGACTGGAGTGCAAAACCTGTGGTAATTGTGAGTGAATGGGGGACAGGTGCAACTGAATCGGGGATTTGGCGCGCTACTTAAACAGTTTTTAGGCTTGTGTGTTCAAGCCCTGTACCAAACAGGTGTTGGCTGCAGGAGTTCTTGGCTTTGGTTTGAGCAGCGAAAGCACAGGCCGCTCTAGTCAAAAACGTGCTTTGGCCCAGTTGCTCCCCTTCAGTTTAACTCATGCTTTGGGCTGCAGAATGCCTGGATGATCGCGCCCGGGTACCTCAAGGTATTTTGGCCAAGGACGTGTTCGACCTGAACCGCAACTTTGAGGAACTGGCTGGGGAATCCACCAGGAGAGCAGGGCAAGGAAACATTTGCTCAATACCCGAGGCGAAAGGGGTTGGTGTCTCAAGCAAGGAGTCACATTTCTTTCCTTTTGTGTCGTTTTGGCGCTTTTGGGTCGCGCCATCCTACCAACGTCGAGCGGGGGCTGGAAATGCAAAGACAGTAGGCGCTACAGCTGCAACACCAGCCAGCCGCTTGCAGGTCACGTTTGCAATGTAAGTAGAGCAACTGAAACCAACAGCCATGTATGCCCGGGTTGTGGGATCAAGGGGTTTTCCCCACCTCTGTGATACAAGGGAATCTCTCCCCTATGGGGGGGGTTAGTCTTTGGGATTCCCCTTTTGTTGTATCACAGTGGTCATTCCCCACAGCCCTGATCTATGCCCAAAACATCTTGGAATTTGGCGAAGTTGTGAAAGGGCCGTGATGTAAATAAGGCGCACGTGGCAGCTTTCCATCTTGCGCATGGCCAGAAGCCATGGCTGACTTGGAAAGCATTCGGCGCTCAAGCAAGTTTCAAGCTGCGCACGTTTCGCGTGTCCCATGGTCGCGAAAAGTCGAAATGCAAGCCAATTGTTCAGTCCCAGAAGCACGCAAGCGACCGGTTGATCAACACCACCAAGTAAGTATTATGCCGCGACTCGCGCAAGCCCTTGCCAAAGAGAATGATTGTTTCTGCCATCTTTAACACCGCAGTGTAAAATATTGATGCACTGTTTGGGCGTTAAGTTGAAAGTGAGTTCGCCACAGGAAGCCTGTGTCAGCGACCATAATGTTGGACCTGCTTTAATGTGATCCCCCCCCCCCGAACAATGGAACCAGTCAGCGGGACCCTGTTTAGGCAAACCCTGGGGGTCTTGGTGGGACTTTCAAATTGATTTAGTATTGGTAGACTTGAGTTTCCATTTGATTTAGTATTGCTGGAGCTTCCTTTTGAGATCTGGAACTGAGTTTCCATTTGATTTAGTATTGCTTGGAGCTTCCTTTTTGAGATTTGGAACTGAGTTTCCATTTGATTTAGTATTGCTGGAGCTTCCTTTTGAGATTTGGAACTGAGTTTCAAATTGATTGAGTATTGCTGGAGCTTCCTTTTGAGATTTGGAACTGAGTTGAACACTAAAGAGGACCCCAAAACAATCACACTAAAGAGGATCAGGGTTGATTGTGGGCAACCCCCTTTGTGTGATTGATTCACCTTGCTTTTTTGTAATTAAGCCCCATGTGGCCTTGAACATGCTGTCGCAACGGTAAATGTATTCAATCTAGGATGCGCCACCCTTGTTTTTCTTTCCGGCGTTTCCTGTTTCCGGAGGGAGGGGTGAGCACTAAACGCCAATCATAGACTTTCACAATTATCACACATTGTTTGTTTTGCATCTTGCCCTTCATCTTTTGAACACGAATGCGTTGCAGCAGCACAGTAGACCACGCTATAATGTGGCTTCGGTAGCTAGGAGATCCGGGAATCCGCACTTCAGGTCCGTGGTCAGTGCCTTGTAGCACGTCACATGGCTATCCAACTTTGGGTTTGCCTTATGGATGTCGTTGGCATGTTGGGTTGCCGTTCGCTGGTGTATATAAGTCTGAAATAAGAGCAGTTTCGGTTTTGTTCGTTCATTGATATGGATATTTTTCTTACTGTTATTATTACTGTCCTGCAAGAAACAAAGCCCCCATTAAGATGGCGTCCCCTTCTGTTAATTTAGGGTGGTCCCGAAGCTTCGGTCTCACACTAAAAAAGAAAACCCCTGCATCGCGCAAGGCCAGCAACACAAACCCGGAAGGACTGCAAAGATAATGAACAGGGACAACGAATAGGGGATGCGTGGTTGGTGGCAAGCTGTGGCAAGCTGTTTTCATAGTTGTTTTTTGTCTCGCGGAGTTGCGCTGACAAAATCCGAGTTTCACTGACAATGACGCGAAAGGGCAAGCTCCAAAGTGTGGCCTAGCCCTTCCACCAGAACGAAAGCGACGCTTCCAGCGGTAGTTGCTTTTCAGGTCGCTCAACTGGTTTCACTTAAGAAGCAGAGTAGCAAAGACTGATTTGGGCCATCAAAGGCAAATGAGGGCCACAAAATAGAGGGCGAACGACCGGCCAAAAGGACATATCCAGGCACCTTTTTATGGAATAGTGCATTGCTCCACTACAGGTCATTGTTAGGCTTCCGCATTTGCAGCAGCACGTGCTCCCTCGCAGGACTGCAGAAGTGCTTGCGGAGCTGAAGAGATGCGAAGAGGAGCAGCGCAAGAGCAACGAGGAGGCGGGAAGCTTCTCGTTGAAGTTCTGGAATCTCGCAAAAGATATGGGTGTGGCTGAAAATTCAAGAGCTAGGGTTACATTTGGTCCAGCTTGCTAGGGGCAATTTCTCAGATTGCACTTTGGCAGTGCGCTGTAGGAAGTAGAGCAACTGGAAGATGGTACTTGAATGTCAGGGATTTGGAAGGCTCATTGGCGATCTTCTCAAGAAGGGGCAATCCGACACTGTGAAAGACTTGCGCGCGACGCGACAGACACACGGTGCACACATGTTCAGCCTGAACCGGATGTTCTTTGAGAACAAGTTGGGTGACTCTTACAAGTCGGATATTGGTCGTGACAAGGTCTGTTTGGGTTCTGTGTTCGTTTTTGTGGCTGTGTGTGTGTGTGTGTGTGTGTGTGTGTGCAAGTGCGTGTTTATACGTATGCGCAGATATGAAATACGTAGCGCTGACATGTGTATATATATATATATACATATATGTACATGCGTGTGTCGTGTTTGTGTTTGTGTTTGTGTTTGTTTGTGCGTGTCTGTTCAAGGGAACACTGCCCTGTGTTGCATTCGAAATGGTATCATATAAGCAGATTGCGTGGGGTTTTTACAAACCCTGCCCAGCCCTGCTTGGTAATTAACAGCTTTTCGGTTCACAAACCTACTATATTGCGACTCGTTTGCTGGGTTGATTGTTGCGTGTTGATGGGATTCAGACAGCGGAGCGGTCCTTTGTTTTCCAGCCAGGCTTTCCGATTTTGTAGTGCATTTGCTGAACATGTTGGGCGCTGGCAAGTTACTGATGTACATCACAAAGCGTCGGTGCATAATTGTTTGTTTCAACAGAACATGATGGGGCGTGTCTTGGTGTCCCTTTCAATCCAATCAAGGGCTATATAACTTTGAAAAGCCCACACCCACTCACTTCCTTTTTGAGTTCCAACCATACAACCAAGTAGTCAGTCGAACCAACCCAACCCAACCTAGCCCAACAAACCCAGCAAACCAACCCAACCCAGCCAACCAACAAAACCAAGCAACCAACCAACGCAACCAACCCAACCAAGCAACCAACCAATCCAATCCGACCCAACCCCACCCAACCCAACCCAACCCAACCCACCCACCCAACCAACCAACCCAGGGCTTCCTGAAGAAGAATTGCTCGCAGAGGCAGACTTCTGCATGAGATCCTTGCTAGGTGGATCACCTTACCGCTCAGCAGCGCGAGGCCAAGGCAGGCTGCGTGGGCTATGCAGGGCTTCCATGGGGCTTCTCGAAACGGATTGGACGAGCGAATTCCCACTTGGAAGATACTGAACAGATGTGTCACTGGAAAAATGGGCAACTTTTTGTGTTTTGAAGGGAAACAAAAGGGACGCCAATTTGTCATTTTAGGGGGCCGCTCGTCACTATTTTGAATCTAAAGATTAGCTTTTGGGCTGGCTATGAAGGGGGCATATATGTATGGTGCCATTTGCTTTGGGGGAATTGTGGGTAATTGTTTCTTTAGGCTTCAAGTATTCATGAACTTTGTGCCAAACAAACCCGAATCAAAGGAGGCTTGGAGATAGATATAGATAGATAGGTAAATAGATAGATAGATAGATAGATAGACATAGATAGATAGCAAACTAGGCACATGGACCGATAGATTGCTGGATGGATAGATAGATAGATAGAAAGATAATGAAACTTGATAGATAGTTCGATGGATCGATGGATCGATATACAGAGAGAGAGAGAGAGAGAGAGAGCGAGATCGATAGGACGATTCGGCGCATGAGCAGATAGACAGAGAGGTAGATAGATAGATAATCAGCTAGATAGACAGATGGATGAATCGACGCCGCGAAGCATTATCTCGACAGACAGGCATTCAGGAAAGAACGAGAAGAGAAAAAGAAAGAGACAAATACAGAGAAGGAAAAATAAGAGAAGGGGAAATAGGAAAGGAAATAAGGAGAGAAATAAGTGCAAGAAAAAGACAAAGAAGAAAAGAGAAAGAAGAGACAGACACAGAGAAAGAGACAGCGAGAAAGAGGAGAGAACACAACGAGAAACGTTAAGCGAGAGAGAGAGAGAGACAAAACAACAAACGAGACAGGCAAAGATAGATATAGTTTTGATATGTTTGAAACTTCCACGCACCGCCCTCGCCAGCTCTACTTCTACAAGCCACGTTCAAAGTTACTGCGGCTCTGGTTTTGATCGGGTGCGCATAGGGGTTGGTGCTTTGGCCGCTTCATTGTCCTGTTTCGGTTCTTTGCGCCAGTACTGCCAAGCATTTTGTGTGTGAGGTCTCGATGCGATGCGTTTGAGCAGCCAGGTGGTGGCAGACAACTCCAGCAGCAAGGCAGCTGAGGCGCGCTCTTTTGTTTGGGGCTCGCGAGCCTGCAGCCTGATCACATCAACCTGCTGGCTTGATACTGGGGTGTTTACGAAGATTCCACCTCGCACCCATCGTTAGGCGGGTTCTGCCGGTATCCAAATGTTGATAGAACTCAATATTGTGTTGCCTACACGGATTGTGTGGGCATCAGAGTTGTGCGTTGAAACCGAGGAGTCGAAGAGCGCGTGCTTAGGCTGAGGCTCTGGCGAAGGACCTGAGCAAGCGCGAGGCTGGAGTCCTGGAGAAAGTCTTGTCATCCCAGACCTCCAGGTCAAGGGGGGCGCCGCGTTTTTCCCGTGACCACTGCAAGTCTGGGTAATTGTTTGGCGCGTATCTAACTTCAGTAGCGCTTAGCGGGGAAGACGTTGCACTTGGGTTTAGTGCAGTATGAACGCACCACAAGCCGCAGGCAGCCTGCACAAGGGGCGCAACGCACTAAATGGACCGTAGCACATGGGCGTTTGAACCTACCTTCAGCAAGGGAACCCAAGGCTGATGCATCGTGCCCTCAATAAATGCTTGCCAATCATCGGCGTTCTTTGTTTCTACCGGTTTGCCCTTTCTCGGCCGTCTGACAGCTGCACGTGGTTCTTGCCTTTCCCGAGCGCGGCTCAGACAAGCTGAGGGGATCCAGAATTTTCAGCTGGGTTACAGTGACCAGCCTGCTCAGGAAGATCAGCTTGTTTCAGGGTGTCCTTTCATGTCCCTTTTTGGAGCCCCAAATAGCGGATGGAAACCACCAATGCAGAACAACCTCTGAAGGGGAATCCAGCAACCCCCGTTCATGCCGACCCAGGCAGACTTGGCGGAGTTCTGTCACACCGCCCCGGCGCAGCTGGAGCGATGCCAGGAGCGTGCCAGTCGCAGGTTGCGATGTACATTGTGCAGGGCTCGCATAAGTGGACAGAGGGCAATGATATGGCTGTGGGTCAAAAATAGGTGCCCGAAATGGAACCCTGGTAAGTGGCAACATGGACCAAAACCTGTGGTCCCCTGGCGGTTTAATTTTGACCCACACCCATATGACGTTCAGAGTTTAGAGTGCTCTATTTGCAACATTCTCTATATTGTCCGAGCTGTACCCTCAGTGGCCGGAGAGAGGACTGAACTTATGATTTTGTCAGAGAGGATTTTGCCAGCTGCGGGTTCCAAGCAGCCCACACGTCAAAAAGATGCCAAGTGCAGCCCTGTGAGGTATGACTGTAAAGTTGTTTCAAGACATAGATCTCAGAGATCCGGGTGAGTCTTGTTTTAGGGGACCCCAAAATGGTCGTTGTCCTTTTCGTTCTGGCTTCCCTTCAAAACCACAAAAACGATTTTAGGGGAGTACCTCACCGCCAGAGCCAACAATGTGTGCAAGCAGCTCAGCTGAACATGCGCACGCGGCCTGTCGACAACAGCACACTTCCCAGCGACAGTCCGGGTTCCTTCCCGTCAATCCCATGACTTTGCGGTCCGTCAAGCTGGCATGGCACCAAGCCAGCCAACCCAGGCCTTCAGCCGGGAAAATCCACCATCTCCTGTTTCCATGGCTTGACTCTTGGCTTCTACAAGTTAAATGGGCTCTTGGATACTGCAACTGTTGTTTGTTGATGCAAGCTGGAACCACTTAGGCTATGAATCATAGGGAACCACCTGAAAAACATCTAGGTGGACATGAATCCCCACCGTTCTGATGTCCACCAGCGGGGCCCACTAAAATTCACGGCCATTTGATAGAACCAAAGAAAGAAAATGACCATATCTTCCAACAAAAGATCCCCCATAATAGATTCCTTAAGCCGCTTTATTTTGTTTACATCTTCCTTGATTTCATCTTTAAAGCAATTCATTATGATGATTGCCGATTCAAAAGAAACTTAGAGACGCTTGGGTTGCTTTGGCGGTTAGATGCGGTAGGAAGGAATCGTCATTCCTGTCCTCCCATAGAGGCTTCGCAGGCCGTGCAATCAATACCCTTCACCGCTCGCGCTGGATCTCAAGGAAACACCCATGTGATGGAAAGATATAGATTGGTTGGGTGGATGCTGTTGGGATGGGAATTAACTTGTAGATGCATCCCGTACCTCCCCAAACCCTTAGGACTTGCTGGGTTGGACAGTTTGGGGGGCTAGGTATGGTGGATGAGTTCATGGCAATTCCTCGCCAGACAAGGGACCCATCAATCCTGTTCCTTCCTCAATGTCACGTCATTGTAAGCGAATGCTTGGGGAAGGACAACAAGTCTACCTGATGCATCTCTCGCTAGTTCTCTCTACCGCAACAAGAAAGTCCCATTTGCACCCGTCCATTAGTCACTGTATCCGTGGGGCTGGAGCGAGAGAAGTGTGGAGAAGTGATTGATTGGCAGGGTACCTCTCCTTCTTCTAGTCTCGCATAGGCTAGACATGGGACGTGTCTTTGTTTAGGGTTTGGGGTTGGTTTGGGAAACCAAAAGGAACCCAACCATCTTTGTGGGGCGCTCTAATTTGGAGACACACCCAAATCTTTTAAGCGCAAGACCAAAAAAGGGAGACGTGAGCGAATGGTACGCCTGAAATCAAGAGTCTTGACTCAGACAAGGAAGGCTTCTAGAGGGACCATCTCGCCGCGATGATTAGAGAAGCGAGCGGAATAGATATGACAGAAAGGGACAGATTTCTTGGTCACATCCATAGTGACAGGACACATTATCCGATTAAATGACCAGGAACTATTAAACTTTCCCCTTTCTTGGCCGCATGCATGAGTTGTCCTGCATCCACGAGAGACACCAGAACTACAAGATAGATGTTAATGATAATGATAAAGGGATGGCCGGGATGGCCTTGAGTTGCCTTCCTACATCCGTCACTCTTCCTCGAATGACCGTTCCATCATGAGTCATAGTGATTGGAGACGATTGCCCTTCCACCAATTGACATGGAACCTGACGTTCGGGGGGGGTCGGACCATTTTCCTTTTAAAGAGACGTCACGTCAGGTTCGGCTGTTAATTGATGGGAGGCTATTAATTGGGTCCCTTTCCCAATTGGCTGTGAATTTTAATGAGGAGACCCTTTAGCCTTTGGTGGACATCAGAATTCGGTGGGGATTCATATCCACCAATCACTTGTAATGAGGTTCCCTGTTGGAATTCATGGCACGTTTCCTTCTCTGAAGGCTTTTGCTCGGCCACGAAGATTTTCCCCAGGCAAAGCTTGCAGATGTTTCGGAGCAACGGGCCCACTTCGGGAAGCTTCGCGCAGAGCTGTCCATGGAGGCGAGCGAGCAATAAAACACATCCGAAGCGTGTGTATCTCAGGTCTCTACATGGGGGAACCTGCCAAAGATGTGGTGGGTTCATTTGGCTTTCCTAGAACCTCCCCAAAAAATAGGGCTCCCTTAAAACACGCACCCACTTGGGGTTGGTCCTGAGAGTATGGACAGTTGTAAGGGTTTCTACGAAGGGAACCATGACCAAGGTCAGGAGCTTTTGCCGCTGTTTGGTGAAAATGCGGCGGCTGTGTGCGGTCCATTTGCGAGGCACTTCAGGGTCCCGTTTATTTGGGGGGCTTGTGATGTGCGTGTGTTTTTCTCGGGAAGCCACGGGGCAAGCCCAATGCTAATGTCCCTCAGCCATGGAGCTGATTTAAGTTTCTTGGGAGCTGAGCCCAAGTAACTCAAGCATCAACTGTGCTTTATTTGCGCATCAATCTTGTCTTGTTTAATTACCACGGCAACCAACAGGGTTTGGTTGAGTTTCTCAAGACCTCTGTTTACTTGGTGGTTCCCGGCCATCCGGTTCCCTAGCTTTTTAGCTTTTTAGTTGGTGTAGTGGTTGGGCTTCCGCATTTAATCCACTGCAACCTCCCCTTCCTCCCACTAACATGGCATTTGTGGGAGCGCATTTGGAAGATCAGTTTCTTCTTAGAGCGACCCCCTGTCAGGTGCTATGTTCGTGGGAGTGGGGCTAGTCACTTTTCAAACCCGAAAACGGACGGCAGGCGGATCGCTGCGAGCGTCACCAGCAGGGCTTGCAAGAGGCACTCAAGGACCAGACGTCGACACGGAATTGAGTCGTACCCGGAGTTGAGATGGAAGCCAGAAGCAAACCACGCCCAAAAATCCAAAAAGTGGGGGTGGGGGGTGGGTGGGGGCTGTCCATTTTGACACCCCATGTGTAATGTTGAACACTTGGAAGGAGCAATTTCTGAAGGGAAGCCCCTTGGAAGTGACAAAGGGTCATGGGAGTGTCCTACGTTGGTATGCTTCGCATGCCCCGTGAACACTCGTGCCGGTTTGCAACTTCCGCGCAACGGCAAATCACTGCGAGCACAGAACATTCAACTCCGGCCCTACAGTGTTTTGGGTGCATCAGGCTTGCAACATTAGTCCCAATGAAGCACAGAACAACATATAATAGAATGATTCGGGCCGGAAGGAGACTGTAGGCTCGTAAATCAGCAGCTTCCGTGGCTGTACCTCCTCACTGGGTGGTGGTGTGGGGAAAACGTTCAGCAGTCTACATGTCTCGGACAGTTGCCGCTTTGCAGTCGTCGGTGCAAAGTGAGGTCCTCAAAATGACCCTCGCAATGGTGGTCTCAAGGGTCACCCCGCAATGGCAATTTCAAGCGCGCAGAATGCAATCCGAATTGAACGAAAGGACTTAGAGATTCACTTTGAAAGGAACCCGCCCTCCAAAGTCGGAAGTCGGCAACATGCGCCATCGCCAGGAGGCAGACGCGGCTCTGAAAGCAACAGCCCTCGTAGGCAGGCAACTGCGACTGTCAATTCCATTGTGCCCGAAAATCCAAAAGACCCGTTTCAGTACCTTCCGGTTCACTAACATGGAACCCACCGGCAGGTCCCTTTAAAAGGACAATTATCTTCCAGGACCCTCCAGTCATGTTAGTGGATGGGAGGGTAGGTGCCTGGTGAACTCGCATTGCACGCTTGAGAGTATGTTTGCTTCAGTGCTTTTTCATACCATTGCGGTGCTGGCTTGGTTGCTCGTGGAGGTTATGTTAAGGCTAATATAAGCATTTGGGTGTGTTTGTGTTTTGGGGTTGGTACCTTCCTTTTCACCTTGCTTGAAAAGGCAGCCAAGGGCAATGTTTGGATCCCCTCATTCTGAGACAAGCCAATTTGCCCCAAGGGTCGCAGAAAAATACGGAGGCAGGGCAGTCAAGAATCGGAAGTATTAGCGAAGACAAGTTCTCAGCTCGAGAAAGTCAAAGTCCATTGCCAGTTGCTTGGTTTCTTGGGGCTTCGGAAGGGGTCCGTCGAACTCCATTTGAGCCACAGTCAAAACCTGGGTAGATGAAGGTTACTAAGGGGCAGTCCCAGCCGGAAATAGTTGCGGAATTCCGCCTTTCTATTTCTTTGCATGGTTCTGGGTTCACCAGTTTTGTACCAGGTTTTGATTGTGACTCATTTGGGTCCCTTGGAGTTTCGACTAGATACATGGAATTGGTTCAAGGTCCTCCAGTAATTAAGGCCCTTTTACCCTTTTGTGGGTGAGAGTTCCCCTACTAAAATAGACTACAGAAAAAAGTTGGTACCCTTATTCTAACCTCTCTACTGGAGGACTTAGGGTTTGGATCGGAGCACATTTTTGCTTTTCCGATAATACCAAGAATGCAGCGAGCTGCAGGTCGGGAGTTGGAAGCTTTACGGCCCAGCCTCAACTCGGAGCCTGAGCCTGAGCCGCACCGATCCAAACCAAGCGAGCCAAAAGGAATCCGTTTTGTTTTTTTTCCAAAGAGAGTTGAAATTGGGCCTTGGGATATGGTCTCAATCTGCAAGTAATGAATGCACATAATTAATTACCAAAGTCACCTGTCGAAATTTGGTGGTGACAGCCTTGAGCACTGGGATCGATCAGCACGCTTGAGAAAGACGAGCTCACCGAGTATCTCGAAGCCAAGTGAGATGCCGAGGGATGTCATAGCTGGTGGCCCAAAAGAGGCATGAGGCATATGAGGCAAGATGAACAGAACTCCGAGAGTGATAGTTTTGATGGAATTCAGATAAATTGTCCTATTCGCAGCGGCGTAACTCATCCGATGTAAGGCTCATCATGACAGATGCAGAGGTGGGGCGCTCTGAACGGTGCCGGGAGGTAAAGATGCAGTACGTCCATGCAATGCATGAGTGTTTGCAATTGTTTACGGTTGTTGTTGTTGTGTGTTTGCGGTTGTTGCTCCTGTTTGCAAGTGTGTTTGTGTTTCCTTTTGTGTTTACTTGTTTGTGTGATTGTTTCGGTTTGTGTTTGTGCATGAGCACAAATGTCCAGAAGAAACAATCCCTGGGTAGGTAGCATTTGACAAGGGTCGATTGCAGTATTTCCTCATGCGCTCGGGGGCCCGTCAACTGCCTGTCTCGTGATTGCCTGATAGCTTGCATGATTTGCAGCATGTTAACATCTCGCTTGCATGGAAGAGATATATATATATATATATTATTATTATTATTATTATTATTATTATTATTATTATTATTATTATCATCATTTTTATTATTAGTATTATTATTAGTATTATTATTATTATACAGGGATGGTTTGGGACCACAATAAGCCCGTGCCAGCGAGTTGCTCACTGCTAGACCTGGCTTGCCTTTTTCACTGTACGGCAGCGTCCCCGGCGATTATTTTTCCCATGATAGTGTGTTGCAATGTCGCAAAATGGCGGAACACAAACAAGCTATAGTTTCACACATGCTACAAAAACGCTCATCATAAGCAAGAACATGCGCACAACTCGAGGAAACCAGGGAACAAAAACAAGTTCCTAGGGAACATGCTCGAGTTTGATGTTTGATGATGCTTTGCTTGGCTGTGTTCCTCCTCCTCAAGTGTTTGGATGAAAAGGACTAGCAACAAGGCGGTTTGCGCATTTGATACTTTCATAGAAGAACAACGGCTTTGGGATTTGGTCCCCATATGAGGCAGCTGTCCCGGAGCCCACACTTGTGAACTTAGCTTGGCTTTCCAAGGATGTTTCCCAAGCCGCAACGCACGACTGCGCCTCAACAAAGTGGTACCAACTTTTGGGCCCCCTGGATGGAAATAAACACCAAAACCTGCGTAACTCCAGCTCTTCAATTTCTGAGCCACGCCCGCACGTTCAGTGGTTCGCTCGGACAGTCGCAGGTGGCGCAGATCCAGGCGCTGGAGGCCAAGTCGCCCTCCAAGCCAGCGCGGCTCCGGCAGAAAGAGAGGCGCTCGTTTCGGCGGTCGTTTCGGTGATGCGGCCGATGGAGTTCGATGGAATTCGAATTCCATGGGGATCTGAACAAAATGCGTTGGCGCTCGGGGGACGGTTTTTATTTTTTTTTATTGCAAGATCCATGTCTCTTAAGTTCCACTCTGGTGCCTTTGGTGGCAAAGCATGGTTTTTTGTGGCCACCGTCAAGCGTTGATGTTGTTTGCTTCCCTGTGGGGGTGGGTAACCCGCAAGCTCACAGAGGCAGTATGACCAGGGATGCACTTGTTGTTCTTGCTCGGCAAAACCCAAAGAGTTTTGGCAGCATGTCCAGAACAGGATGACCTTGCCTGTGGCACCGCAGGTATGACGAGGGAGGTCAATGAGGGGGATTGTATCTCATAGCGTGTGCAGTTTTGAAGAATAGGGTTGCAAGACCAGCAACAAATGTTGGGCTTCGTGATTCTTCTTATGTTTGTGCGTAGACTAATTCAGAGCCGTACACGAATCGAAGATCAATGGCAGGGTTGGCAAACAAACCAGGGGCCGTTTTTGGTATCCCTGTTAAAAGGCGGCAAACGGAGGCACCGGCTTCAAAAGCGGGGGCTATCTCTTTGACCCACTGAGCTGTACGCTTGGACAGAAAAACACCACGCACACAAGGACTCGGCCTCCAGAATTCATGGGCGTTGCCAGGGTCCATTTGTCTGATGGCACTCGGAAATACTGTGGATGGACGAAATCCATTTCGCACCACTTTGAAACCATGGGAAGCTATTGTTTGCTGGTATTTGCATGGAAACGGGAATCGAGTCATTCCGCGGTTTCTGAGCGGGTGCGAAATGGATTTCGCAACCATCCACAGAACCACAAAGACCCAAGCCACAAGTCCGGTGCTTCAGAGCCAAGCCACGTGAAGTTTATAATCGGTCATTGTCTTCAATCCCTCGGCACCAATAGTCGCTGTCTGCAGCAGGTTACTAGGCAGGGCTGAAAGATGAAGCTGACTTGGAAGCTAGAAGCCGCATGTGCGAAGCTGCACGACTAATGATTGATTATAGTTGTATACTTGACATTGTGTGCAAACGTGAGTCGCACCTGCAGGCGAAGCAGCGAATCAAGCCTCTCAAAGGAGCCTAGGCACTGGATGGAGGAGGCCCAGTTTCTTCCGGCAGCTTGGTGGCATATTCTGAGTGAGAGAGGGAGAGAGCTTGTTAAATACCAGGCGCACCAGCCAGCGAAATGCAATGGATGAGCAAGCATCACCGAACCATGACAGGAGGAGTCTCCAATATCCTCGGAGGCGTGGGGCTTGATGCGATGGCCAGAAACGTTTTGACTGTGTGCTAAATGGCCCGGAATATTTAAGCCACAAGAAAGTCAAACAGGTCTGGTTGAGCGATTTTTCTCCAGACTCTCTATCACCTGGATGAGTGAGAACTGCAAACACTGCAGCATTGCTCCAGTATTGCACCGATAGCTAGATCAAGACTTTGCCCAGGTCTTTTCGCAGCCTTGAAACCACATGAACCCCGGGTGAGGTCCCGAAAGAGTGTATTTGTTTTGTGCGTTGCGTTACCTGTGTTTCTCAGTTGTTCAAAGCCGACCTTTGAATCCTTTTGCCCCAGAAGATGATCGCCTTTCAGTTCCAGGTCCCGGGGCAACTGATCATGAGGTTGGTATCCTCTTTCGTGCGGCCCTATGTTATCAGTTCCGTGCACGTCCGAGCAGGTCTTGGCTTCTGAAGCTGAAGCTGACGGGCCCAGCTGGGACGATGCGGGTGCAGAGCAGGTGGGCCCCACCTCCCTTTCGAGGAATGTCAGGGATCTGTCGCGTCCATTGGTATGAGGGTAACAAACATTCTCAAGAAGGACGCCCGTTCAAAAGGAGGTTCCTAAAATCGCCCCCCCAACAGAAGGTGCCTCATATTCTAAACAGAATGGCAGCGTTATGGGTTCACGCTATTCTGCAGGCTGGGGAACACTGTGCAAAAAGTTACAGGGCAATGTGGTCGGAATCCCTTTTTACTTGGGGTTGGCAGGGATGATATGGGCCCCTTGAGAGAAATCTGGGCAGGTGTGACAAGGAGTCCTATCCTATCAAGGGAATCACGGCTGTGGCCCATGACGCATGAGAAACGCCATGATTTGCTGTAAGTAGGATGAGATTGGTCCCCCATGGAAGGCTCGTCGCTGAGAGACTCTGCAAACTACTCCGACAGAAGTGCGGGGGACCTGCTCAATTCATGTCTACCTCCCACTGTTGAGGAGGTACCAACTCCTAAAATTCATATCCAGCCCTCATGCGGGGGGCCATTTGCAGCCTTCAAGGCATCTCTTGTTTTTGAAGCGAAAAGCGAAGGGTTCCACTGAGCACCTGACAAGAATCCCTGCGTGCGGCAAACGGGAAACCGTCTGCGTCAGAGGATTGATTTGGAGCAACTCGAACATAGCACGTGATAGCCCCCGTTGCGAGGATTTCTTTGGCCTTCCAAAAGGTCCAAGGAGTAATGTTTGAGGCAGAAAAGTCCAGCGTGGGAGTTTTGTTTGGTTCAACAGGTTGAAACGTTGTTGCTTCTGCTGTTTGATCCTTGAGCTGACATGCCGCAGGCCATGCCACAACTTGTTGTGAAGCTTCCTGTGGGTGATGTGGGTCATCTATCCCCTAACTCGTTTTGAGCCCGGTGGGATTTGACCCCCTTCTTGCAGAGGGTAACCCCCAACCACCGGGCTCCAAACCACCAAGAAGCTGAACAGAGGGCGGTCGACTGCGTGATGTCACTCGGTCGCTGCGGCTTCAGCCGCAGGAGTTCCATTCCGCGCAGCACTTCCGAGCCTTCAAGCGATTGAACGAGGAGTTCGAGGCCCCAGATGTGCCTTGTTTTTTTTTTTTTTTTTTCTTTTTTTTATGGCCGTTGCGGGTGTGTCTTTTTGTAGGATCTGGACCCCCCCAAAATGGATTCCGGTTCTGCCTTTTGGCTTCCTTTGAAGCCGCCACGCCAAAAATAAGTACCCTTGAAAAAATGGACACGCCCAAGTGTGCTTTCTTGGACTTATGGAGAATCTGCACATGAGATGTTTGTTGTACAAAGAAGATTGGGGCAAAAGGAACACAAATGGCCCATGTGTAGAGAAAAGCTCCTTTTTGGAGACCCCCTTTTCTAGATTCCCATGTCATGAGAGGAGCCTCGGGTCCCCTTTTCAGCTTCAAGGAATTTTCGTCCAGGTTCCATGTTAATTGGTGGGAAGGTATATGAATTTGCCCGGGAACATGCCTCAAAGTCCAAATCTGAGGAGAGAACGACTCTGGCAAGAGGAGAGGCGCTGGCTGAAGGCTTGCCAAAGCTTGCGAGCCGGCCTGCTGACGGCGTGCGCGGCGGTTGATGTGGTGGTATTTTAGGGGTTGGTTCCTTGTCCATTCTTTTTAACCATGGTTCATCCAAAACCCGGATCCGTTTTCCCTGGGTTTCCGGAGGTTTTCTAGAAAGAAGGATCCCTGGAAAGAATGAGGAAGGTACCCCTAGAGGTATGCGGCTTCCGGATGATGTGGGAATCAAAAGAGGGCAATAGTTCCGAAATCCTTCGTCAAGCTTAGAGCCAAGCAACCACTTTTGGCGGCATGCCGATTAGGGCCCACCCCTTAGGGAAAAACTTTCAGGAATCGAGGATGTTCGAAAGCATCCACGGCCGTAAAATAGTACAAAAAGCGGACGGGTATGAAATGAGTTACCTCAAGTCAACCAACGCGCAAAGATATTGGACAGTCGGCAATGGCAAGCCAAAGACGCGTCTCCGTATTTGATGTGTGCTTCATCCTAGAACTTGTCTCAATTCCTGGTTTCTGCATGCGGCTCAGCATTCTTGCGGAAAACTCCACATGTGAAATAGCGACGCAAACTGTATTTTGGTAGGCCATATACAAATGCAACAAAACCTTCAGGAGCGTAACGATAGATTCTAGAATGCGATAGGGAAGTAGAATGACTGTATAGCAATGTCCGAAGGCCAACAGGTTGTTCCAGTTCTTGATTATTTGAGGCGTCTAGCAGCCCGCAACAAATGTCCACCCTTGTGCTATTATTCTTAACAAGTGTAAACCCTTTCAGTGGGGATTAAAAAAAGGCGCATATTAACCTTTACAACCACGTGCGTAACTAGGTGGCACTTTTTCGGAGTTGCAGAGGGCTGCTTCGGACTTGTTTCGAAGAACCTGAGCTGGTGTTTCACCATGGCAAAGGGAATTGAGACGCCAGGGAAGCCTTGAGCAATGCGAGTCCAACTTGTCCAAGCTGCAGAAGCAGTTGGTGCCTGAGCCACCGTGAGCAAGCATATCAGTGTTTGCAATGCTGCCTCTGCGATTTCGATCTTTCTGCCAAGAAATCCGGCGGTCGCCCACGTTACTTGGCACAGGAAGCTCGTGACTGTTATGCGCGTGCCTATTCATTTGCAGAGAAACACATGTGAAACGCATGTGATGCTTGGCCTGCATATGATATACATGAGCCCAGGATGGTACCATGGCGAGAGGTGAAGGCTCTCAAGCCAGCAAATAGGTCCCACCATGTCACCCATCCGTGGATGCGGTGCAACTGCCCAGCGCAAGGTGCCAAGAGGCGGAAAGCCAGGAGCGCCAGGCGCATTCGGCCGAGGCCAGGGTGCCAAGATGTGGGTTTGTCTCAAAACGACTTGCCCCAAAAGCTCATTGGCTTAAGTTTAGTTTCCCCTTGAAGCCATCCAAAGGGCGTTCCTCAAAAAACGACACCCATAGATTACTGGCTTTGGGTTTAGGTGTCTGAGCACGTTGTCAACGCCGCGCATCCTGCAAGTCCTAGATCAGTTTTTGTCGCCCTAGCATGTTTCTGTTCTGCATGAGACCTTGAACATCATGCAAAGCAGTACTCCTGCCATCGCACGCCAGCAATGCGTAAATGATTTGTTGAGTAAAATAAAGGAGACACGGGAAGAAAGAACGAACACAAATAAATACATAAATGAGTAGATAAAGAAACACGCACACACTGGCACAGGCACATACACACACACACACCCCACACACACAGACACACCCGCATACACAAGCACACACACAGACACACAGACACACAGACACACACGCCCACACACACACACACCCACACACACACACACACACACACAGAAACCCACGCACACGCACACGCACACGCATGCCACCCGCCCGCGTGACTACGCCCGCACGCGCGCTTTTCGCGCGCGCGTGCGGGAACACGCACGCGCGCAGGAAAAAGCAGGCACGCAGGAACACGCACGCCCCTGGCAACATGCACGGACGCAGGAACACGCGCGCGCGCGAACACGTCCCCGTGCGCGCGCACACACAAACCCACACGCGCGCCCACACACACAGACGCACGCGCACACGCGCACATGAGTCAACTTCAGAATTATCAAAGACCACTTTATCAACGGCGTTTCATTGAAGACTGCTTTTTTGCATTTTCCTTGGAGAACGATAGGGGACTCACTAAAAACGATACCCCTCTGAACATGGTTTGTGAACATGATGCATTCATTCACGTCTCAAGTGTCATTCTGCTTGCAAGCAATGTAGAGCGTTGAGCGGCGTGAGCGGCTCACATGACTACCGCAAGGCAGAGAAGGCTATTGTGTGCTTGCTTGGCTCTAATAGCTTATAGCAAAATGTGAAAGTTTTCCGCAACTTGACACACGCCCAGAACGATACCCCTGTCGATACCCCATCGATTCCCCTGCAATGTCCCAGAGTTGCCAATGTGAGGCCTAGTGCATTTGCTTACAAAAGACAAGCACACATCCTTCAGCAGACATCAATCAGCACACACAGAAAGGGCCCGCAATGGGGAAGAGCGCTTCGTGTTCGAAAGACTACGCATGTGGTTACGATGCCAATGCTGTGTTTGCGTAGAAAGTCGTTTGTTGGGCACGTTACGAATTCGCACGGCGCCACAGCGAGAGAGGTGGGCACGCAGGATCCCTGCAGAGGGTTCGTCGGGCACTTTTCAACTTCGCACGGCGTCACAGCGAGGGCGCTTTGACACGCGCAATCCTCGCAGAGGGTTCGTTGGGCACGTTACGAATTCGCACGGCGCCACAGCGAGAGCGCTTGGGCACGCAGGATCCCTGCAGAGGGTTCGGCGGGCACTTTTTAAATTCGCACGGCGTCAGAGCGAGGGCGCTTTGACGCGCGCAATCCTCGCAGAGGGTTGGTTGGGCATTTTACGCATTCGCACGGCGCCACAGCGAGAGCGCTTCGAGGCCCGCGATCCCTGCAGAGGGTTCATCGGGCACTGCACGCACGCGCGAAACGTGGAGAACGATAGGGGGCTCACTAAACGTAGAATGAACACACCCCACACAGCAAATATGGGTTTGTCTTTTTTTGGTGTGTTGAGTTGCTTCAAAAGGCAGAAGGTGGGACCTCCCCGAATCATACCCCCGAATCATACCCCCGAATCATACCCCGAATCATACCCCCGAATCATACCCCTTAAAAAGTATGCTGCAGGATGCTAATGTTCTTCTACCGTTTTGTGTTGTTCACTGTCTCCACAACAACCACCACCAGCGCTACCCAATACTACCACTGCCACTGCCACTACTACTACTACTACTACTACTACTACTACTACGACTACAACCTTGACTACTACTACTACTACTGCTGCTGCTGCTACTACTACTACTACTTCTACTACTACTATTCCTGCTTCTGCTGCTGCTGCTAGCCGAATCATACCCGCGAATCATACATACCCGAATCATACCCGGACAATGAGCTTCCCCTGCCAAGGCTAGTGCTAAGTCTTTTTCACAGCATCCGCACCACTACAGCCGCTGCTGCTTATGCTACAGCTGCTACCACTACTTCTGCAACTGCTACTACTACTACTACCACTACTACTGCTACTACTACTACTACCACGGCTACTACGAGTTTGTAATCAGTGCCGTTTTGCACCTAGCCGAATCATACCCGCGAAGCATGCCCGAATCATACCCGCGCAATGAACTTGCCTTGCCAAGGCCAGCGCCAAGTCTTTTCCAAAGCTTCCGCGCCACTACAGTCGCTGCTTCTACTCTTACTACTACTACTACTACTACTACGACTACTAGTACTACTACCACTACTACTACTACTACTACTACTACTACTACTACTACTACTACTACTACTACTACTACTACTACTACTAGGACTACTGCTACTAATATTTACTACTACTCCTTCTACTGCTACTACTACTACTACTACAACAACTACTACTACTACTACTACTAACTACTACTATTACTATTATTACTATTATTACTATTATTATTATTACTACTACTACTACTATTGTTACTACTACAATATTACTACTAGTACTACTACTGCGGCGACTACTGCTACTACTACTGCTACTGCTGCTGCTGCTTCCGCGAATCATACCCCCGAATCATACCCCGAATCATACCCGCGAATCATACCTGCGAATCATACCCCGTACTCAAACCTTCCTGCCCGGCCACCCTAAAAAAAAACAAACCCATATTGACGCTGGCTCACATGCATGCCTGCCCGCATGCCCGCCCACACAGACACAGAGACACGCTAAGACACAGCCACAGAAAAATATACACACACACGCACGCACGCACGCACGCGCACACACGTACAGGCACACGCACACGCACATGCACACGCGCATGCACACGCACACGCGCACGCGCTTGGACACGCGCATGCACACAAATAAACACACCCACACACACAAAATACACCTCACACACGCACACGCACGCTCGCGCGCTCGCGCGCACGCACGCACGCACGCACGCACGCGCGCACGCACGCACACACGCACGCACGCACGCAGATGCACTGGCACACGCACGCGCACGCGCACGCGCACGCACATGCACGCACATGCACGCGCACACGCACACACGCACCCACACACACACACACACACGCACGCACGCACGCACGCACGCATGCACACCCACACACACACACACCCATGCACACACACACACACACCACGCAGCAGGCGCGCGCGCTCGCGCGCCGCCCATGCACGCCCATGCACGCCCGCGCGCATGCGCACGCGCGCCACGCGCACGCACGCATGAACTCAAGCGCACGCACGAACGCGCAAGCGCGCATGCACACGCATTCACGAACACGCGCTTGCGCGGGAACACGCACGCAACATCACGCACGCACACAGGAACACGCAATCAAGCACCCACGCGGGAACACGCACGCACGCAGGAACATGCCCGCGCGACTGATGTGACTCTTTCGCAGTTTGATTTGAGTTTGGCTAGCGCGCGCACCAACATTGAGGTGACATCGAGTGTTGAGTGCTGTACATTAGCTGACAACCTTGTAATGTGAAACAATGAGCGAAACAACGCTACTTAGTTGGCGACTGTTGAGACAGTTGTCATGTTTCAAGGTGCGTGACTGCGTGATGACATTGCACAGAATGTTTGAGGGACAGGTGGCGTGGACCTACTTGGAGTCAACTAGTGTGGCGATATGTGTCCGGGTTCGGCCATTTGTTTATTGTGAATTGGGGGGGACCAATGCAAACTAGGCGGATTCGCGCAACTGTTTCGTGCCCTTGACGGGGACGCTACTTTTTGACCACTTCTCGTATGCATGTCATGTGCATAGCGAGATCAAACAGCCAAATGCGTGCATCTACACGGTTCGCAGACGGGAGACTTCGACGTACGGCTGTGCATGCGGTTTGCATGAGCATGGGCCATTGACAGATCCTCGTGTAAATGATGTTCCCTGACATCCGTACGCTTACTATCTTCTGGAGATAAGATTCGAATCAGCTGGATGTCAAGGCTTCAATCCCGCGTCAGGACGAGCTGCGGAAAGAGATTGCTGTCCTAGACGATGCGGAGGCGGAACATCGGAGCACACGGTAAGGACATGTCACACACCCAACAACCCTCCGACATGGCCTTGGAGCAAATCCTAATTTTCTCATGAGGATCAGAAGGTGTGCAACATGGTGGGTTTTCGGGTTACCTCACTTCCTGAGTTCCCGCACTTTAAACTTGTTTGGGAATAACATTTTATATAGTGGCAAACAACAAGTTTGGGTACTTTTTGTTGGCCCATCCGCTCAGCAAGTGAGTTAGAGTGCCTCCAGCAATGCCCGGTGATTTGCCTTGCAATCAACCCAGGCGCATGGCCAACGTGTGCTGGACGCGTGTGCCGGGGCACTTGAGAGTTTGAAGACACACTGGGCAATGGCGGGGCATTCCATTTCGTGCAAAGAAGCTTTAGCCCAGCTTTGAACTTCAATCACATGCCCTAGGGTTCACTCTCATTTTCAGGGGTTGAAATCATGGAAACTTGGTTGGGAATAGCATGCATAGGAGAGAGGTCGTGTCGAATAGGGGCTAGGGCTGGCTCACGACATCCGATGCAAGCTGCCAGGGTGAGAGCTTTTTCAAAACGGGCATGAACACGTGGGTGCCTTGATACCGTTTTTGGGAATGTATTTTTTGGGGGGAAAACAGTTTTTTTTGGGGAGAAAAGGAACTCAACCTGAAAAACACGACGCTTTCCCTCAAACACCCGTCCGATTTTTTGGGATCGACCGAGGCTGCCGCAGAAGCTGCCCATGCCAGCCACAAAGAGCTGCAAAGTGCTGCGGTGGAGGCAAGCAGCTCCTGTTGGCCCAAAATTGGAGGTGGTTCAAAATGGCAGGTGACCTCTGATTCTACTCGGTTTCACGGGATATGGCTGTGGGTCAAAACCAATGAGATCCCATTTTGGGGTAGGTGCACCACCCATTTTAGTCTATTCTAGTGGGGATTTGGATGTTCACTGGGGGTGCGGGATTTTGACCCATGGCCATATTGCATGGCCTCAGGCCCACAAGATGCTTTCTAACAATTTTAACAGTCCTCCGGCTCAGGCCGCCGACATTACCGGCCTGCTTTCTTATTTGCGTCCTTTTGGAATTGTCCCTTTGCCCCCCTTCCCCTCTAAGATCTTTTCCCCCCCGTCCCCACCTGAGATCTTCTCCCGCTTTTCCTCCCTAAGATCTTTTCCCCCCTTTTCCTGTTGAGATTCTTTCCCCCCTTTCCCCCCTTGCCCTGTTGAGATCCTTTCCCCCTTTCCCCCCTAAGGCCTTTCTCCCCCTGAGATCTTCTCCCTGTTCCTCCCTAAGATCTTTTCCCCCCTTTTCCTGTTGAGATCCTTTACCCACTTTCCCCTAAGCCCTTTACCCCCCCTGAGATCTTCTCCCTTTTCCTCCCAAAGATCTTTTCCCCTCTTTCCCTGTTGAGATCCTTTGCTCCTTTCCCCCCTAAGGCCTTTCCCCCCTGAGATCTTCGCCCTTTTCCTCCCTAAGATCTTTTCCCCCCTTGCCCTGTTGAGATCCTTTCCCCCCTTTCCTCCCTCAGGCCTTTTCCCCCCGCTGAGATCTTTTCCTCCCAAAGATCTTTTTCCCCCTAAGGCCTTTTTTCCCTGAGATCTTCTCCCTGTTCCTCCCTAAGATCTTTTCCCCCCTTTCCGTGTTGAAATCCTCTCCCCCTAACTTTTCCGCCCCTGAGATCTTCTCCGTGTTCCTCCCTAAGATCTTGTCCCCCCTTTTCCTGTTGAGATCCGTTCCCCCCTTTCCCTCTAAGGCCTTTACCCCCCCCCCTGAGATCTTCTCCCTTTTCCTCCCAGAGATCTTTTCCCCCCTTTCCCTGTTCAGATCCTTTGCTCCCTTTCCCCCCTAAGGCCTTTCCCCCCCTGATCTTCTCCCTGTTCCTCCCTAAGATCTTTTCCCCCCTTTTCCTGTTGAGATCCTTTCCCCCCTTTCCCCCCTCAGGCCTTTTGCCCCCTGAGATCTTCTCCCTTTTCCAAACAAAATCTTTTCCCCCCTTTCCCTGTTGAGATCCTCTCCCCCCTTTCCCCCCTAAAGCCTTTTCCCCCCCTGAGATCTTCGCCTTTTCCTCCCTGAGATCTTTTCCCCCCAAGAAAAAAATTCCCCCCCTTCACCCCCGAAGATTGTCCCCCACCAACCCCTTATCCTCACTTCCTGAGTTCAATGAACTTCAAACTTTTTGGGAAGACCATTTTGGTGGTAAATATAAAGTTTGGACTTTTTTTGGGCCATCCACTCAGCCAGTGAGTATAACATTTTTCCCCCCTTCCCCCTAAGATCTTTTCCACCCTTCCCCCCCCCCCCCCTAACCCTCCTAGCATCTGTTCCACTCTTTCTCCTCCCAAGATCCTCTCCCCCCTCTCCCCACCCTCTTACAAGATCATTTCCCCCCGCTCCCCTCCTAAGATCTGTCCTCCCCCCTCATAAGAACTTTTCCCCCTCTCCCCACCTAAGACTTTTTCCCCTTTCTCCCCTAGATCTTTGCTCCCCCCCCCCCCAAGATCTTTGCCCCCCTTTCCCCCCTTCCCCTCTAAGATCTTTCCCCCCACTTCCCCCCCTTATAATACCTTCCCCCCCCCCCCCCTTCACCCCCGAAGAACGTTTCCCCCCCAAAGTTGTTTTCCCCCTTCCTAAGATCTTTTCTCCCCTTCCTCCCCCCCCCCCCTTATAACATCTTTTCCCCCCTTTCCCTCCTACGATCTTCTCCGCCCCTTCCCCCCCACCCCTGAAGATCTTTTCCCCCTTTCTCCCTAACCCCCTTACAAGATCTTTTTCCCCTTTGCCCTCCTAAGATCTCGTAAGATCTTTTGCCACCTTCTCCCCCTAAGATCTTTCCCTCCCTCCCCCCCTGATCGTTCCCCTTTTTTCCCCCCAAAGATCCGCTCCCCACTTCCCCCGCCCTAGATCTTTTCCCCGTTAAGATCTCTCTTCCCCCCTTAAGCTCCCCCTCCCTTCAAGATCTGTTTCCTGCTTTGTCCTCCTAAGATCTCCCCCCCCCCCCCCCCTTTCCCCCTCTCCCCACCTAAGATCTTTCCCCCTTTCCCCCCTTTTTCCTTTGCCCCCCTTTGCCCCTTAAATCTTCACACTCTCCCCCCCCCTAAGATCTTTTCCTTCCCCCCCCCCCCCCCCCCGTTCCCCCCTTAAGATCTTCTTCCCTTCATTTTCCTTCACTTCCCTTCATGTCCCTTTATGTCTGTTTTCTCCTGTTCCTTTATTTCACTTCAGGTCATTCATTTCCATGCATGTTCCTTCATTTCCAGATGTTCCTTCATGGGGTCAACATCCCCAGCATCACTTGCATCATCCGCATCCTTGGCAGGCGCTGATGCGGATGATGCAGGTGATGCTGGCGATGGTTCCCAGGAGATGCTAATGATGCATTGTTGGATGCGTTGCCACAGGGGGAATCTCAAATGTTGACCCCGGATTGCAGCTCAATATAGGCATTTGCTTTTTTCCTGCCAAGATGACAGGAACAAGCCTACTGCTTCAGCACAAGCTCCAACCATGCTCCCGGTTCCATACCATGTTTCCCAAAAGCATCTCTGATGCTTGGGTTTTCGTTTCATTCTACCCCCAAATTGGTGAGCCGATCATAGTTTGCCCAGACTGACTCGAGCCTGACGTTTCCTGGACGCTTCCCTCAAGCTGACGATGCGCGAACTACAAACAAGCTCAGCCCGGGAACCAAAAAAAGCAACCCAATGATTATAAGTGCATGCATTTTGTTATTTTAAAGAGAGGTCGATCCCGCCAAAAATTTGGCAACACCAAACCGTAACCCAGAAAAACATCATTTAGAAGCCAAAGAGAAAATCCCTATTTCCTCATAGGAATTGGGATCCTCAAGAAAAAACGAGTGGACAGAAAATGCAGCGATGCGAGCGGGAGCAATGCTCGCCCCAGAGTTTGTCCAACCCGTCTCTCCAGCATTTCTCTGATGGCACCACATAGCGCGACCAGACGGATGCGGTGCAGGCTGCTGGTGCCCAGCAGATGGCCGCTGCTCACAAGGAGCAGGCAAGATATGCCAGGATGAGTTTTGTCGCAATCGGACATGAACACCTAAAAATGGAAGCCCTTCGGCATACATGATGGTTGATGTCCACCAATCAAAGACGTTCACCATTGAAAATCACAGCCAGCTTTTCTTACAGGAACTGTTGCTGCTATCCATGACTGCAACCATGCCAGCTCATATCCCAAACTGCCCATGATCGATGGTGTCCACAGCTGCATACCAGCATGTAACTACAAGCATGCTCTTAGGCAACCAACGTGTGTCCGTGCCGCAACGGTTGCTCATCCCATGTCCCCCAACAAGCAACAATCTCATGGTCAACAGAAGAGGGTGCTTGTGATGCCTGAATGATTGTTTGTCATGCTGAAGCCTGCACAAGCATGCACACTCTTACTGCACACATGGAGCAAGTGGCATTTGCCAAGCTACAGCAGAAGCAAACTTCATGCGTTCTACAGTTCTGACGCTCGCGAGTTGAAAAGAGTGAGGCTGTGCCTGCTTGGGCACGTGGTTCTCAGTTTATTTATCCCGCGAGATTGGTAGGATTATGAGTTTGGCAGCGCAATTTGGGCTATGCTTTGGGAATGTGAGAAAGTATTGGAAGTTAATCCATGTTCTGTGTTTTGGACATCAACGGCATGCCAAAAACAGACATGAAACCTGAAAATGTTCCCTTTAATGGGAAAGATGGAAAGTGGCCTTAGGGTTTCAGGGTTGTTTTTTTTGTCAGAGTAGTGTAGATGCTCTTGTGAACTTTACTTTGCCTGTTTCATTTGACGAATCAAGATTTGCACTTGTGGCCATGCCATGTCAAGGGCCGAAACAGTTGACCAATCAAGAATTGCACTCGTGGCCAGGCTATGTCAAGGGCCGAAAAGGCGGGAGTGCGGGAGAGTGTGGTTGAGATGAGCAGAGGGTTTCAGTCATCTTTGATGCTCAGATTCCCCATCGCAAGTAGAATTGGGGGTTGACCCGGGGGGTTGGTCCTTGTTGAATTTCCAGTGGTGAAGCTCCAAATTTCGTATCGCTTACAGCTTGCCTTGCATGTGCATCGCTGCATCGCTTCGACCTTGGCTCCAGGCCGGACGGGCAGACTTTGACAAGCCTTTTGATGAATCCACCGCACAGAGTGCCAATCATGCCCTCACCCACGGAGGTCAAGAGACCCAGCTTCTGCATGCCGACTGTGGTGGAATGAGTTTCGTCGAAAGTGCCAGGTGTTCTCATGTAAGGGTAAGTTCCACAGCCATGCCGGTGGAGCTGTCGTTCCAATGCTACTGCAGCGAAGCCAGGCAGCCTGTTGCCGAGGGTTTCCCAATTCATCGCGGACAGTCCAAAACGATGCGGGTAGATTAAGGATAGGGAACATGTCCACAAGTTCCTTGCTTTTGTTGGGCAGACCCTTTCATTACCAGGCGGTGTTTATTTTAGCTCAGGGAATAGCACAATTTGCGCACATCAATTCATTGTTTTAGTTTTCAAAGCCCATCTCGAATTGCAGATTCAGTGGGTAGGAAGGTATTCATTGACTTGCCGCCATTCCTTGACTTGCTCAATGTGATTTCAAACGAAAGTGCACCGACGCAGTCCCGTACAGTGAACATGTTGAGGGATTCAAAAAACTACGTTGGGGGAGTACCCTTGGAACCATCATTTGGAGGGCAATTTGGAGCATGTCATTCACTCATGAACCCAGACTGATAACTTTTCAACCTGTATTTTACACATCTGGCTGAGTCATGACAGGGTTTGAAGGGAAAAACAATCTTCAAGGGTGGTTTTCACCAAAGGGCCGATTTCCAGCTTGAAGCTTCGAGCAGGCCCGGGGACCAGCTGAGGGTGGTGGGCAAGGAGCTGAGCGCCACCTTGTGGGTTTCCCATAAGCTCAAACGGGTACCCTGAGTGTGGCACCAGAGAGGCTATATGGGGGAGGTGGGGGGGTGGGCGGGTGGGTGGGTGGGGGTGGAAGCTAAACGGATGGCGAAGGGCTACCTACGGAGAAACCTTGGTTCCCAGAGCCCCCTTTGGCTGAGTTTCCTGTTTGGGGTGATGCTGAAAGCAGAAGGACCCTTCCCCGTAAGGTTTGAAAGGAACTGCGCACCCGCTCCAAGGTCCCTTCCGCTTCCCGGAGCCAAAAAGAGTGCCTTTGCTTTTCAGCTTTTCATCCCAGCGTTGCACAAGAAAGCGACACTCAGGGTGATGTCAACCTCGTTGTCAATGTCCTTGTGGTTGATTTTAGGGCGCCTGGAATTGGTTGTTTGCTTCGCTGCATCAAACTCGCCGCATTTGGCCTCTGGACTGCAGTCCTACATTGATTTGGAAGAGACTTTCCTTTTGATTTACCAGGCTCTACCGCAAAGGAGTGTGGTTATCAATCCTACATTCTCAGGTCCGCGTCACGTTCTCTATCAATCCACCTGCTAGTCCCTGCATGCTTGAAGTATGTTCCTTGTCGTTTCGTTTTAATGAGCATCCCAACCCATGTAACAGCTGCAGGCTGCCGGGTTGATTAATCAATCCTACATGTTTAGGAATTGGAAGCACCACGAATCCACCGAGCTCCTCCGCAAGGATTATGCTCCAATAGCTGGTTTTCATGGTTCCATGCTGCATGCTCTACAGAGAAATCCGCCGAAAAGGCGGGGCGCACAGTCCCTCGAACCAGAACGGGCAGATGGAATAAGCTCAGGTGATATCCCCAACAGCATGCGGTGCTCTTTTTAGTGCTCGCACCACCCCGTAGCCCTCGCAGAACCTGGTGGAACCCTGGTGGAACCCTTGTGGAACCTTACCTCAGGGCCGCCCCGGACCACCCTGGAGCCTATCTGGGCTGAGACCCCAAAGCTTTCAGCTGTTGGGGAGAAACAGGGACGATCCTTTTGAGTGGATGTATTATGTTTTTTCTGCCCCAAGAACCCTCTTGGGGAGGCTGGATTCATAGGCGCTCTTCTGGATCCTTTTTGGTGGAGGCAGGATTCATTGAAACCACCCCCCGCCGCCGCGCCGCCCCGGCTCGTTCGAGGTTCAGCCTCGGAGCTCGGCTCTTGGGATCCCTGGCGCGGCCTGGTGCTGCAGGCGGAAGTCTCGGTTGGGCCGATGACGAATGCGCCGGGGTGATTTGGACCCCCCCCCCAAAGGGTGGGTTTTTTGTAGGGTTTCCCTCAGAAAGTTTTTTTAAAAGCCTGAAAATGGATTTCGGGGGTCCTGTTGGTTTCCCTTTCCCACAAAACGGGGGGGTACCAACTCCAAAAGAAACACCCGCCTGTTGGTTTGGCAAGAAATCCAGACTTTTTGTTGGTTTAGGGAAACCCCACCCCTGCTGGTTTCCCTTTTGGTTTCCCTTTAGAAGCACTAAAAAGGCCTACCCTCAAAACAAGACATATCCAAAGAATCCATGGCAATAGTTTTATCAAGATGTATGATGCAAGGCCTGTGTTCTTCACTTAAGTAGCCAGCCTTTTGCATGTGCGCGCCCGCCACATTTGAGCTACTGGCTTTGCCAGAGTGTTGAGCTTCGGCTTGGTCACATGACTCCAGCAACACTGGATTCCGCTCCAAAAGCAATCAATAAGCTCAGGTGATATCCCCAACAGCATGCGGTGCTCTTTTTAGTGCTCGCGGCCTCGCAGAACCTCGTGGAACCTTCGTGGAACCCTGGTGGAACCCTGGTGGAACCCTCTTGGAACCCTCGTGGCAACCTTACCTCAGGGCCGCCCCGGACCACCCCGGAGCCTATCTGGGCTGAGACCCCAAAGCTTTCAGCCGTTGGGGAAAAAAGGGGAGATTTGCTGTGCACTTGCCGGCCAGGCCGCACAGCCTCCACTTTGGCGAACATCGCTGTGCATCCGGCATGTAATTGCAAGCTTGAAGGGCTCCCCGTTCCATCAGTGGGCCGGCGCCAGTTGCCCGTTTCCTGTTAAAGGAACCCCCTGTGAGGTGCTATGTTAGTACATGTTAGTGGGAGGGAGGGTAACCGGGACCTCTGCAACATGGAGGAGCGAGCGTGGAACACAGCAGCGCACAGGAATGCAGCTGCTTGGATCAAGCACTGTCTTTGCTTCCGCATCGTGTCAGCTCTGTGGAAGCTTCGCAGAAACACCTCAAGGCAGGGAAGCTGGTCTTCACTCCAGAGTGCAGCGCTAAGCTAAGATCTCCCAAGACCATGTTTACTCGCTAAAGACGTATGGCTATTCTCGGGCGTCCCACAAAGACACACCCATATCCGGCACGCAGACGGCGGTTGAGATGAAAGCCCGTTGAAGGCAATGTACGGCTACAAACGTGAGCATGCACGGATGGTATGACTGCCTGCGCCGGAGTCAGCCATCCGTAGCGTGGTTACGCATAACGCTTGGCCAGTAGCAACAGCACGTGGACGTGTCCAGGAAGCGCGGAACAAAGCCACGCAATTGCCTTTGGGCTGGCGGCTAGCGGCATTCATTTTAGTGAGTGAGCAAGCTACACAATGGCAGGCAGCTCAGCCTCGATTAAGCAGAAGCAACATGACATGGGCGTGCCTCTAAATCAAGGACCCCACAAAAGGGTGAATACCTCGCAAAAGCCACCCAACCGCTGAGCAACGTGCTTGTTTCAGTTGGAGCAGCCAGGCCAGCACTGCTGAAATCACCTGGGCGCATTGTCGAGTACAAGTACGCAGGATTCCCGGCAGGTAGCAGGTACTCGTGGCATGCGAGGGACAAGATTTTGCTATAGGAGTCTTAGTCTTGACCTTCTTGAAAACTGCAGCCTGCCTGCAACATATGAGTGCAACCGTAGTTCTATTTGGTTTCACAAGAGTGATAA